CCATACATAGAGATCCAAAGTTGTGGGATGATCCTGAAAGCTTCATACCTGAGAGGTTTCGGAGTGGTGAGGATTTGTCACACCAACTGATGCCATTTGGACTGGGAAGAAGGTCTTGTCCAGGATCAGGCCTGGCCGAACGTACGGTGGGCTTGACTTTGGGATCATTGATACAATGCTTTGATTGGATGAGAGTTAGTGAGAAGGAAATTGATATGGCAGAAGGTAAAGGCCTAACAATGCCTAAACTTGTACCATTAGAGGTCATGTGTAAAGCACGCCGGATTATCAACAAGGTTTGATAGAACTAATATCCAGAATTGCGAAGCATTATCATTGCGGGAAGTTATTTCAATTTGTACGTTGTATGTCATAGCGAGTATTTTCTTTCGCAAGTAATAAATGAATCAATTGTGTGTCTGTTGTATCATTGCCAGTATATTCATGGAATAATTTGGGTCATGAATAAATTTTTAGTGTTTTTTTTTCACCAGTGGCAGTGATATATGTGTATTTAGGGGATACTAATTTTCTTTATTTTATATTGTTCCAAGAAAAAGTACGTACGTATTTCATTGTCTTTTTCTTTCTAACTTACTAATAAAAAAAGTAGTTTTTAGGTCATGTTATGTTATTGGCGGGGACTAATACATTGTCAGTGACATTGGAATGGGCCATGTGTCATCTACTTGACCATCCGCACGTACAAAAGGAAGGCCATAACTGAATTGGATGTTGAACTTGACTAAGCACACTTATTGGATGAACTAAATATCTCTAAACAACCACATTGTCTTGACTTTTGTTCAATATATATATCCTTATTGCTGAACTTGACTAAGAAATTTTTTTAAATTGATGTTGGGACAAACTTTGACACCAAATACAAATGTGGAAGACCTCTCACTATGCTTATTGGTGTTGAAATTGTATATATATTTATTTATTTTTAGTTAAAATATTATGCTATAAATATATTTAATTTATTTTTTTCCCAAACCTTCCCTAGGCTACAGCCAAGGGCAGCCATTGCCTTGGTTCCGCCCATGCGAACACGCATTTGCTGATGTAGCTAGCTATTCGTGAAGAAATTATAGAATAATACGTGATGAAAAACTATCAACCGACCTAACGAAAGGAAATAAAAAATTGTTGCAATTTGCACAATAATTGAATTTGCATCTTCTCTGACTAGCTAGAATCGAAGAGTACTGATCTCCCTTGTATAATTGTATTAGATTTCTATATGGAAGAAGAGACCTTGAGATTAGTGGTCTAAGACAAGAATTAAGAGTGCCATTGGTCAACACAATTTCCACCATATAAATGAGTCATATATGTCTGCCTAAACCCCCACCATGAAGTAATTGTTGAAAAAGAAAGACAATACATGACAACCACAAGATAAGTTGGGTATTTGGTTTTGAATTGAAGAGGGGCCAGATTTGGCTCACTCAATCGAAGTCTCAAAGTCTCAATTCGATTTCCCCTCCTCCAATATCATTTATATCGAAGAAATAAAATTCTCTTGAATAGGATTTAATGTAATTAAACAATCAAATCCAAACTTTCGCATGTAAAATTGATTAGTTTCTTTTTTCCTCGTTTGCTATACAATAATAAGATGTATATAGTGCACTTTCCATACAAATGGAACGATAAATTTATGGTTTTTTTTCTCTTTTTGGTCATAGATAAAACTTTATAGTTCAAAATTTATGGTTTTTTTCTCTTTTTCTCATTTGAAGAATAAAGAAAGTACGATTCTTGTCATTACTTGGCCTACTCTTTATAAATACCACATCTTCCTCACTCAAACTCATTATACTTAATAATAGCTAGCAGCCATGGAACAACAACAGATGTTGTTCTACACATTTCTCTCCCTTATCTCAATCCTCTTCACTTTCAAGTTCTTGCTCCAAGGAAAACGACAACGTTACAAAAACCTCCCACCAAGCCCACTCTCTCTCCCAATCCTCGGCCATCTCCATCTCCTAAAGATCCCCATCCATCGAACCCTCCAACGCCTCTCACAAAATCACGGCCCCGTAATCTCTCTCTGGTTTGGCTCACAGCGTGTGGTCATAGTATCATCCTCGTCCGCAGCCCAAGAATGCTTCACCAAAAATGACATCGTCTTAGCCAACCGTCCTAGCATGCTTATAGGCAAGCACCTAGCCTACAACAACACCACCACCGCCACGTCCCAATACGGTGACCACTGGCGCAACCTCCGCCGCATTGGGTCCACCGAGATCTTCTCAACCTCTCGGTTAAACGCATTCTTGAACGTCAGAAAGGACGAAGTCAAACACTTGCTGCTTAAACTTTCAGAAAACGTACATGATGATTTTGCGAAGGTGGAGCTCAAGTCTATGTTTTATGAGCTGACATTCAACATCATAATGAGAATGGTGGCCGGGAAGAGGTACTACGGGGAGGATGCATCGGTGGACAAAGAGGAGGCGAGGCAGTTCAGAGAGATCATGAAGGAGGTTTTTGCTTATACGGGGGTAGCGAACCCGGTTGACTTCTTGCCCGTTTTGAATTGGGTTGGGAGTGAACGTGGGTATGAGAAGAAGGTGATGAAGCTGGCTAGGAAGACGGATGCGTTCATGCAAGGTCTCATTGATGAACACAGGAGCAAGGATAAAAATGGTAGCACAATGATTGACCATTTGCTTTCTCTGCAGGACTCACAACCTGAGTATTACAGTGACCGAATTATCAAGGGGCTTATTCTGGTTAGTCCAAAAGTCTTCATATTTCAAGAATTTATTTTAGAGCATGGTTTGGTTCCTTAAAGTTAATGAGGAGCTCTCCTTAGAACAAATGAAATCTAGACATTTGTCAAATTCCGAAAAAGGAAAAAGTTAAAGAAATTTGATAACTGTCAAAATCTCATTTATTATTTTGAGAAGCTCCTCAATTTTAAAGACCCATATTTTGATATAGTGATGTTAAAAAATGACTCTCTCTAGCCACATGAAGTTTTATTTATAACACTCAAAGAATAAATATTTTCAGGACATGGTGCTGGCGGGTACTGACACATCATCAGTGACACTAGAATGGGCCATGTCCAATTTGTTTAACCATCCGGATGTGCTAAAAAGAGCAAGAGCTGAACTCGAGGTTCAATTAGGCCAAGAACACTTGGTGGACGAACATGATATCTCTAAACTGCCCTATCTTCAAAGTATCATATCAGAGACTCTTCGATTGTACCCAGCGGCCCCAATACTACTGCCACATTTTTCATCAGATGATTGCACTATTGGGGGATACAACGTACCACGCGGTACCATGGTATTGGTCAATGCATGGGCTATACATAGAGATCCAAGGTTGTGGGATAATCCTGAAAGCTTCACACCCGAGAGGTTTGGGAGTGGTGATGATTTGTCAAGCCAACCCATGCCATTTGGATGGGGAAGAAGGTCTTGTCCAGGATCGGGGCTTGCCCAACGTACGGTGGGCTTGACGTTGGGATCATTGATACAATGCTTTGACTGGGCGAGAATTAGTGAGAAGGAAATTGATATGACAGAAGGTAAAGGCTTCACAATGCCTAAAGTTATGCCATTAGAGGTCATGTGTAAAGCACGCCCGATTATCAACAAGGTTCTGATAGTTTGATCTAGAACTAATAATAATATCCAGCATTAGGAAGCATTATCATTTTGGGAATTATTTCAGTTGTATGTTTTATTTGCCAAGTAAATGCATCAATTGTGTCCCATTTGTATCATTGTTAGTATATATATTCATGGAAGACTTTGGGTCATGAATAAATCGAATCCGTATTTTCCTGTAATATCTTATCCCTTTTGTTGATTTATCGTGTAATATATTGTCATACGTACCTCAAGTTATTGCACTATTGTCATTTGGTTTGAATTGAAAAGGGGGGTCGGATTTGTTCTCTCACATCTCTTGAGGGTTATAATGTAAAATATAGACCCCTATATTTTCACTGTAACATGTTGTCATATAAAGTTGATGAAAAAGATAGACAATCAACATGTACGTGAAGTCATTGCTTTAATGAGGTAATTAATTCAAATATACATAATACCACATATATGGGTTTTATGTTTGCTATATAAATGTTAATGGGGTATAGCTCAGTTGGTTGAGCTTTTTCACGTCCACTCATGCGAACAGAGATTCGAAACCCTAAACCAGACACTCAATGAATATTTGTGTAAGCCCCCTCCCCCAATCGCTTGCTAAAAAAACACTTGCTATAGAAATAATGCCAGCTAGCTTGCAACCATTTATTATGTAGCTAGTTTATAGTGCAAAACTCAAAAGAAGTATAAGCCAGCTAGCTTGCAACTATTTATGGACGAATAAAAATAGGGATATGATTTACTCACTCTCATTTTCTCCACTTACACTCTCTTTTGCTTTTTAATACTTTTTAATTAATTTTGTTCATTCTCTTCCTATTCTACCCTTACCATACATTAATTGTTTTTTACTTCACTTTTATATTATTTCTTTTTCTTAAAATGGGAGAAAATGGGGAGTGGGGAAATCAGCTCCCTAAAAATATACCTTACTATTCTTGTCATTACTTGAACAATACTCTCACGTCCTTCTCTCTTGTATAAATTTACCACTTCTGATCACCACTCATTCTGATTCATCCAGTGCAGTGGTCCTATATCCAAAACCAAACAAAGGAAGACATCTTGTTCTACGCATCCCTCTCCCTCATCTTCATCCTCTTCATCACTTACAAATTCATACTCCAAACAAAACGAAGTCGCGGCAACTTCCCACAAAGCCCACCTTCGCTCCCAATTCTCGGCCACCTCTACCTCCTAAAAACTCCCAGTCCAAAGAACCACCACCTCTCCAGAAAACACAGCCCCATCTTCTCCCTCTGGTTCGGCTCCCGCCGCGTGGTCATAGTCTCATCCTCCTCAGCCGTCCAAGAATGCTTCACCAAAAATGACATTGTCTTGGCCAACCGTCCTCACTTGATCATGGGCAAGTACATGAGTTACAACTACACCACCATCGCCGCCTCCCAGTACGGCGACCATTGGCGCAACCTCCGCCTCATTGGAGCCATCGAGATCTTCTCCTCCACTCGGATTAACACATTCTCCAACATCCGAAAGGACGAAGTCAAGCACTTGCTACTCAAACTTTCACAAAAGCACGTGACAATTTTGCCATGGTGGAACTCAAGTCCATGTTCAGTGAGCTAACGTTTAACATCATAATGACGACGGTGGCAGGGAAGAGGTATTACGGCTACGACGTGTCTGTGGACAAAGAGGAGGTCAGGCAGTTCAGAGAGATTATGAAGGAGGTTTTTGCTCATGGTGGGGCAGTGAACCCGGCTGATTTTCTGCCTGTTTTGAATTGGGAGTAATGCTTATGAGAAGAGGGTTATGAAGTTGGCTAAGAGGACCGATGTCTTTTTGCAAGGGTTGGTTGATGATCACAGGAGCAGGAGTTCAAAGGGTGTAAATGGCAGCACAACAATGATTGATCATTTGCTTTCTCTGTAGGAGTCGCAGCCTGAGTATTACACTGACCAAATTATCAAGGGGCTCATACTGGTTAGTCCAAAATTCTATCTCATGAATTTTTATTATTTTTTAAATCATAAAGTTTTGTTTTGTTTAATTTAATGAGTTTAGTGAGTTGGTTGGTTTGATAAACAGAGAAGAGTCAGAACATTAATTAATATGGTCTATAGTGTTCTTGTATATCCTTTAAGTTAGCGGTTGGCAGTCACTATTAGAACAGGAATTATCCAACCCAAAAATAATCTCCCACATCACATATTATATATAAAAAATGTTAGTCATTATCACATTTATGTACCACCTTAGGTGGCACTCGTTCTTGTAATTTTCAGATCTTGTTATTGGCGGGTACTGATACATCAGCAGTAACACTTGAATGGGCAATGTCCACTCTGCTTAACCATCTGCTTGGTGCTAAAAAAGGCGAGACTTGAACTAGATGATCAGTCCAAAAAAAAAAAAAAAAAAAAAAAAAATATAATAATCACAACTTGGCCAAGAACGCTTAATGGATGAACCAGATATCTCTAAACTACCCTACCCTACTTTCAAAATATTGTTTCTGAGACTCTTCGGTTGTGCCCAATAGCCCCGATGTTAGTACCACATGTTTCATCAGATGACTGCACCATTGGAGGATTTGATATACCACGAGATACAATGGTTGATCAATGCGTGGGCCGTACATAGAGATCCAGAGTTATGGAGTGATCCCGAAAGCTTCAAGCCTGAGAGGTTTGAAAGTGGTGAAGACATGTCGTACAAGCTCATGCCATTTGGACTGGGAAGAAGGGCTTGCCCAGAAGCTCATGTCAAATTCAATCCAATCTAATCTAGTTAGTTTCATGCTTATTTTGTTCATTAGGTAATTTTTCATTAAGAAGTTTTTTTATATTTTGTATATAATGAAAGGAACCTTAATAGCCGTCCGATTCAGTGCAGAGCTATTAGGCCCCGTTTGGTTCACAGAATGGATTTGAGGGGAAATCACTTCCCATGTCATTTCTTAAGGAATGGGAATGAAAGATTCATTTCCCACGTTTGGTAATGTCGGGAAAGTAACCGGGAGATTTCACTTTATTTCCTTTCCCATGTTTGTTTTGAGTAGGAATGGAAAACAAAGTTTGTATAATTTTCCAATTATACCCATATTAAATCAAATAAAAAAAGAATGCATTTAATGATACATTGTAATTCTAAATTGTTCATAGGGACAAAATAGTCATGAAAATTGTGCATTCAATGTTGGCTCATTTTCCCCAACTTTCCCATGATGAGGGAAAACAAAACCCAAGTTAAGAGGAAGGCTTCACTTTCTCCCCTACTTTCCCATGTGTCAGGCAACCATTTCCTATACCTGGACTTACCAAACATGGGAAAGCAATTGAATTCCCATTCCCAAGGATCTTTTCCCATGAACCAAACGGGGCCTTATTGGACTGTTGGATTGAACCCCCTCATTATAACCCCTTAATATATCCCCTCATTATAGAAACTTCCGTGTCATTCACTAGTTTGGTTTCGGCTCTATCAAGGATGGACTCATGTTTTGACAAACTGGGCTATGGTTTTTTTCTTCTTACAATTAGTATGTTAAGGTTTAGCCAAGCCCAAAAAATCCACCCCTAAAGGTAAATATAACCTAGCTCATATTGAAATTTTGGATCCGTCCTTTGGACACTGTTGCATGCCATGCAAGCCTTGTGTGCATTGGCAGAGCCAATCAAGGCCCACAAGGGTCACTTGACCCTTCTCAACATTTTGAAAACCTTATATTTATCTATGTTATCCAAGTTGTTTTATAGCTATATTTATTGTTGACCCTTCTTGCAAATGTACATTGTCTACAATAAACATGAATATGATCTATACTTGTTTGCATGTCTTCATATGTCATTTATATGTGTGTGCCATGGATTTTATTTGATTTTCTCATTCTATCTAAAATAAGCTTTTGATACTCTTTCATTATTTTTAGGTTGCTAGAATTTGAGTCATACTTACTAAGATATTAAATTTGTGATATTGAAATTTAATCATTATAATGAATTCTTAAATATATTTTCTTATAAAACTAAGTTTAATGTAATTATAAAGCTATTTAAAGTTGACCCTTCTTGATAGAATTCCTGGCTCTGTCATTGCTTGTGTGGATCACGTATTGGCTGACACATGCATTTTTTTAATAATATATATTCCACGCACTCCCTTACGTATGTGTTAAAAAGTGAGAGGGCCCTCTAGCCATACATGATGGTGGAAGATGTCAACTCCTTGTGAGGAAGAAAAGTGGAAATAAAATAAATGTTGTAGATTCAAATTTTCACACACTTTATCCGTTTGCTAGAAATTGAATCCACATCTTATGTTTACCCACATCAAATAACTTTCCCCAAATTTTTTATTTATTTAGAAATTTTCAATAACTAACTTTATTTTAAAGAGAATGATTTGGTACTAATATCACTTTTCATATTGAAGAAATTATTGTATGGTACTATATACAACAATATAACTCGTTCATGGGTTATAATATGAGTGTAAAACATGGTTAATCTTTTGTACTTTAATTTTAAAATAAAATAAATAATAAATATTCTACGTGGTATAATTTGTATACGTATTATAATATAAGTAGACGACATAGTTAATATTTTCTTTTTTAAAAAATTCAATAAATATTCATTTATATTATAACATTTGAGTAAGTTATAACACTTACTATTCTACAATTACTCCTCAAATACCACACTATAATTAGTCTCCACTCGCATGCACATAAAAAGTATACAAAGGCAAAACCACCCAGTACACTTCGTTATTCGAATACAAGATCAACTATATATTACATTTCCCAATTAGATTAGTTTTAGGTTATGGAATAGACCTTTGAAATTAGTGGTCGGACATTTGAATACGATCCAGCACAATTTCCACTACATTGGTCATACCTGCTCATCTTTCCTCCTTTTTTCTCAATATGGAAATATTAAAATCAGACTCCCATTTCAAAAAGAACACAAACAACTTCATGCTTTTTTTTTTCTTCTTTGGATCAAATCCTTCATACTTTTTTCTTTCTTTTGATCAAATCCTTCATACTTTTCTCACGACTCTCACGTCCTTCCCTTTATATATAAATACCACATCTTTAGGCATTAGAAGCCCAAAGAAGCCATTTTCCTTCTTTATACTACTTCTTCAAGCAGCCTCTCCTTTGATATATAAATACCACATCTTCATATCCAAATCAAAACCCAAACATATATCACTATCAACCAATTATATAAAGCAAAACAAACTATGGATGACATCTTGTTCTACACATCCCTCACTCTTATCTTCATCCTATTTACCTTCAAGTTCTTGGTCCAACCAAACCGACGTCGTTACAAAAACCTTCCACCAACCCCACCTTCACTTCCAATCATTGGCCATCTCCATCTCCTACGACCCCCCGTCCACCGAACCTTCCACAGCCTCTCCCAAAAATACGGCGCCGTTTTTTCACTCTGGTTTGGCTCTCGCCGCGTGGTCATAGTCTCCTCCCCGTCCGCAGTCGAAGAATGCTTCACCAAAAACGACATCGTTTTAGCCAACCGCCCTCCCTCGCTCATCGGCAAGCACTTTGGCTACAACCACACCACACTCTCCTCCTCCCCGTACGGCGACCACTGGCGCAACCTCCGCCGCATTGGCTCCACCGATATCTTCTCCACCGCCCGACTCCAGACGTTCTCCGAGATCAGAAAGGACGAAGTCAAACACTTATTACTTAAACTCTCACAAAACGCACGTGACGGTTTTGCAAAGGTGGAGCTCAAGTCCATGTTCAATGAGCTCACCTTTAACATCATAATGACGATGGTGGCGGGAAAGAGGTACTACGGCGACGACGTGTCAGTTGACAAAGAAGAGGCCAAGCATTTCAGGCAGATTATGAGAGAGGCGTTCTCTTATAGCGGCGCAGCAAACTCAGCTAAGTTTTTTCCGAGTTTGAATTGGGTTGGGAGCGGTTTTTATGAGAAGAAGGTGAAGACGTTGGCTGAAAGGACAGATGTGTTCTTGCAGGGATTGATTGATGAGCACAGGAGGAAGGGTAACAATGGTACTACAATGATTAACCATCTTCTTTCCCTGCAAAAGTCGCAGCCTGAATATTACAACGATCAAATCATCAAGGGCCTTATTCTGGTTAGTCAATAATTCTTCTGTCTCTGTCTCTGTCTCTGTCTCTGTCTCTGTCTCTGTCTCTGTCTCTCTCTCTCTGTCTCTCTCTCTCTCTCTCTCTCTCTCTCTCTCTCTCTCTCTCTCTCTCTCTCTCTCTCTCATGACAATACTAGTCAATAATAGTAGGAACAATATAAGGAGAAAAAGAAAAATACAATATAATTGCCGAATTCATCGCATCACTAATGTACCACGTGGCTGTCCTGAACATATCAGAATTTTTCTAGGTAGAGGATTATATATTGGTACAGAATTTTCTAGACAATATAATTGCATACACATTAATTTTCAATTTGCATCTTCATCTTCAGGTAATGATATTCGCGGGTACTGATACATCAGCCGTGACACTGGAATGGGCATTGTCCAATCTACTTAACAATCCACACGTGTTAAAAAAAGCTAGAGCTGAGCTAGATGCTCAACTTGGCCAAGAAAACTTAGTGGATGAACCAGACCTCTCTAAACTACCCTACCTCCGAAGTATCATTTCAGAGACCCTCCGTTTATGTCCAGCAGCTCCATTGCTAGTACCACATTTTTCCTCCGATGACTGTACTATTGAAGGATTCGATGTGCCGCGTGAGACAATGGTATTGGTCAATGCATGGGCTCTGCATAGAGATCCTCAACTGTGGGATGATCCTGAAAGTTTCATGCCTGAGAGGTTTGAAAGTGCTGACGATTTGTCCCACAAACTCATGCCATTTGGGCTTGGAAGAAGGGCTTGCCCTGGAGTAGGCCTGGCCCAACGTGTGGTGGGCTTGACGTTGGCGTCACTAATTCAATGCTTTGATTGGGAGAGAATTAGTGAGGAGGAGATTGACATGGCTGAAGGTAAAGGAGTCACAATGCCTAAAGTTGTTCCGTTGGAGGCTATGTGTAGGGCACGCTCGGTTATGACCAAGGTTCTATCTTGATCTGTGGATATATTACTTATAATTAATGTCGTAATAAAATAGGTAATTAGCTACAAAACATGTATACTCCAGCATTGTAATTTTGAAGAAATATTTTATGTCTTCCAATAAATTCATTTAACAAGTCCTTTTGGGGCTTCATTCATTTCTCTCTTTCAATGTATGCAGAATTTATTTAACTAGTCCTTATAGGTTTGTCATGAAAAAAAGATTCCACGTTTTCTATGTCTATCATTTCTGTCTTTGATTGCTTTTCTCTTGAAATTAGGTTTCTTTATTGAAGTATTCAGTTATATACACATTCTTAGTATTAGTGATATAAATAAGGCTTATTTACTGTAGTGCCCTCTGAAATTTTGGTCAAATCTCACTTTGCCCCCTGAAAGTTAAAATGATCCACTTTGCACTTTTGACCAAGGTTTGGTATCCCACGTTGCCTCATGCCATCAATTCCATTCAAAAATCAGTTAAGTTTAATGACGTGACAAGGGTATATTTGTAATTTCCTACACATGGATCATTTACCACCAACCTAAATGGGCGACATGGCAAAGTGGAGCCCACTCCACAAATGAACAAAAATATAAATAATAAAAAATATTTTACATTAAATAAAAAAACTTAAAATAAAAAATTAAAAATAAATAAAAATAAAAAAAAAAAACATAAAAAAATTGGAAAAAAAAAAAAAAAAAAAAAAAAAAAAAAAAAACAAACAAACCTAAACCCACCTAAATAATTGCGGCCAGAGAGTAAAATCTTTGAGACATTGCCCCCACTCTCCCCAGCCACCTCCATACCCACCCACCTAAATTACCCAGCTCCCCACTAACCAAACCCTCTCTATATATATGTTTCTCTTTCCTTTTGTGTCTCTCCCTTGCGTAGTGGCCCGAGGAGTAGGGAGCCAGATCTGCTCGCGGTGGTGCGCGAGTTAGGTGGAAGATCTAGGTTAGCTAAATGGAGATCTGGGATGGGTTTTCTGGAGAGATAAAGTGGTGATGTTGGCTGGGAGTGGTGCTGGTAGTGCTGTGGAGAAGATGACTCTTGTTTTTGTTTTGTTTTTATCTTTTTAAATTTTTTATTTCTAATAATTTTGTTTTTATATATTTGCATTCGTATTTTTTTTGTTGGGATTGTATTTAGTTTTAGTTCTAGGAGGAGATCTGGCCTAGATCATATGGGATGGTGGGTTGGTGCAAGATTGTATTTTAATTATTTTTAGAAATTAAGAATTAAAATATACTAAGAATATCCTATCATGTTTTTGGTTTATGTGTGGCTTCCACTTTGCCATGTCATCCACTTAAATTGGTGTGTAAAAAATTACAAATATACTTATGTCACGTCATTTAACTTAACGGACTTTTGAATGGAGTTTACGGCGAAGGGCAACGTGGGACACAAAACCTTGGTCAAGGATGCAAAGTGAGTTATTTTAACTTTCAAGGGGCAAAGTGAGATTTGACTAAAGTTTCAGGGGGTACTACAGTAAATAAGCTTATAAATAAACCCTATACCATTAATTTCTAAACAAACAAAAAAAAATTACAAATTTATAAATAAACCCAATTCTAGACATGTATTTATAAAAAAACCCAAGCACTATTTAAACATAGAAACACACCCAAAATCAACAATTGTATATTTTTGAGTGTGTTTATAAATGGGTTTTGAGTGTGTGTAATGATGGGTTTTGGGTGTGTTTATAAAGTGTTTTGGGTGTTGGGTTTTTTTATAATTTCAGCCCCCATTTTGGGTGTTTTAGTGAAACTCCCAAAAAAAATTCACAAAAAAGGACAGCTGACCCTTTTAAATTAAATTTTGATCATTAAATTACTTTGATGTCATGTTGAGTGTTTTGGAAATTTTTAATGAGATTTTGGTGTTTGGCTTGTTTTAAGAAATCAATGGGAGTTTTGTAATTTATAAGAAGTTCGAAGCCTCTTTGTTATGTTGTAAATGAGCTTTGGATGTGTTTCTAAAGTCTATTTTCATGTAGGGTTTGTTTTATAATTTGGACCCATATATTGAACATAATAGTGAAACTCCCTTGTTTATTTGGCCCTGGAGAAGGGACATTAAGAAGCAAAGTATTTTAAAACACGAGGAAAAAAAAACCCCATGTTGGATCAAATATGGGATGTTTAAATTTGAAAAAAAAAAGAATATCAACAGCTCGGATAAAATGAAAAATGCTGCTATTTGCACCATTTGTTCTATTTTCCTATCCAACTTATATTCTCACCCACCATGTAAATTTGAAAAAAATACAATCATATATTTCCACCTATCATAATTTCTAAAATAATATTTAATTATTAATTCAAACAAATTTTCTTTTTTATTTTATATTTTATTATATAAAAATAAAACATTAAATAAGAAACAAAACCTAATAGCCCTTCTGCCGCACCACCATCCAACCTTCCCTCCCATTATCCTCTGTCACGCCTATCTCTCTCTCTCTCTCTCTCTCTCTCTCTCTCTCTCTCTCTCTCTCTATATATATATATATATATTTTTTTTTGATCATATATGGAGATTTGAGAGACGACAGTAAGGCCCCATTTGACACAACTTCCAAAGGAAGAGGAAACGTGGGTCCTCTTTGGAAAACGAATCAGATTCACAAATCATAGTTCTATTGGACAGTCTTCCTATCAATTCAAAGTTCCTCAAAATGAAATTATGAGTTTTGGTTTATACCTAGATGCGGGAGTGCTCAAAACACCCAAATCCAACCCAAAAAATAAATAAATCATAGGGTTGTTGTTTTCATAAAATTGCCCCAAAATTAGCTCTCCAAGACTAAATTGTAACTAAGGTTTAAAATATCGATGGTATCGAAAATATCGGTAGTCCAAAAATACTGAAATTTTGATAGAAATATCGGGATATTATCGATATAGATAACAATTGAATAAAAACCACGGAAATTGTAAGATGTTTATTTAGTCAATTATCTATTAGTTTATCACAAAAATTGGAAGGAAATGCATTGCATGATGGGTTTAACTAATTTGAGTTGATTATATAGTGAACTGACAAGCACTATGAGTGTAGAAAATATATAGTAATAATGAAAGAAGATTAAACACACCATAATCATTTATATATAACAATTTACTACAATATTTTACACTTTATACATTGTATGGTAAGATACATGAGTGACTTAGTACCACATAGAGTTAGGGATGACAAAAATCCTCGTAGAGGCCAAATGGGTATCGGGTACGAAGATATTCGAACTTGAAAAATCCCCGACGGATATGGGGATGGAATAGTATTGGCGTCCCCATCCTCGAACCCGACCCAAAAAAAAAAATATATATATATGTGTGTTGAGACCCAAAAAATCTAAAGCTGGGCCCAAATATATTTTCGCCCCAGTACAACACTAAGTGGAAAATCTTTATTTAAGCAATATGCCACGCTACAAGCTTAAGTGGGCCCAAGCCATGCGAATGTCTGGGGCTTACTGAGCGGGTTGTGGTATGGATGGTTATGAGCATTCACGAAGCCCATTGATAGGCTAAGAAGTGGAAGTTTTGGGTTGCTTGGGAGCACCAAAACTCAAGCCCATTTCTTAAGCCTAAACATATGGGTAAGCATGAGAGAGAAGGAGTGGCCCAATAACTTAGGAAAATATCCTGTGGCTTGCAAACACTTGAAAAAATCTCACATCAACCAAAATATCCAGCACCTTGATCAAATAGGATGTTTCCAGCAACTTGAGCAAACTCACCAGCTGTTGGAAAAAAGATACCAATAGCCCAGCCCAACATCGTGGAAAATATCAAGCATATCTATCAAAACCATCAAAACCAAGCAAACCCATGTGCTGATCACCTTTTGATTAGCACCCATACCCATTCTTTCCTTTTCAAGCTTTGGTGAGAAAACAAGAAGCAAAAGTGGGTGGCTCCTCACCTACATGGAGAAGTCCAGCTACCTAAGGACCTTGGAACTCCAAAAAGCTTCATGCCTACATGCTCAGGCTAGGGAAGTTTCACCAAATAAGATGGAATAGAAGAAAGTGAAGGAAAAGGGGATAAGGTGGCTTGATAAAATTAAGGTTTTCAATGCTTATAAAAGGAGCCACTTTCTACCCAGCAAAGACAACTCACCTTGGTTGCTGCAAGCCTCCCAGCAACCATGAGAATTCATCAAAGGCAAGCATCCCCTCTGGAACCTTTCAATTTCATGCTTTGTTCTTCCATCTTCCTCATTTCTCTCTCTCTCAAAACCCACATCTAGGTAGAGCAAGTATCATCTCTCATCTCTGGAACCCTTCGATTTCAAGCCTTGTTCTACAATTGCTTCCCATTTTCTCTTCTGTCAAATCGCCTAGGAGCTTGACGAAGCTTTCGTCAAGCTGCTGGAAATATGCTAAAGCCACCCAGGCTTCCATCTTCTTCCTCTCTTTCCATAAACACACACTTAGAGAGCAATCATCATCTTTCATCCCTGAAACTCCTGCAATTTCGAGCCATATTCCTTAATCTCCTCTCATCTTCTCTTTTAGAAATCGTAGCTCTTTCTCTCTCTCATGCTAAACTCATGAATGCTTAGCTTCCATGCCACAAGTTTCTCATGTCAAGCCAAAAATTTATATGTAACCGACTGTTGGCTTCATTGGTGAAGAAGACCAAAGTGTTTCCTAAGGCTCAGTTAGGGCCTAATCCTTGAACTCAGTCACAGAGGCAGCTTCACCTGTTTCTCTTTTTCAGCAGCCCAAGCCCATTCGTTAGGCTACTGGAATAAAAAGACCCATACAATATGTTTATATTTAAATAAATAAATAAATTAATATATAATTATAATATTTATGTTTAACCTTAAGTTAATCTCCCTATTCTAATTCTTTCTAATCCTATCTGGAATTTCATATTGACGTGTTTTTGAATAGGTGAGTTGAACTTTATAGTTAATTTAGATGTGTTGAATGATAATTTAAGATGAAACTTAATGTTAATATGTATGATAAATATTTCTTATGCAAAAAAAATCGGATATTAGGGGCAGGTATGGGGGATAGTCCCTCGATGGGAACGGGGACAGGGATTCCCCGAAACCTATTAAATGGGGATGGATTCGGGGACGGGGGCGGGGATGGTATTGTCATACCCGGCCCCTTCCCGACCCGTTGCCATCCCCACATAGAGTTTCCCTTTGCGTATTATCACAAAAACATAAGCAACATGGTGGTTAAGGTGCTGGAGAAATGAAATGACAGGGGTTTGAATCCCCTTTGCGTGTGTGGTTTGTGTTTTTTTTCTTTTCCATTACATCAATATTTTCTATATTTTCGATATTATAGTATTTTTTGACAAAATATTGCAGAAGTGTGAGCGAAATTATCGACATCGATATTTTCCAATATTATCATCGATATTATCGATATTTATACGATATGTGTATGAATGCGTTTCGAAATATCAGTGATCCGAAAAAAAGATAATATCCTCGATATTTTGTCGTTATTATTGATATTTTATATTATGATTGTAACAACTAGCATTTCTGACCACAAGAGAGAATGAGAGATAGAGAAGGCTTGGATGGTAGTGAGGAGGAGAGGGGGTTGATGTTGCTGTCGGCGGGGTGGGGGGGCTCACGTTGGCTGTTGTTAATGTTTTTAGCCTCTTCTTTTTCTTTTTTTCCTTTAAAAACAAATGTTTACATTTACTATTAGTAATTTTTTTTTTTTTTTTTTTTTTTTTTTTTTTTTTAGTTCTTAGAAGTCATTTTATAAAAAGGTAAATTTATCTTTAAAATTTTAAAAATCAGCTGAATATAAAAATAAAATAAGTTCATTTAAAATTTTTAAAATCAAACGAGTGAAAAAATAGAGATGTGTGAAAATAGCAATACTCAAAATGAATTATTGGCTTGTTGGGTTGAATCTCCACTAATTCTCTCTCGTATACATCGTCATCCACATATTTGTCACCATACTCTTTCACATCCTATCACATGAATTGAAGATCAAATATGATCCTCGATATGACACTGGAGCATTTGGCTTTACCTTGTATCCAACATTTTCACAAATATAAAAAGATAGTGCATGACACACCACGATCATGATATATATCCTCTTCTGGTAGCTGGGTGTCATGAGGAGAAATATATATATATATATATATGTTTTTAATAAACTTATCCATTGCCGCTCAGTTATTATTGAATTTATCTACTTAAACTGACCAACTTCCAACGATGAAAATGGACCTTCAGCAAAATTTTAATTTTTTTTAAATAAAAAACAAACAAGTCCTTGTTTGAATTTCAAAGCTCATTTTTCACATGTTAAATTTTGAGACATTTAGTTATATATCCATTCTTAGTATTAGTGATATAGATAAACCCTACACAATTTAATTTCTATAAATAAACCCAAGAAAAACCCAAAACAGGACAGTTGGCTTTATTTAATTTTGATTATTAAATTACTTGATGTCCGGTTGAATGTTTTGGGTTTTTTTTTATGAGGTTTTGAGGTTGGATTTGTTTTAAGAAATCGATGGGAGTTTTGTAATTTATAGGAAGTTTGAAGCTTCATTGTTATGTTGTAAATGAACTTTGGGTGTGTTTCTAAAGTTCATTTTATGTAGGGTTTGTTTTAAAATAATTTGGGCCCTTTTATTGGGTATAATAGTGAAACTTCCTTAAATCTTCAAATGAAAATAGACAAGAACAAAATAACTATTATAGCCAAACTTCCTTAAAATAAAATATAAAAAATCTAGAAGTCCTTGCTTAAATTTCAACCAAACGTGGTTTACTTGACTCAATAGTTTGGTTCCGACTTCGGGCACTCAATGCCGCATGCCATGAAATGCAAGCAAACTGCAAAAGCCTTGTGTGGATCACGTATTGGGTGACGCATGCATTTTATATTCTACGCACTCCCTTACGCATGTGTTACCCAAATAGAGAGGGACGCTTGAATAGTAGAAATACAATAAATGTTGTTGATTTGAAGTTCAAACACACCTTATCAATTTGTGAGAAATTGAAATCCACATCTTCTAATACCCAAATCAAATTACTTTCGACCAAATAAGTGACTACTTTTATTTCTCAATACAACAATTGTGGCATCCCAAATATCACTCATCACATTGAGAAACTATTGTATGATACTCAAAACATACATTATTCTTCTTTATATTACTTGGGCACTATTTCTTCGAGAAGCCTCTCCCTTGATATATAAATACCAGAGTTCTTCAACCAATTATATAAAGCAAAACCAACTATGGAAGACATCTTGTTTTACACATCCCTCACTCTTATCTTCATCCTATTTACCTTCAAGTTCTTGGTCCAACCAAACCGACGTCGTTACAAAAAGCTTCCACCAAGCCCACCTTCACTTCCAATCCTTGGCCATCTCCACCTCCTAAAACCCCCAGTCCACCGAACCTTCCACCGCCTCTCCCAAAAATACGGTCCCGTTTTCTCGCTCTGGTTCGGCTCACGCCGCGTGGTCATAGTCTCCTCCCCGTCCGCAGTCGAAGAATGCTTCACCAAAAACGACATCGTTTTAGCCAACCGCCCTCGCTTGCTCTTGGGCAAGCACTTAGCCTACAACCACACCACAGTCGCCGCCGCCCCTTACGGAGACCACTGGCGCAACCTCCGCCGCATTGGCGCCACCGAGATCTTCTCCACCGCCCGACTCCAGACGTTCTCCGAAATCAGAAAGAATGAAGTCAAACACTTATTACTTAAACTCTCACAAAACGCAAGTGACGGTTTTGCAAAGGTGGAGCTCAAGTCCATGTTCAATGAGCTCACGTTTAACATCATAATGACAATGGTGGCGGGTAAGAGGTACTACGGCGAAGACGTGTCGGTCGACAAAGAAGAGGCCAAGCAGTTCAGGCAGATTATGAGCGATGCGTTCTCTTATGGCGGCGCAGCGAACCCAGCTGACTTTTTGCCGATTTTGAATTGGGTTGGGAGCGGTGGATATGAGAAGAAGGTGAAGACCTTGGCTAAGAGGACAGATGAGTTCTTGCAGGCTCTGATTGATGAGCACAAGAGTAAGGGTAAAAATGGTACTACAATGATTGACCATCTTCTTTCCCTGCAAGAGTCGCAGCCTGAATATTACACCAACCAAATCATCAAGGGCCTTATTCTGGTTAGTCAATAATTCCTCTCTCTCTCTCTCTCTCTCTCTCTCTCTCTCTCTCGCGCACACACACACACACACACGAGAACGCATTAGATTTTTATGATAATGTTTTTCTTATAGTACAAAACTAAGTACTAGTCAATAATAGTAGGAACAAGGTAAGGAGAAAAAGAAAAAGACAATATAATTGCACAATTCATCGCATCATTAATGTGCCACGTGGCCTGGCTATGCTGTATACACAGAAATCAGAATTGTCACGGCGAGATCTAGCTCTGGAGGCTGTGAACTAATTTTGGGCATATATTGGTTTCAAAGTCCAGCTGTGTTTTGGGCACTTATTGTTTATCCTGAATATGTTATCACATTTCTATAGGCACTTACGCAACTTTGCAGTAAAGTAACCAAGTTAATGGATACGTGAATCATAATTTGACACATATATAAAAATAATTTATTAAAAATAAGAAAAGAAAAATTTATGCACACGTCACACTGTTATTAACAACAGTCTAGACTTTAGAAACTCCTACTTACATAATAAGGAGGGAAGTATTTTTCATAATCATTGTACCAAAACAAATCAAAATCATTAATATAAGCTACATGAGGATAAAGATAAATATTAATATTCTTTATGTAATTTTCCCCTGAAAACCTAATCTTATCATTTTTGTTTCTTTTGAGAATAATTACAATATGCATCTTCAGGTAATGTTACTAGCGGGTACTGATACATCGGCAGTGACACTGGAATGGGCCATGTCCAATCTACTTAACAATCCGCACGTGTTAAAAAAGGCTAGAGTTGAGCTAGATGCTCAACTAGGCCAAGAAAACCTAGTGGATGAACCAGACATCTCTAAACTACCCTACCTCCAAAGTATCATCTCAGAGACCCTCCGTTTATGCCCAGCAGCTCCATTGCTAGTACCTCATTTGTCGTCCGATGACTGTACTATTGGAGGATTCGATGTGCCACGTGACACAATGATATTGATCAATGCATGGGCTCTGCATAGAGATCCTCAACTGTGGGATGATCCTGAAAGTTTCATGCCTGAGAGGTTTGAAAGTGGTGGCGATTTGTCCCACAAACTCATTCCGTTTGGGCTTGGAAGAAGGGCTTGCCCTGGAATAGGTCTGGCCCAACGTGTGGTGGGCTTGACGTTGGGGTCACTAATTCAATGCTTTGAGTGGGAGAGAATCGGTAAGGAGGAGATTGCCATGGCTGAAGGTAAAGGACTCACCATGCCTAAAGTTGTTCCACTGGAGGCTATGTGTAGAGCACGCTCAGTTATGACTAAGGTGCTATCTTGATCTATGGATATATATATATATATATAACTTATAATTAATGTCGTAACAAAATAGGTAATTAGCTACAAGACATGTATACTCGAGCATTGTAATTTTGAACAAATATTTTATGTCTTCCAATAAATATTCATTTGACTAGTCCTTTTGGGGCTTCATTCATTTATCTCTTTCAATGTATGCAGGTGGATGTATTCAGAAAATGTTAATATTTGAAAAAGGACTATGTTAAAAAAACAAAGGAACGAAACAAAAAACGGCAAAGTTAATTTGCGGCTGACTATATTTGGCATCCAAATTTTTTGGGACCAAAGTATCACATTTTTAAGAAACTAAATTATCAAATTCAAAGTCAATGGGGTCTAGACTAGTGGAAAATAATATTAATTTGCATACTAGTGGTCTCATGTTCGAACCTCTATGACACCTTGGCAGTGTTTATGTGAGAAACCCTCTCTTTTCCTAACTTTTGGAGTTATTTTTGCATATTCCAGGTATATTTTGTGGGTGGTGTACCATCCAATACGCATGAAACATGTGGGTATTTTGTCCAATATGCATAGGAAATAAAAATAAAATATTTCCACATCTCCTATGTATATTGGATGATACCCTATACGTGGTTTACGCGGAACATGCAAAAATTTCTCCTAACTTTGGCAAACACAAAAAACACACCAAATCCAAAAGCCAAGTAAAATATAATAATAATAAATTTACCTTATTCTCACAAACCAAACTAAACCCAGAAAAAGCTGTGAGTTTGAAAACCCTAAGCATAATCCTACATGCATGACACTAAACATACATTGTAAAGTCTATGAACAACTGGGAAAAAAAGAAAGTAAATTGAGAATGAAAAGGCTCTCGTACTTGGTGGGAAGGCAACATAAATAAATTTAGAATGGCTTGGGTATTAAAGCATCTACAATGAGCTCCTTAAATCATTTCTTTAGATAAATTTTAGGGAGGAATTAGAAAAATACAACTCCAACCATGCTCCCTATCCACCACCTAAAATAGGGAGACATCTAGGAGCTCTCAAATCAGAGGAGAGAGAAAAAACTTCATAAACTAGAGAGTATGATTGAAGTTCAAATTTTATAGAGAGTTCCTAAAATTATTTTGTGTGTTTTTAGCTAAATTTTAACTAAAAAATAAGGAGCATGATTGTAGATGCTTTTAGAAGCTCGTTATTTTGCAGGAGATAAAAATAAATAAAATGATGTCGTTTCATTTACAAATTTAGTCCCCCCAATATATTCAGCCACTTCAATAAATTTGGGAGTCTATTAATTTTGGGGTTCGTGCCACTTAGCTCCCTATTGAGACTCAAAAAATCCACGGTTCGGCCAAAATGAATTTCCAGTCCAGTGTGACACCTTAGTAATAAGATACCCGATTCGGAGCACGTGAAATTCGTCATGCACGCTTGCATAGGCCACGACCACATGCCATGCCCAAATAAATATGCCATCCGGCACACTATGAATTGAAATGGGCCTATAAAAGGCACCGGCTTTACAAGCTCATGCTAATTATCCCATCAAGCATTATATCCCTTTTCAAAGGTAACAAAATTCAAGCATACCAAGTGAAAAATCATTATTATTACACATAGCCACGCTACAAGCTTAAGTGAGCCCAAGCCACGTAAATGCTCAGGGCTTATTGAGTGGGTTATGGTACGGATGCTAACGAGCATTCATGAAACCCATTGATGAGCCGAGAAATGAAAGTTTTGGACTGTTTGAGAGCTTCAAAACTCGAGCCCATTTCTTGAGCCCAAATATGTGGGTAAACATAAAGAGAGAAATAGGTACCCCAGTACTTTAGAAAATTAGCCCATCACCTTAATAAAAATAGTCCATCACTTTAGGGAGTAAGCCCATTCCCTTAGTGGGCTAACCCATCACCTTAGGAAGGCCCAAACAACCAAGAAAAATATCTGCAGGTCTCCAGCACATGCTAGAGACAAAGACCAAGACAAAAGCCAAAGTTGCCCATGTATGTGAGCTGCTGGGAGACTTCAGCACGTGGGCAAAGCAAACCTCAAGGCAGAACGTTCAAAAACCCAGAGGATAGTAGTGCGCGTAGGAGAAAAGGTATCCTTCAGACCAATGTTGTTACGTATCTCCTTCCTTTACCAGATTTTTCCATGAAATAAGGGAAGAAAGAAAAAGAGGTGATAACCAAAGATAGGAGATTATCACTGGAGCGGCTGCTGGAAGACTTATGAACCCCCAAAATATGGTCTCTGTGTATTGGGCAGAGGAGAATTTCACAAAACAAGGATGGATCGAATGGAGAGAAGAGAAATGAAAGATGAGACTTTGTAAAATTGGAGAGAACCCATTAGGGTTTCTTGGGAATGAGGAGCTTTCAGTGGCTATAAAATGAGGTATTCAATGGCTATAAAATGAGGTATCCTCTACTCATTATCTCAATGACAACCAGATCTTGAGAGCAAGCATCATCTCTCATCCTTGAAACCCTACAATTTCGAGCCATATTCCTCCATCTTCTCCTATTTTCTCTTATGAGAAGTCATTTCAGAGCTTGACAGAGCTTTCGTCAAGTTGCCGGAAACTACTCAACACACCCATTGTTCTTCCCCTACCTCTCTCTCTTCAACAAACTCTCTTAAAATTCCTTCTCATCTACTTTAAAACCCCTGTTTCTCATAGGAACTCACAACCCTCTCTCTCTTTAATGCTAAATTCATGACTGCTTTGCTTCCATGTCACAAGCTTCTCATGCCAAATTAAGAATCTATCTGTAAGAAATTGTTGGTTTCATTGGTGAAGGAGACCAAGGTGTTTCCTAAGGTTTAGTTACCCTTTCAAAGCACTCTTGGGGTCTGATCATTGAACTCAGACCCAGGTGCAATTTTCACACATTTGGCTCTTTACAACAGCCCAGACCCATCAGTAGATGCCGGAACGAAAAAAGCCCATACACTCCCGAAGCATTCATTGGCAACCAAATAATTTTTGGGTAATCAAAAGAAGCTTTGTCCCACAAACTCATGCCATTTGGGCTTGGAAAAAGGGCTTGCCCGTCAGCAAGCATGGCACAACGTGTGGTAGGCTTGACTTTGGGGTCATTAATTCAATGCTCTGAGTGGGAAAGAGTTAGTGAGAAGATGATTGACATGGCTGAAGGTACAGGAATCAGCATGCCTAAAGTTATTCCCTTGGAAGCTATGTGTAAAGCGCGCCCTATTATGAACAAGTTTCTATCTTGATCTATGGATATAATATGTTAGAATGGGCTTATTTGTGGAAATCCTTACAGTAAATGTTTGAACTAAATACATAATTAGATGCAAGACATGCATAGTCGAGCATTGTAATTTAGAACAAATATTTTACCTCCTCCAATAAAATCATTTTGCTAGGTAGCATGGATAAGGTATTGTTGAAAGGATTGATTCCTTTTGGAGCTTCAATCATTTCTCTCCTTGAATGTATGCAAGGTTTATTTACATAGTCTATCGTAGTTTGTTTAGAATTTTGTAAACACTACCAAAAAAAATGTGGCAACAGTCACCATTATTTGGTGACATTTGCTGGGGGTGACTAAAGGCTTTACTCACCAAAAAGGCCTTTTGGGGGGTACAAAATATGGTTCTCCTCCAACCCAATAATAAGACCATCTCCAACTATTGGGGTGGAAACCCAAATTTTTAGTTTTGAATCCAAAATTCTTCTCCAACTCATATATTTTGGGGGGGTGGAAATTTAGGATGGAATTCTAGTCTAAATTTTGCATGGACTGGTAATTTGTGTAGAGCCCAAAGCTCTGTTTTGTAGCCCATGTGAAGAGGAAAAAGAGGTGGGCCAGCGTGACAGCAAAGCTTTCTGGCTAGCAGCCCTTTTGAGCAACACATGGCAGCAATGATGCAATTATGAGTCTTCAGGTATAGCCTATAGGTATTTCATAGTCTCTCAGCCAAATTTAAAAAATAAAAATCTAGAAGTCCCTGCTTAAATTTCAAAGCCATTCAGTTTACATGCAAAACCGTGAAGCTTCCGTGAAACCCATGCTTATACAATTTCGGTCAATTTCGTACAAACCAAACCGAAAGCACATGCATTAAACTCTCATTTTCCACCGTCCGAAAAAGAAAAGACAAAAAATTCTCATTTTCCATACTTTTACTCTTGAGCACATGGAAAGCTTTGTAAACGCGAAATTGGAGCCAAGCTTTGCTCTCTTCCTATGAAAAGGTTAAAGTTGTGGTCCTCTGATCAGGGACGGAGCCAGATTCAAAGTTTCCAGGGCCCAAAAAATTAACATGTACCAAACATGTAGAGCAAGAAGAAAAAAAATATAGATTGCAGAAGGAAAATTCACATGCATTAAATTTATTTTGAAATACGTTAAGCTCTGTAGCCATTTTGATTATTTTTTTTTAATCAATTTTTTTAACCTACTTGGTTAGTTATGACAAGAATTAAGATTTTCCAACTAAATCTATCCAAGTATAGCTATTTATTTTTAATTTTTATACTAAAGAAATCAGTATCTACTAAAACCCAAAAGAGAAAGATATAAAAATCAGTAAAGAAAAGCCAATAAAACTTCACATTATTACTCAAAATGAATTTATTAGGGTGGCCATTAACTTCAGACATGCAAAATCCTTTTAATATTTCACAATACATTGCCTTGATAGGTGAAAACGTAGAAAATATTGGAGGGGCCAGGGCCACCTCTGCTTTTGATGTAGAACAACTTGTGGAGGAGATCGAAAAGCCTGTAAAACCTGTTTGTTGTTGCAGGTTTGGGTTTCGAGTTCCGATTTGGGCACATGTCGATTCCAAGATAAAGGTGAGACAATTCAAACTCACCGCTCTCCCATGATGTTTGAGTGCTTTTTTTTATGGCTAAATAACGTTGTTTGCTAGGTCAAAACTACATTTAAGTTTTGCAGCAGCAGTTTTTGAAATTGGGTTGTCATTTGATTGTCTTCACGCTGCCATTTACACACAACCCATTTAAAAAGAATACCAATAACTAATCATTTCCCTTTTCTAACAATAAGAGCATCCACAGTTTGAGGGTATACTTTCGGGGGTGTAAACTCATTTTTACATTCCATTTACACATCTGGGGTTGTAAATGTGGTTTTTGCTCTAATGAGGAAGATGTAAATCTATGTATAATTGATTTTTCTCACTTTTGTCCACCTTTTCTCACATTTTCTCATGTAGGCCCCACTTATAATGGATGTAAAAAAAGATGCATATGTGCATCTAAATTTGCATCTCACGGTTGTGATGCAAATTTACAATCATTTATACCTCCCAATTGCAAATGATTTCGATCACAAATAATGTATATTTAACATACACTTCATTATACAACCCTGATGCTCTAAGTCAATTTCTTCATAATATTTTTCTTTATATTACTACTCCCACGTACCTACCTTATATATAACTGCATCTTCAAGTCCAAATGAAAACACAAAATATCAACCAATCAAGGAAAACCAACTATGGAAGACATCTTGTTCTGCACATCCCTCACCCTTATCTTCATCCTATTAACCTTCAAGTTCTTGGTCCAACCAAATCGACGTCGTTACAAAAACCTTCCACCAAGCCCACCTTCACTTCCAATCCTTGGCCATCTCCACCTCCTAAGACCCCCAGTCCACCGAACCTTCCACCGCCTCTCCCAAAAATACGGCCCCGTTTTCTTGCTCTGGTTCGGCTCACGCCGCGTGGTCATAGTCTCCTCCCCGTCCGCAGTCGAAGAATGCTTCACCAAAAACGACATCGTTTTAGCCAACCGTCCTTGCTTGCTCATGGGCAAGCACGTACTCTACAACAACACCACCATGGCAGGGTCTCCATATGGTGACCACTGGCGTAACCTCCGCCGCATCGGCGTCACCGAGATATTCTCCACCGCCCGACTCCAGACATTCTCCGGGATCAGAAAGGACGAAGTCAAACACTTACTACTTCAACTCTCACAAAACGCACGTGACGGTTTTGCGAAGGTGGAGCTCAAGTCCATGTTCAATGAGCTCACCTTTAACATCATAATGACGATGGTGGCGGGGAAGAGGTACTACGGCGACGACGTGTCGGTCGACAAAGAAGAGGCCAAGCAGTTCAGGCAGATTATGAGCGATGCGTTCCTTTATGGGAGCGCAGCGAACCCAGCTGATTTTTTGCCTATTTTGAATTGGGTTGGGAGAGGTGGTTATGAGAAGAAGTTGAAGACGTTGGCTAAGAGGACAGATGCATTCTTGCAGGGTCTGATTGATGAGCACAGAAGGAAGGGTAAAAATGGTACTACAATGATTGACCATCTTCTTTCCCTGCAAGAGTCGCAGCCTGAATATTACAACGACCAAATCATCAAGGGCCTTATTCTGGTTAGTCAAAAGTTATTCTCTCTCTTCTCATGCATTTGATTTTTTTATTTTTTATGATCATGTTTCATGTCCAAAATCGGTGCGTTTATTATAGTGGGACATTGCTTGCTTCCCTTAAAACAATTGTTATTGTTTCACATACGGCTTACTTGTAGTAATGGTCTCTAAATTATATATGTAGTTACATTTTGGTCACTCAACTTAAAAAATAATTGCAAAATGTCCTCCAATTATGCATCGTGTTGCACCGTTAATCTTTATCTTCAAGTTTGTGACTTTTATTGTAAAAAATAAGGGTAAATTTAGCAATTCATCCACAACCTAATTGCAAAAGTCATGGCATAGCTAGTGTCCCACATGTTTACATATTCACTCTTTTGTGTGCACATATCTAGCTCTGGATGTAGCTCTGGACGGTGACTGTTCAGCTTTTTCTAGAGGATCAGATTGATTTCCAAGTACAGCTGTGGTTTAGGGCATTTGTCACATCTATAGGCGCTATCATGATTCATGAGGATAAGATTTGTAGGTTGCAAAACCAAAACAAGTCGAAATCATTTTGCACCGAATTGGTCCTTTATCTTAATATAAAGCTCGATAAATTTTACAGATCTTTATCTAGTTTTCACTACACTGTAATTTTTTATTCTGCATATTGTACAATATGCATTTTCATGGTTTATAATAAAAGTATTTCATTGTGGATTTGATAGTTTTTTTTCTTCTTAATAAATCAGGTCTTGCTATTGGCGGGCACTGATACATCAGCAATGACACTGGAATGGGCATTGTCTAATCTACTTAACAATCCGCACGTGTTAAAAAAGGCTAAAGCTGAGCTCGATGCTCAACTTGGCCAAGAAAACTTAGTGGATGAACCAGATCTCTCCAAACTACCCTACCTACAAAGTATCATCTCAGAGACCCTCCGTTTATGTCCGGCAGCTCCGTTGCTTGTCCCACATCTTTCGTCCGAGGATTGTATTATTGGAGGATTCGATGTGCCACGTGACACAATGGTATTGATCAATGCATGGGCTCTGCATAGAGATCCTGGACTGTGGAATGATCCAGAAAGCTTCATGCCTGAGAGGTTTGAAAGTGGTGATAATTTTTCCCACAAACTCCTGCCTTTTGGACTTGGAAGAAGGTCTTGCCCTGGGGTAGGCTTAGCGCAACGTGTAGTGGGCTTGACTTTGGGGTCATTGATTCAGTGCTTCGAGTGGGAGAGAGTTAGTGAGAAGGAAATTGACATGACTGAAGATAAAGGACTCACCATGCCTAAAGCTGTTCCATTAGAGGCCATGTGTAAATCGCGCTTGATTGCGAGGAAGGTTCTATCTTAATGTATGAATATAATAATAGTTATAATTGTTGTGTTATCAAAATAATTGGAACAGATATTTTATGTCTTCCAATAAATTCATTTAACTAGGTGGCATGTATTTGGTATTCTTGAAATAATGATCCGTTTTGGGTTCAACCATTTCTCTCTTTTCTTGTCTTAATATACTCGCAACTTCGCCCAATCTGAACTTCTTGATCACTTGAGCGTCAAAAAAAGGTAACCAACCTCCTTAATATATACCTTATATATAACTCAAAATTCAATCTTATATATATATAGAGGATCGAGGGACACATATTTTGACACGATGTCAGCAGCTTTGGCATTTGTCGATTATGTTCTCTCTCGTGGGAATTTGGTACCCCAGACCATACGGGCTAAAAAAATTGGGCATATATATAAGCAGCAACCAATACACCCTGTGGAAAAATTACTCAATGGACGCTTGAGCAGTTAGGAGGAGCGGCAAGTGATTGGTGCAAATAATATTATTGTTCTTTGTAAAGGCTGAAATTCTAGAGCGACATGTCACAAACCTAAAAAAAAGGGCTAAAAGAGAGAACAGATTTAAACTCGTGTTGAGTTGTGTGCCGCATATAACAAGAATAAGAACAAAACAGGGAACAGGAAAATTGGACTCGAAATTTTATAGCCACACAAAATATATACTCCCTTTTATTCATTTAATACATTCTTCCTTCTTCTTTCATTTAATACGTTCTGCCTTCTTATTCGTCATTTAATCCCCTCGCCAACTTTGCCTAGAATTCTAGATCACTGCATTGCTTTTAGGACACGTGATTTGGCCAAAACGTATGCGAAGATGAGTGATTGTCCAAAATTGGAGAAAACCTTGCAAACGAATATCTCACATGTAAAGATGATCTGTCATGAGTCTTGATCACTTCATTGACACGTGATTTGGCCAAAACGTACGGGAACAACCATTATAAATATCTGCCCACACGAATTGCCCAGTCAACCAAAAATCGAAAACATGTTGTTCATGTTCGACACATGCGATATGTCCCTTATTTTCAACTTCTTCCTCCAAATTAAACGACAACGTCTAAATGTGAAAAACCTACCACCAAGCCCACCTTGTCTCCAATCCTCTGCCACCTCCATCTCCTAAAAACCCCACTCCACCGAACCTTCCACCGTCTCTCCCGAAAACATGGCACTATTTTCTCTCTCTGGCTCGGCTCAAATCTCGTCGTTGTAGTCTCCTCAGTCCTCACCCTCCGCCGTACAAGAATGCTTCATTAAAAACGGCGTCCTCCTGTCCTGGCCAACCACACGATCATCGGCGAGCATTTAAACTACAACCACACCACCGTTATCACTGCTCCATACGGATACCACTGGCGCAACCTCTGCCGCATCGCTGCCATCGAGATCTTCTCCTCCGCCCGCTTCAACGCATTCGCCAGCACCAGAAATGACCAGGCCAAGCAGTTACTGTGCAAGCTCTCACAAAATGCGTGGGGGCTCAAGTCTCTGATGTCCGGCCTGCGTATAATATCACAATGACAATGGTGGCGGGGAAGAGGTACTACGGGGACGATGACGTGGCAGACAAAGAGGAGGCCAGGCGGTTCATAGAGATCATGGAACAGGCATTTGCGTATACTGCGTTACCGAAGCCAGGAGATGTTTTTCATTGGATTAATATTTTCTACGGAGGGTATGAGAAGAAGGTGGTGAAGTTGGCGGAGAAGACATGTGTTCTTGATATTGTTATTAGCGGGTACCGATACGTCATCAGTCACATTGGAATGGGCAATGTCCAATCTCCTTAACCATCCGCATGTGTTAAAAAAGGCCAGAGTTGAATTAGATGCCCAAGTTGGCCAAGAATGCTTAGTGAATGAACAAGACATCTCCAAACTACGTTGCATACAAAGTATCATCTCCGAGACTCTCCGGTTGTATCCACCGGTCCCACTACTAGTACCACATTTTTCATCCGGCGATTGCACAATTGGAGGATTCGAAGTGTCACTTGGCACGACGGTGTTGGTAAATGCATGGGCCATGCAAAGAGACCATAAGTTGTGGGATAATCCGGAAAGCTTCAATCCCGAGAGATTTGAAAACGGTGAGGATTTGTCGCACAAATTCATTCCGTTTGGATTTGGAAGGAGGGCTTGCCCTCGAACGGGCATGGCGCAACGTGTGGTGAGCTTGACTTTGGGGCCGTTGATCCAATGCTTTGACTGGGAGAGAGTCAACGAAATAGTGGTTGACATGGTTGATACTAGATGTATGAATTGAAGGACACTTTTTGCTCATATTGTGGGGGCGAACGCAGCTGACCTCTTCTCCATTTATTGAGTTGGGAGTGAAGTGATGCTTATGAGAAGAGGGTGGTGAAGTTGGGCCAAAGTCTAATTGATGAGCACATGTTGTGAGGACCATAATTAAAATTTAATCTAATTCCCAGATTTAATAAAAGAAAACCACCTTATTTAAGGTTGTATTTTTCGTCAAACCTTAATTAAGATTGATAACTCAATTCGTTAAATTTAATTAGAACATCTACAATCATGCTCCTCTTTTTTTTTTAATCTACATTTACAATCATGCTCTCTCTCTAAAATAAATATTCAAGTATTATATTGATTTAGTACCACTCAAACTCACCAATTATTTTTCTGAAAAGAATAAATTTTCTTTGCCACCTTTTACGTTGGTTGCGTTGCGCATTAAGAAAAAGAAGAAAGCAATCTCATCTCGCGCCTAAAAAATAATTGATTACAGGTTAGGTGGTCTAAATATAATACTCTTTCTGTTCTTTTTCCTGTCGTCTACAAGTTTTCAACTCATCCATCGTTCGCATAACGACACATCAACTTGAATATAATAACATTAACTATGGAAATGGATAAGAACAACCTACAACTCCTTTAAACAAAGAAGAACAAGAAAAACCAGTCCCAAAGTCGGTGCTTGAATTGAAGTTCATAGGAAATTTATTCATGAATGTAAAAGTTCCAAGCCTTCTTCTTCTCAATGCAGAGATCTAATAAGAGCTCTCACTCCGATTTGGCTTTGAGGAGTTAACAAAGACCTGATCACAGAGCAGAAAACAGGGTACTTCTTGATTACGTGCAAATTAACATGGTGATCTTCTCTTTAATTAATGACACAATAACAATGGTAATTAAGTAATTAACGATCTAAATCCATGCCTCATCTTCATCAGTCCTGGGAACCCAGTCATTTGTTGCAGGGTTGCTTCTGATCTTCATCAATCCCACTATGACATCATCATGGCTCTGAGCCAGCTGAAGATCCAACCCATCAAATTCGCTTCCCCCTTCTCTTACGACCTTTATAAACCCACTTCCAGTCTGTCCATTTCAGTTCAATTTAAATCAAAACCAGACCCAATTAAATCGTTCAAAAACAGAGAACACATTAATTTTTTTTTTTAACTCAAAACTTTGAAAAAAAAAACAGAGAGAGAGATCAGAGAATTTAGTACCATGTGATGTTGCTTGTCAATGGAATTGAGTTCCTTGTAGTACTCTGTGTCCACAAACTCATCTTGTACTGTGGTAGCTACCTCTGCTGATGAGAGTATAACAGGGGATTCAGATTGGAGAGAACGAAACTTGTCGAGCTCTGGAATGTTGGGTTGGTCAACGATGGAATACTCAACTGGGTTTGGTGTTGATGATGATGATGAAGAATCGGGCTCGCTTCTATTTGGCTTGATGGGTCGCTTTGGGGCTGCAGAGTCGAACTGAGCTCTGATCTGGTTGGCGATCTTGAGCTGCTCATCAGCTTCCAACACCTCGTCGCTCCGGCTTGGCTTTGTTGCTGTCCTGTGCCCCACCATGATCAAAGTTTTTATCTTTTTCTTATTTTAGTTTGTTTGAAATTGTTTGATGATGGTGCTATGCTCTCTCGTGTGTTTATATAGTACAAAAGCAATGAAGAGAAGAATGGCAGGTGAAGTCGGAAGAAGCTGAAACTATGGGCCAATAACTAAGAGTCTGAAACCGCTTTGCTGAAAGAGATCGACCAGTTTCTGTGGATGGATGAATGGCGTGTGCTCTGAATCTGAGTGGGCCTGAAATTCTCACTTGGTATCTTTATTTCATATGGGCCCACTTTCTGTCTTCTCTGAAATCTGAGGCCCGAGTCTTCTTGGTTCATGGGTTTGCCAACATAAACGACATGTCAATATGTCGTTTCTGCTCTATCTCTGTTTTTTCATTTCGGTTTCTTCTATCTCTGAAATCTGTAATCTTCTTCTTCTTGTTGTTTCTTTAAGTGGGGTATGGTTTGTTTGTGATAAAAGGTCTGAAATTTTTAAGAATGTATGGGATTTTGAGAGGTCATCTCTATGATTCAATTCTGAAACACCTTCCAGATATTTTAGGGAGCAAAAAGACTTGATTTTTATACTGGTTCAGCCCAGAGACAGCACCTTCACTGATTCTTTCGTGTAAAGTTAAGAAACATCTTACTTGATGATCATTATGCGGCTAAAGGTGCTGTCTTTGGGCTTGGCCAGCCTTTATTAACTCATCTCGGAGGCAGAGGAAGGAGGGTAAACTTGGCTGAATGGGAAAGGCTCTGGCAAAGATTTGCTTCTAGTTGTTTGGTCAGATATGGTTTAAAAAATCTTAAATTGGCCTATTCAAAAGGCATTTTTAGTCATCCTACATGTATTTTCACACCTAATAATGTAGTCAAGTGTTTTTGTGGACCATTGATGTTTCTGCTGTTCTCATCCAAACACAAAAGACAGTAAAGACGAGTCATCAAACTTGTTATTGGTGGTGGAAGATATTTCAGTCAATTATGTGGCTCTCTTTGACAAGAAAGAACTGAAACACCCAAAATGTCCTCTGTTGTATTTGCATAGTTTACGAAATATAAGGGAGAATTAAATAAATCTACCATACTTTTGCTTGGAATTTTCAAACTGCAGATTTGCATGGCTGGTGGTGTTTCAACTTCAAAGTCCACGACTTTTCTATTCCAAGTCTTTGTTTGCCATAATTTCCATTGTCACTCAGTTCAGATGAGCTTTCCTTCGGCTACCAATTAGCAAAATCCAGCAACTCCATTCATTCTCATGGAAATCCTTCATAACCATAAAATCCATATCCCTCTATTTTCTCTGTTTTTCTTGCTCCTCCACTTCTCATCCCTTCACTTTCTCTCTTTAGCCTATGCGCAAACTGATAAGTATTTCGTCAATTGTGGGTCTCAAGCTGATGCAAACCTCAATGACCGGGTGTTCACTGCAGACTCGAGTTCTGGTTTTTTGTGCTCAGACTCGGAGAAAAGCAGGGCCATTGAAAGCACCAACCAGTCGCGAAATCTGTACCAAACAGCAAGAATTTTCTACAACCAATCCCACTATGAGTTCACGATCGCTGAAAACGGTACTTATATTGTCCGTCTGCATTTCTTGGTTTTCTCCTCCTCAGTTAATCTTTCATCAGCTCTTTTTGATGTTTCGGCTTTTCCTACTGTTTCAAATTTTGGGTTCAAACTGTTGAACAATTTCACTGCCAAGAACAGTAGCAACTCTGCTTTGATAGAGGAGTTCTTTCTTGCCATTGGTCCTGGCTCATTGAAATTATATTTTACACCTCAAGGATCATCTTTTGCATTTGTAAATGCCATTGAAGTCTTCCGTGCACCTTTGAAATTCAGCCCTCAGAATTACAGCAGTAGTTTTCCTTTAGTTCTACGTACAACTTACAGGGTGAATGTTGGAGGCCAAAACATCACACCAGATAATGACAGAATATGGAGAAAATGGGAACAAGATGATACATATTTGTCTAATTCAAATTCTTCAGAGGATAGCCGACCCTCCTCACAGACGCTTATTAGACAGTCGGTAGAATCTGATGGTTTCGTTGGTGCTGATAATGATTTTATTGCTCCAGATTTAGTTTACCTGACTGCCAAATTGATGACCGATAGTACTAACGGGCTATCCAAACCCTTCAACATAACCTGGTCTTTTAATGTGAGTGCGGATGCTAGACACCTCGTCCGGGTTCACTTCTGTGACATTATTGGTCCGCCTGGTAATTTAGTATTCAACTTGTATTCAAATGGAAACTTCATTAAGAAGGTTGGTGGACCCGATTTCAATTTTAATAGCCTGTACTGGCCTTTCTACTATGATTTTGTATTGAGTTCTAATATATCTGAATTCATTAACATCAGCATAGGCCCTAGCATAGACACAACAACTAACAATTCCTTTCTAAATGGACTGGAAATGTTGGAGATAATAGAGGGACCAGCTTTAAGTAACCCTCCAGCTTCAGTTTGTAATATGAAAGGGCCCAATAAGATAAAGGTGGGTCTTGTGGTTGGTTCAGTTATTGGAGGCCTGTCACTTATCTGCATTCTGATTGTCGGAATCTTGTTCAGTTTGAAATACAGAAAGGCAAAGCGTGTTGAAACTTCGGAATGGTCACCAATGCCTGCATTTGGAGGAGGGAGTACCCACAGCAGGTTGACTGATGGAACTATTACTGGTTCCCCAATGAATTATCTAAATCTTGGGTTGAAGATATCTTTTGCTGAACTTCAGCAAGCAACAAACAACTTTGACACAAAATTGTTGATAGGTGAGGGTGGCTTTGGGAATGTCTACAGGGGAACTCTGTTGAATGGCAGAAATGTAGCTGTCAAGCGAGGTAGACGAGATGAGCAAGGGTCAGGCCAAGGCCTTCCAGAATTTCAAACAGAGATCATGGTTTTGTCCCAGATTCGCCACCGCCATCTTGTTTCCTTAATTGGATACTGTGATGAAAGGTCTGAGATGATACTGGTCTACGAGTTCATGGAAAAAGGGAGCTTGAGAGATCATTTATATAATTCAAACTTGCCTCCCTTGCCATGGAAGCAAAGGCTTGAAATTTGCATTGGTGCAGCAAGGGGTCTTCATTACCTCCACAGAGGTGCAGCTGGGGGAATCATTCACCGAGATGTTAAGTCCACCAACATCTTGTTGGATGAAAACCATATTGCCAAAGTTGCTGACTTTGGCCTTTCAAGATCTGGTCCTCTTGATGAAACGCATGTCAGCACAAATGTTAAAGGCACTTTTGGTTACCTTGATCCTGAATACATAATGTCCCAACAGTTGACAGAAAAATCTGATGTTTACGCATTGGCGTGGTTCTCCTTGAGGTGTTATGTGCAAGACCTGCTATTGATACAATGCTCCCAAGAGACCAAATGAATTTAGCTGAATGGGGAATGCTTTGCAAGAAGAAAGGGTTGCTTGAACAGATTGTTGACTCTTCAATCAAGAATCAGATTGATCCTAGCTCATTCAGAAATTTTAGTGAGACAGCAGAGAAATGCTTGCAAGAAGATGCTAATGATAGGCCTACAATGGGTGATGTGCTGTGGGACTTGGAGTATGCATTCCAGCTCCAGCAAACAGCAAAGCATAGAGAACCCCATGAAGACAGCACAGCCAATGCTTCATCAGCATTTGTATTGCCAAATGTTCAGCGTTTTCCTTCAGTTAGCTCCACGATTAACATGGATGATCTGGCTCTTGCCGGAAGCGATGAATTAGATACAACAGAAGTTGAAGTTTTCTCCCTATTGAGAGTTGGTGATGCCAGATAAATTTGTTCAGTTTGTAAGGTATATTAGTTAACCTTGTTTAGGTTTCTTTAGGCTGTAAAAGCTAAGTTTGGTATGCCTTGTTAATTTTAGTCCTATCTTTGATTATTGTACTACAACCGCTTTCCCATCTTTAAGATGTGATAATAAACACTGGCCAATCTTCACCTCAGCCAGTTTCAAGCCAACGTAGAAGATTTAAATCTCCTGCAAAGAGGATTAGACCATCAAAAACTTGCCAATCTTCACCTCAGCCAGTTGCAAGCCACTGTATCATATTTAAATCTCCTGCAAAGAGGGCTAGACATTGGAGACCATGATTATGTTCCTAAATGCAAACAAAATTTAGCCAAACATCATGATGCGTAATTGTTCGAGTTTTTGGTTAGGTTGGAGTTTTTGATGTGTAATTGCTTGAGTTTTTGGTTAGGTGGGAATTTGAAAGTAATGTTTTGAACAATTTGGTGTTTTGTTGGTTAGGTTTGATTTTTGGGTTAGGTTTTGGAACCATCTTTTGCTATCCAGGGCTAGACATTGGATATTGGTTGGAAATTCGTATTTTGAGGGAATTGGAACTCAAGTTATGCAAATGGCACAAATATACCCAACTTTGGATTCAAGTTATGCAATGACACAAATGTACCAAACTTATTACACATTTCACTAATTGCTCATCAAATTCTCTAGAATTTTTCAAACAAATTTAGGATCTTAATCATCATCATTACAACCATGACACCAAGAACCCATGCCAGAAATAGACCCACCCACATTAGTTTCCCTCTATGTCAATAGACCATAATTTTCTCATCCATCTTCATTTTCTGCCTTCCCAGTCTTCCAATTATTGCTTTCAATTCCTTGTTTTCTTGCTCAATTACTCTGAGCTTATCTTTCAATCCTTCATTATCTTCTTCTATTTGATTCAATTCCTGCTCCATACCTCTTATTCTTCTTAGCAACCTAGGCAGAACTTCCTTTCCTCGTGGGCATATCTCTTCATCCACCCACTCCCAATAATGAGCTTTGCCTATGTTCTTCTGAAGAATTTTCCATATCCAGGGTTAGATCTAAAATCCATGGACCAAAAAACACAAAATTCCAGACAAAGTGACTTACCCGATTATTCTCACAAGCCTCAAATCTTCTCACAGGATTCGAATATGTCCATGAAGTCCATCTTTTAATAGCTCCCCCACAATCGCAAAGCTTCCATGTGTTACGACTCCCCGAACTCTGCGACATCTCCTTTCTCCTCTCCTTCTATAATTTTTTTTTCACCAGATGACCTAGTATTAATAGAAATGGCTGACATGACATTATGGTTCAAGTTTAACACCATAAATTTGAGAGGTTACTGATATGGACATGCCCCTATTCAATCCAGCACTTGAAAAGACAAATATGCCCTCAAATTTAACGGAAAAGTTGATTGAGATGATGGAAAGGACAGTTTCTGAAACTGAAGGCATAATTAAAGTACCACCGTAATGATTTAGCAATATGAGGGACGAAAAGTAAAGTTAGGCCTTAGTCCAGGGACCATTGCTATAATTTTGCCTAAAAATTATTTATTTATAAAATTATTTATTTTTAATCATATTAAAATTAAAAATTAAAAATCAAAAGAACAAGGAAACAACTTTCCGTGTCTCTCCTCACAATCCTCCCCCTACCCCCAACGTTTAGCTAGCCAACCTTAGGAGTAATTTTGGATGTTCCGGGTACACCACGTGACTGGTATACCATCCAATAGACGGCAGACATATGAAATATTTGCAATACAGCCCACCACATGTTATAAAAAGAAATGGAGTAAGTTAGACAATAATTTCACATATCCTATGTTTATTGAATAGTACACCAGCCACGTAGTGTCCCTGAACATATAAAAATTTCTCCTTCTCCAGCCGCTAGACCCCAAGCCACCCAAAACAGCCCCCCAACCGCTCAAAACACCACCCACTCTCTACACACTCCAGCACACACACCCTACTTTGTCGTCAATTTCATCGATGGCCGTGACTTCTCCGACATGGACGATCTTAACGGAAAGACTGTGGTGAGCAGGAAAGTGGCCAAGGCTATGTCGTGGCTGCCCCAAAATCCTGAGGTAATGGAGAATCCGGCTCTAAACACGGTCAAGTACTTGTTCCCAGAAATGGATCATTATTTGGATCTGGACTACGGGTCTGTGGAAAGAGAGAGGGATTTGAGGGGGCCAGCAACCAGATCTGAACACAGCCCAACCCTCAAATCTCTCACCTATCGCACTTGCCATGGCCTTCCTCCAATCGGTTCTGCAGCATCGAGGCCTTGAGGCTCTGGACCATCAACTATACCGTTTCTTCTGATGCCACCAAGCTCTTAAGATTTGCTTTGCTTCAATTCCCGTCTCTTCTCTCTGTCAACCTCAAATTTGTTTTTAAGGGTTCATGTTTTTGTGGGTTCTGTGAATGAATTAATGATTGCCCTTTATAAATAAGCTAAATTAAGCCCCAAGTTCTTACATTACTTCCCATTATGAATTAATGATGGCAAAATAGGATAAGCGGTTTATAGAGTTGGCTCCCTCAACTGCCGCACTCCTCCTGCAGCGTTTTTCATTTTTGGTTTATGGGTATTCATGGTGAAGGGAGAGAGGAGAAGGCGGCTGAAATGGGCCTGCAAATTTTCCCCTCCAATTGGTGGTTGGGTGGTTCTTTTGGAGGCGAGTATTCAACAAAACCAGAAAAAACTGGAGAGAGGAGATGCAGCTAGGATGACCTCATTAAAACCTTGTCTTGAAAACCTCTAGTGGAGGAAAATTCGTTCCAGAAAAACACTGAACATCTTCTTTATTTTCTTTTTAATTTGACTTTTGATTAAATAATTATTTATTTTAATTCTTTTTAATTGTTTATTTTTTAATATTTGAAAAAAGAAAGAATTTGTTATTACTTTTTTGTACACGTCATTAAAAATGAGTTTCACTTTTGACATATCAGTATTTAACAAATTAACTAACGGTTTAGTAACGGAATGGGTAATTTGTAGGCTTTCCTCAAGTTAGAATATGTACTTGTAAATGTTTCCAAAAGTGAGTACGAATTTGACAATAACCTTATAGTTTGAGGGGTCTTTTGTAGTTTATCCAATTAATTATTTGGTTGATTTATTTTTTTTCAAGAAAACTAATAATGAAAGATTTTTTTATTAAAATGTGTGTATAAATTTGTGGTTTTTTGTGTCTCTTGATTCTGACCCTATATTAGGGGTGGGCATTGATCTAGTCGAACCGATGAAATCGGTTTGGTTTGATTTTGATTAAGAAAAAGTTAAAAGGTTTAAAAGTCGAACCGAACCGTATATGGTTTGATTTGGTTTTGAACTTTTGTAAACCGATTTAAACCAAATCGAATCATTTATGTGTATATTTATTTATTTTAATTATATTTTACATGTGTAATACTCTAATTAGGTAATAAGTATATATGTGAATGCCTGTCATTGCCCTTTTATCTGTTGCAAGTTTGCAATTTTATGCCATTTTCCTATTCATATGCTCTCTCCCTCCCCTTGAATTTTTTTTTTTTTTTTTTTTTTTTTTTTTTCTTTTTTTTTTTTTTTCCCCGTTAGTTGTGTAGAACATTTATATTGGCTTGATTGTTGTTCACAGTATGCAATAACAGAAAAGAAGGTTGAGCTACTGCGTGCACAAAATCAAGTCAAATGTATACATGTTTTTGACTTAAAGAGCCAACTCAAATTAACCAATAAAACCCAAAAAAAGTATCAATAAAACAAGTTCTAGGCCTGCTTTGATTTAAGGTTCTTGCTTTTATATAGTTTGTTAATGGGATCCAACTTTGATTTAAACAGTGTGATATTAATTGGATTTATTTTCTTTTTGCTATAATGGATGATTTAAACTGTGTGATATGAACTTGTGCATCTATACCTTTTTTTAATGGTTACAGATGTTTATTACTTTGCTTCTCATCGGTTGATAAAAAACAATAGCTATTTATGTTTTAAAGATAGCCAAGGCATTGCAAATTTTTCTGGTTGCGGTGTGAAACAAGGCCAACTTTGAGATGCAGAGAGCAGCTCGTTATATTTGTCTGCTCAGATCACTTTGGAAAACTCAGGTGGACTACTAATAGGTTACAAAGCTACCAGGATAATGGAGAGGCCATCCACCTAAAACAGGTCAGTTTCTTGACTCGCTGCTTACCAATCGTTTTAATACATATGCAGTGTTCTTTGTATCATTGTGGACCATTGATGTTTCTGCTGTTCTCTTCCAAACACAAAAAAACAGTAAAGACGAGTCATCAAACTTGTTATTGGTGGTGGATGATATTTCAGTCAATTATATGGCTCTCTTTGACAAGAAAGAACTGAAACACCCAAAATGTCCTCGTTTGTATTTGCATTGTTTACGAAATATAAGGGAGAATTAAATAAATCTACCATACTTTTGCTTGGAATTTTCAAACTGCAGATTTGCATGGTTGGTGTTTCAACTTCAAAGTCCACGACTTTTCTATTCCAAGTCTTTGGTTGCCATAATTTCCATTGTCACTCAGCTCAGATGAGCTTTCCCTCTGCTACCAATTAGCAAAATCCAGCAACTCCATTAATTCTCATGGAAAGCCTTCATAACATCCATATCCCACTATTTTCTCTGCTTTTTTTTCTCTTCCACTTCTCATCCCTTCACTTTCTCTCTTTAGCCTATGAGCAACCTGATAAGTATTTCGTCAATTGTGGGTCTAAAGCTGATGCAAACCTCAGTGGCCGGGTGTTCACTGCAGACTCGAGTTCTGGTTTTTTGTGCACAGAGATAAACAGGGCCATTGAAAGCACCAACCAGTCGCAAAGTCTGTACCAAACAGCAAGAATTTTCTACAACCAATCCTACTATGAGTTCCCGATCGCTGAAAACGGTACTTATATTGTCCGTCTGCATTTCTTGGCATTCTCCTCCTCAGTTAATCTTGCATCAGCTCTTTTTGATGTTTTGGCTTTTCCTACTGTTTCAAATTTTGGTTTCAAACTGTTGAACAATTTTACTGCCAAGAACAGTAGCAACTCTGCTTTGATAGAGGAGTTCTTTCTTGCCATTGGTCCTGGCTCATTGAAATTATATTTTACACCTCAAGGATCATCTTTTGCATTTGTAAATGCCATTGAAGTCTTCCTTGCACCTTCGGAATTCAGCCCTCATTATTACAGCAGTAGTTTCCCTTTAGTTCTACGTACAACTTACAGGGTGAACGTTGGAGGCCAGAAAATCACACCAGATAATGACAAAATATGGAGAAACTGGGATCCTGATCATATTTATCTGTCTAATTCAAACTCTGCAGAGGATTTCCGACCCTCCTCCTCACCGATGCTTATTAGACAGTACTCAGTACAATCTGATGGTTTCGTTGGTGCTGATAGTGATTTTATTGCTCCAGATTTAGTTTACCTGACTGCCAAAGTGATGACCGACAGTCCTAAGGGGCTATCCAATCCCTTCAACATAACCTGGTCTTTTAATGTGAGTGCGGATGCTAGACACCTCGTCCGGGTTCATTTCTGTGACATTATCGGTCCGCCTGGTAATTTAGTATTTAACTTGTATTCAAATGGAAACTTCATTAAGAAGGTTGGTGGACCCGATTTCAGTTTTAATAGCCTGTACTCGCCTTTCTACTATGATTTTGTACGTTCTAATGGATCTGAATTCATTAAAATCAGCTTAGGCCCTAGCATAGACACACCAACAAACAATGCCTTTCTAAATGGACTGGAAATGTTGGAGATAATAGAGGGACCAGCGTTAAATAACCCTCCAGCTTCAGTTTGTAATATGAAAGGGCGCACGAAGATAAATGTGGGTCTTGTGGTTGGTTCAGTTATTGGAGGCCTGTCACTTATCTGGTCCTCTTGATGAAACACATGTCAGCACAAATTTTAAAGGCACTTTTGGTTACCTTGATCCTGAATACATAATGTCCCAACAGTTGACAGAAAAATCTGATGTTTACGCACTTGGCGTGGTTCTCCTTGAGGTGTTATGTGCAAGACCTGCTATTGATACAATGTGTTAGTATGAAATTGATCAGTTTGTTGTAAGGTATAATAGTTAACCTTGTTTAAGTTTCTTTAGGCTGTAAAAGCTAAGTTAGGTATGTCTTGTATCTTTGAATATTGTACTACAACTGCTTTCCCATCTTTAAGATGTGATAATAGTATTAAGTGTTCATAAACAGAAGCAGCTAACAAATTCTATGATAGTTAAACTGCTGTTGATTGGGAGTTTCACCTTGTTACCCCAGAGGAGTGTCTTACTTAGGTTCATACATTACTCCCTGCTAAATTCTATACTTTTCCCTGAGACTATCCAGCCATGCTCTTAGCCTAAACCCTGGGCAGTAGGATCATAATACAAAACAATTCAAATTGAAGGAGACACCAACTCGTGATTGATAGTGTTATGAAATATGTTTAAATGTCCTCGAAAATATTATGGATAGACATATCTCAAAAACCTCATGTCTCATATGAATCGTGGAACTCAATCATATATTTATCAGGAAAATAATTCTTGCACAGATGCTGTAGTCAGTTTAGGCCATCAGGTTGAGGTTTCACAGTCTATTAGCAAGCTTTTTGACATTGTTGGTTCGGCTAATTTAGGAGTGGTTTTGTTTAATTTTGTTTTCATCTTTAGCCAAAAGAAATGACAAGGGGCATTTAGGGGAAATTCTTCTTTTTGTTTTTTTGTATAAAGGTGAAAAAGGTTCTGTAAATGCAAATAAAACGTAAGATTAGGTAGCTAGTGCAAGATGTCAAAGAATGTATACTTTTAACTCCAAATTGCAAGAGATCGTACAAAATTAGGGTTAGCTAGTAAGAAGCTAGAAAGTTCCGAGGACTAAATCTTAAAGAACTTAGGGGGGGTGTATTTATTTTAAATTTTAAAAGATTGGATAAATTACTCAAATGGTCCTCAAACTCGATTTACATTTTGGTCCCTCAATTAAATTATTCGTTCAAATGGTCCATCAACTCTATATTAATCGCTCTATTGATCCTACCGTTACATTATGTTAATGTTGCTGTCAAATGTAAAGGTAAATGGTCCTCAAACTCGATTTACATTTTGGTCCCTCAATTAAATTATTCGTTCAAATGGTCCATCAACTCTATATTAATCGCTCTATTGATCCTACCGTTACATTATGTTCATGTTGCTGTCAAATGTAAGGGTAAAACCGTCCATAACCGTCCTATGTTCCCCAAATATGTGATAAAGTGGTGATACATAGGTGATAAAGTGGTGATAAAGGGGTGATACATAGGTCAAAAGTCTTATTTACCCCTACAAATGTAGCATGTGTTGCTCACATGACTAAATTTAACAGAAAATGTAACGGTATGACCAAAGCGCCGATTAATAAAGAGTTGGTGGACCATTTGAAAGAATAATTTAGTTTAAGAACCAAAATGTAAATCAGGTAAAATTTGAGGACTATTTGAGTAATTTACCCTAAAAGATTTTAAAGAAGTTTAGAATTTCAAGTGTATTCAATCACGATTTTATAGAAGTCTATACAATTCTGGGTGTATTCAATTCAAATTCTTTAAACTCCATTCAAATTTGGATGTATTCAATCACGATTTTAAAAGACTTTATAAAAGTTTGGGTGTATTAACAAACTCATTGATTTTAAAGGAAATACAAAAAGTGGTGGATTTCGTTTGATTATAAACTAATTTTATACAATGACAAATCTTTGTTTCTCCTAGAGATTTTGATAGATATATTATTTTTATTCCCAATATATGATTTCACCATTACTACTACCACCATTGTATCATGGCTATCACCACCGCCGCCACCACCACAATCATAGTCATCACCGCCACCCCCAGCATCACCACCATCCACCGCCACCCCCACTACCGGCCCCACCATCACCACCATCACCTCCAACACCATCACTATCATTGCCACCGCCACTGCCACCACCCTTACCTCCACTACCACCACCATTATCACCCGCACCATCATCCCCACTATCACCATCACCACAACCATCGCCAGCATCATCATCATCACCATCACTATCACCGCCGCCACAGCCACCCCCACTGCCATCACCACCACCTCCACTACCACCTCCATCACCTCACTCACACCGCCACCACCACTATCACCCCAACCTCCCCCACCATCACCCACAAACCACCATCGCCACCACAATCGCCATCACCACCACAGTCATCACCCCTAAACTTTGGTTTTTGAGTGCTATAAACTCCATTAAAATCAATAATAAAACTCTAGCAAACTCAGTTAAAATCTATACATGAATTCAATCAAAATCTATGTGGAGTTTGTAGAATTCAGTCAAACTCAATTAAACTCCATCAACTTTGTAACTCTTTCAAAATCATTTAACAACTAAATTGAATACACCCACCTAAGGACAGCACATCCAATGCTTCATCAGCATTCATATATGTTGAGCGTCTTCCTTCACTTAGTTCCACAGTTAATGCAGATGATACAGCTGTCTCCGCGAATGGATCAGTGGACACAACACCAAGCCAAGTTTTCTCCCAATTGAAGTTTGGCGATGCCAGATAAGGATAAGCTTGTGTGTTCTATGAAATATTAATATCACCTTTGATGCCTCTTTCTGGTCCTTCTCTTTAGCTTTTCCGATTTTGGGGTAGGGTCGGAGATTCTTCCGATTCTTTTGCTATGTTTTTGTTGGTTATAGTTTTTTCAGCCTTTGTGGATTAATTGTCAAAGAAAGAAGAGCCAATTTGGGTGTTATGAGTGTTTTTGTTCTTCTTCACCATCTTTGCCTCAATTTTTTATTATTTGAAATCCTAAATTTGAATGATTGAGGAACCCATATTTAAAATCCTAGCTTTTCTTATTCTTATCCACCTTTGATTCAACACACCATCGAGTTATCACCCAACCAGTATTAACTTCTCACCACCAAAAAAAAAACATGTGTATGTAAAGATTCTCTCTTATTAACCAGAAAAGAGAAGGAAAATCAATGGTAGAAATATTTTTTTTAAAAAGTTAAAAGCCCAAATGTTTGTAAAAAAATTGAAGTTTTCCCAATATCTTAGTTCTTTGACATTATGAAAAAAACTAACTGGCAAAAATAGAACAAAAAAAATCAAGATAGTGGGAAAACTTAAAGAGTATGATGTTGTGCAGAAATTCACTTTGATCTCGTTGTTGATAGACTTTAGACAAACACACACTATGGATGTATCAAACACTCACACACTCGAAAATAACCAAACACAAAGAACACGAGAATTTATAGAGATTCATCAATGCCTACGTCCTCTTTGGTGATCACCCTGAGAAATTTTACTAATGAAGATATGTTACAACTTTGGTCAAAATGTGTCTTTTTTCAGATTCTCTTTTCACTTGAAAAATTATGTTATATGATAGTCTTAAAAGAATTAGAATCTGCTCTCTTAGAAAAAATTGGATCTCTCAAACACAAATAAGTTGACCTTTTAAAAAAATTGGGCTCTTAAATAGTATTTGGCAAATTATGAGTGTTCATAATCAAATTTAAAATTCAATGAATTCAACTATGATTGCATAAACATGACTTGGAATATTCTTCTGAACATTTTTTTTTTTTTTGTTTTTTTGTATTATTGTTTATCAAAATTATCAGGAACTTTCAAAACTAGATACGGGTTTTGGTATATTAAGAATTCATAGCCTTCCCTTTGAATACATGAATCAGATGAAATTGTGAGAAATAAAAAATTACAACAGAAAAAAGACAGATAACCGATAAGGAACAAAAGAAAAATGAAATTTGGGAGCAATCAAGTTACTTTTACAAACCAGTAAAAACCCAAGCTAAAAAAAATCATTGAATGAAGAAATATGAAGAGAGGTGGTAAAGAAGGAGAGGGAGATGTTGGGAGGTAGAAAAGATGGTGCAGTGAGGTGTGACCGTGTGAGGGTGAGACGAGAAACAGAAGAATTCTGAAAAGATAAAATAATAATAATAATAAAAGGCGTAAAAGGCTTATTCCACGTAGACAAACAAGTAATAAAAAATATTTATTTTTAATCATATTAAAATTAAAAATTAAAAATCAAAAGAACAAGGAAACAGCTCTCCTTGTCTCTCCTCACGGTATATTTGGAAAACTCAGGTGGATTACTAAAAGCTACAAGGATAATGGAGAGGCCATCCACCTAAAACAGGTCAGTTTCTTGACTCGCTGCTTACCAATCGTTCTAATACAAATGCAGTGTTCTTTGTATCATTGTGGACCATTGATGTTTCTGCTGTTCTCATCCAAACACAAAAAAACAGAAAAGACGAGTCATCAAACTTGTTATTGGTGGTGGTGGATGATATTTCAGTCAATTATATGGCTCTCTTTGACAAGAAAGAACTGAAACACCCAAAATGTCCTCTGTTGTATTTGCATAGACTATGAAATATAAGGGAGAAATAAATAAATCTACCATACTTTTTCTTGGAATTTTCCTACTGCAGACTTGCACGGTTGGTGTTTCAACTTCGAAGTCCACGACTTTCCTATTCCAAGTCTTTGTTTTCCATAATTTCCGTTGTCACTCAGCTCAGATGAGCTTTCCTTCGGCTACCAATTAGCAAAATACAGCAACTTCATTAATTCTCATGGAAAGCCTTCATAACCGTAACATCCATATCCCACTATTTTCTCTGCTTTTTTTTCTCTTCCACTTCTCATCCCTTCACTTTCTCTCTTTAGCCTATGAGCAACCTGATAAGTATTTCGTCAATTGTGGGTCTAAAGATGATGCAAACCTCAATGACCGGGTGTTCACTGCAGACTCGAGTTCTGGTTTTTTGTGCTTAGAGAAAAGCAGGGCCGTTGAAAGTACCAACCAGTCGCAAAGTCTGTACCGAACAGCAAGAATTTTCTACAACCAATCCTACTATGAGTTCCCGATCGCTGAAAACGGTACTTATATTGTCCGTCTGCATTTCTTGGCTTTCTCCTCCTCAATTAATCTTTCATCAGCTCTTTTTGATGTTTCGGCTTTTCCTACTGTTTCAAATTTTGGGTTCAAACTGTTGAACAATTTCACTGCCAAGAACAGTAGCAACCCTCCTTTGATAGAGGAGTTCTTTCTTGCCATTGGTCCTGGCTCATTGAAATTATATTTTACACCTCAAGGATCATCGTTTGCATTTGTAAATGCCATTGAAGTCTTCCGTGCACCTTTGAAATTCAGCCCTCGGAATTACAGCAGTAGTTTCCCTTTAGTTCTACATACAATTTACAGGGTGAATGTTGGAGGCCAGAACATCACACCAGATAATGACATAATAAGGAGAAACTGGGAACAAGATGGATATCTGTCTAATTCAAACTTTACACAGAATAGCCGATCCCCCTCACAGACGCTTATTAGACAGTCGGTAGAATCTGATGGTTTCGTTGGTGCTGATAATGATTCTATTGCTCCAGATTTAGTTTACCTGACTGCCAAAGTGATGACCGATAGTCCTAAGGGGCTATCCAATCCCTTCAACATAACCTGGTCTTTTAATGTGAGTGCGGATGCTAGACACCTCGTCCGGGTTCACTTCTGTGACAATATCGGTCCGGCTGGTAATGTAGTATTTAACTTGTATTCAAATGGAAACTTCATTACGAAGGTTGGTGGACCCGCTTTCCGTTTTAATAGCCTGTACTCGCCTTTCTACTATGATTTTGTATTGAGTTCTAATGGATCTGAATTCATTAACATCAGCATAGGCCCTAGCATAGGCACAACAACAATTAACAATGCCTTTCTAAATGGACTGGAAATGTTGGAGATAATAGAGGGACCAGCTTTAAGGAACCCTCCAGCTTCAGTTTGTAATAAGAAAGGAAGCAAGAAGATAAAGGTGGGTCTTGTGGTTGGTTCAGTTATTGGAGGCCTGTCACTTATCTGCATTCTGATTGTTGGAATCTTGTTCGGTTTGAAATACAGAAAGGCAAAGCGTGTTGAAACTTCGGAATGGTCACCAATGCCTGCAGTTGGAGGAGGGAGTAACCACAGCAGGTTGACTGATGGAACCATTACTGGTTCCCCTATGAATTATCTAAATCTTGGGTTGAAGATATCTTTTGCTGAACTTCAGCAAGCAACAAACAACTTTGACACAAAATTGTTGATAGGTGAGGGTGGCTTTGGGAATGTCTACAGAGGAACTCTGTTGAATGGCAGAAATGTAGCTGTTAAGCGAGGAAAACGAGATGAGAAAGGGTCAGGCCAAGGCCTTCCAGAATTTCAAACAGAGATCATGGTTTTGTCCAAGATTCGCCACCGTCATCTTGTTTCCTTAATTGGGTACTGTGATGAAAGATCTGAGATGATACTGGTCTACGAATTTATGGAAAAAGGGAGCTTGAGAGATCATTTATATGATTCAAACTTGCCTCGCTTGTCATGGAAGCAAAGGCTTGAAATTTGCATTGGTGCAGCAAGGGGTCTTCATTACCTCCACAAAGGTGCAGCTGGGGGAATCATTCACCGTGATGTTAAGTCCACCAACATCTTGTTGGATGAAAACCATGTTGCCAAAGTTGCTGACTTTGGCCTCTCAAGATCTGGTCCTCTCGATGAAACACATGTCAGCACAAATGTTAAAGGCACTTTTGGTTACCTTGATCCTGAATACATAATGTCCCAACAGTTGACAGAAAAATCTGATGTTTACTCATTCGGTGTGGTTCTCCTTGAGGTGTTATGTGCAAGACCTGCTATTGATACAATGCTCCCAAGAGACCAAATGAATTTAGCTGAATGGGGAATGCTTTGCAAGAAGAAAGGGTTGCTTGAACAGATTGTTGACTCTTCAATCAAGAATCAGATTGACCCTAGCTCATTAAGAAAATTTAGTGAGACAGCAGAGAAATGCTTGCAAGAAGATGCTAATGATAGGCCTACAATGGGTGATGTGCTATGGGACTTGGAGTATGCATTCCAGCTCCAGCAAACAGCAAAGCATAGAGAACCCCATGAAGACAGCACAGCCAATGCTTCATCAGCATTTGTATTGCCAAATGTTCAGCGTTTTCCTTCAGTTAGCTCCACGATTAACATAGATGATCAGGCTCTTCCCGGATACGATGAATTAGATACAACAGAAGTTGAAGTTTTCTCCCAGTTGAGAGTTGGTGATGCCAGATAAATTTGTTCAGTTTGTAAGGTATATTAGTTAACCTTGTTTAAGTTTCTTTAGGCTGTAAAAGCTAAGTTTGGTATGCCTTGTTAATTTTAGTCCTATCTTTGATTATTGTACTACAACTGCTTTCCCATCTTTAAGATGTGATAATAAACAGAAGCAGCTAACAAATTCTAGGATAGTTAAACTGCTGTTGATTTGGAGTTTCACCGTGTTACCCCAGAGGAGTGTCTTACTTAGGTTCATGCATTACTCCCTGCTATATTCTATACTTTTCCTGAGACTATCCAGCCATGCTCTTAGCCTAAACCCTGGGCAGTAGGATCATGATACAAAACAATTCGAATTGAAGGAGGCATAAACTCGTGATTGATAGTGTTATGAAATATGTTTAAATGCCCTGGAAAATATTATGGATAGGTGTGTCTCAAAAACCTCATGTCTCATATGAATCCCGGAACTCAATCATTTATTTATGAGGGAAAAAATTCTTGCACAGTTGCTTTAGCTAGTTTAGGCCATCAGGTGCACAGTCTAGTCCTCTGGCTTTGAAGTTGTTAATAGCAAGCTTTTTGACCAAAAGAAATGACAAGGGACACTTATGTGAAATTCTTCTCTTTGTTTTTTCTTACAAAGGTGAAAAAGGCTCTGTAAATGCAAATAGAACGTAGGATTAGGTAGCAAAATTAAGATGGATGTGACTGATAACTTTTCTTTGCTTTAATGTCTGCGTGTTTGAAGATAGGATTTTTATCTTAAATGTTTCTTTTTCCCTATGATATGTAATTAATTACATTTTTGTCACCCATGTTCTTACGAGGGAAATATTTGCCTTCTGTTATTCTCTTGGATGCTTTACATCGGCAGTGCAGTTCTTGCAGCAAGAATCATGTAGGTACAGGGTAGATAGAATTGTAAATTTCGTGATGTGCGACATATAATTAGCAGCCTCAGTTACTAGATGTTTCCAGATTTGTTGTGATAAGGCATTACCTTTCTTCTTTTCATCATAGGTACTTAAAATTCATTACCATGGCCTTAGTTTTTTCAGTTTGTTATGTTAGGGATTGGGTCTCCAACTGGTGGAAGGTTTAAGATTGACATCAATTGTCGAGAATCATTGTACATTTAAGACTACAAATATCCATGTAGAATTCGAAAGCCAAGAGTTAAATGGCATTTAATTTAAAGTTCTGAGAATTTGATAACAGAGAAGTATAAACTGTGCAGTTAGATTTGGTTTAGTTCCCTCTTTTAATATAATTTGATCACCGAAATTCTACTGTCATTTACTTCAAGAGGCCAAGAAATGGTACTGTCATTTACATTGAATCCAATGTAGACCATGAAGTATATAACCATTGGTTTTGTTGGAACTTGATAGTATTGCTGAAATATTGAAGGAGGGTTATCCCTCTTTCTTTTAGCTCTTGGCTGGTTTCATTTGGAGGAGGAGGATGACATATTATTCTTCCTCTCTCTCTTCTACAATGAAGTATTAATTTTAACATGTTTTCCCTATTTATCATTGAGCATTTAAATGTCATTTTGCTTGTAGTACTTTGCTTCAAAGCTCAAAGACAAAGCATTTGTGCTCTTATTTCAATCTGTATTCATGCATTTGTATGGTCAAGAATGATTAGAACATGCTATTGTTGGCTCTCCAAGTGGATGTATTAATATGTTCCACTGTAATGGTTATGATTTCATATTAATTTTGAAGCTAATAAAAATGGCTTTGAGGAAATTAGATTGTTTGAGTCATATGTTGTGCACAATTGAGTTCAAATTTTCTCTGCACTTATTTCAGCCAAAAAGAGCAGCTAATTATATTTGGTAATGTATATGCGCACGACATGAGATGCCATTGGTTGAGCATATGTCATTTATTTTGTTTTTTCTTGATATTTTCATTGTTTTTTTCCTGAGTCCATTTTGATAGATGTACACACATGTACAGAAAACTTAAACATCATAGTTAAGCTTTAATGTCTTCGTAAAATTAATGCATCTCTTTTGCTTGCCTAAATACACAACAATTAAGATATGAAGCAACTTGAAGAGTTTTCTTTTTTTGGGTCAAGAACTTGAAGAGTTTATGATTACTAGCTGGTTATCTATTGTGGTGGATTCTCTCTCTCCTCTCTCTAATGCCAATGCTCATATTTGGCAGATAATGTGATTAAGGAGGCTCACAAAGGCAGATATAGGCTCATAAAGGGTGTTTTATTTGGAGCTTCTAATTCATTGATGTTAGATACGTTCAGTTTTAAGTACAAGTTTTTTATTCAATTATTGTATCTAATCACTATATTAAGTGGAAATGAAATTTCAGTTTGTTATTTAATATATATATATATATATATATATTTTAAAGGTCTGAAATACCATACTATATGGTTAATTTAGACCCAATTTGCATTTGAGTCCCTCAATTTCTAAAATCGTTCTCGTGGTCCTTTAACTTCAGTTTTGTTAGGGCAAAAAGTCTTGCAGTCAATTTTATTAACTTTTCTATTAAATGTAGGGGCAAAATGGTATTTTGTATTAAATTGATTAAAATATGAATAAAAAATTAAAATTAAACTCTCTCTCCCTCCTCTATCTTGATTTCTACTCGACCCAAATTTTTTTATTTTTTTATTTTGGTTTTTTATTTGATTTTCTTTTATCGTTATTTTAAAGATATAATTTTTTATTCATTTTTTTGTTTTAATATAAAAATATCATTTTGCCCCTGCATTTACTAGAAAAAGTTAACAAAATTGACGGTAGAACCATCTGTCCTAACGAAAGTGAAGTTAAAACACCACGAGAACGATTTTGAAAATTGAGGGACTCAAATGCAAATTGGGTCCAAATTCATGAACTAATAAAATGATTAACCCCCATATACTATATTAAGTGGAAATGAAATTTCAGTGTGTACTTTTTTTTATTTAAACAATTGGCATTGGGCACGATTTTCAAATTGTGTTTATATTTTTTTTTTATGAAATATATACAAGATTTTGAAATTGTGTTTAGCTCACATATGTGAAATCACTATATTTAACAATTCAGTCACTTGTCAAAATAAGAGCACAAATACTTGGCATTCGTGCTCTGTACACCAATTACTTTAAAGTGGCTGCACTGTGACCTTCTTCATAGAGCACAATTATCCGTACTATTTGACATAAAAGAGCACAAATGGAATTTGCAAAGTGATATAAGACTAGAGGTGAATTTGCAAAGTGTTTTTCTTATTTGGGTTATTTGTCTCTGATAGATTGATATAAGACTAGAGGTGAATTTGCAAAGTGGGTGCAGGTGAATTTGCAAGATTTTTTTGGTATTAATCATGGCTTCGTCTTGCAGCTCCCGACCCTCAACCCAAATTTCGCGCAGAGGTTGAAGAAGCTCTGCACAAATAACTAAGTTTTTTTAAGGATTTTGCTCAAGCCATGGTTGAGGAGGGTGAAGAGGTGAGGGAGGGGCTGGTGACTAGTGTAGTGTTGCTGAGGGGGTGGGGCTACGTCGTAAAGGGAGAAGAGAGGGTTTTTGTTTTTGTTTTTTTATTTTTAAAAATGTTATTTTATTATTAGTTTACTTTAATAATTTAAGGTTGTTTTAGGAATAATGGTGGGTGGAAAGATGAGATTTTATTTTTTTCAAAATAGTGGGTGGGGAAATAGGACAGTAGGTGGAAATAGCAGCACTCATTGTGATGAAGGTGTTAAAGAATGCACATAGTTCCATATCAGAAACTTAACAAAATAGAAATTCTCATATAATGAATGGCTCCACTCCAAATAACATCGAGACTCGAGACCTTTTGTATAAAACCTCACACCTGCTAAACAGGTGGTTAAGTTGGAAACAATATCGATATTGCTAGTGGTGGGCCAAATGTTCGTCCCTCTAAAATCTTAACAGAATGCGATGATACTAGACTTTTGAGAGATCATTTATAATTTATGTGACTCAAATGGCACTTCTAAATTATCATAAATACTTTCCATTGGTTCATAAGAAAAATGTGGGTCTCGTGGTTGGTTCGGTTGTTGGAAGCCTGTCTTTCATCTGCATTTTGGCTTTTGGAATCTTGTTTGGTTTGAAACACATAAGAAGGTTGACTGTGATTCGTGGGGTGAACATATCATTTGCTGAAGTTCAGCTTGCAACAAACAACTTTGACAATGAAAAACTGCTTGGTGAAGTTGGCTTTGAGAATGTTTACAGAGGAACTCTCCTCGACGGAAGAAAAGTAGCTGTCAAGCGAGCTAAGAAAGGTTCAGGCCAAGACCTTCGAGAATTCCATACAGAGATCAAGGTTTTGTCCAAGATTCACCATCGCCATCTTGTTTCCTTAATTGGGTACTGTGATGAAAAGTCTAAGATGATAATTGTCTATGAGTTCATGGAAAATGGGACCTTGAGTGATCATTCATAGGCTTCGGACTTTCCTTGTTTGCCCTGGAAGCAGAGACTTGAAATTTGCATTGGTGACCCACTGGAAAGTTGCTCATGAGTTCCTAGAAACAAAACCGTGAGGGCATGGGGGGCCCAAAGCAGACAATATCGTGCTACGGCGAAACCGATCCGAGATATGATATGCACTATGTGAAGCAATTTGCTAACATATCTGTCCCCAACAGTGTAATTGAAAAATAGAGATATGGGATATAAAACTATATTGGTGGCGAAGGGGTACACACAGAGATATAGGATAGACTACCATGAGACCTTTGCCCCAATAGCCAAGATTAACACTATTAGAGTCTTATTGTCTCTAGCAGCAAGTTAACACTATTAGAGTCCTATTGTCTCTAGTAGCAAATCTCGATTCACCATTACATCAGTTTGATGTCAAAAATGCATTCTTACCTGGAGACTTGGAAGAAGAAGTATATATGGACTTACCCCTAGGATGTAATTCAGCTCAGAAAAATTTACTACATTGATTGTTTATGTAGATAACATAGTCGTAATTGGAAACAACGCAGGAGAGCAATTGAAGTTGCAAAAGTATTTGTCTTAAGAATTTGAGATGAAGGATTTAGGTGATCTAAAGTACTTTCTCGGAATCGAAGTAGCAAGATCAAAAATTGGTATATTTCTGTCTCAAATGAAGTATGTAATTGATCTACTCACTGAAACATGAATGCTCGAATGTAAGCCTACTGACACACCTATTGAGATGAATCACAAATTGTGTGAAGACATGGACCAAGAGCCAACCAATAAGGAACAGTACCAAAGCCTTGTTGGAAGGTTGATATACCTGGCACACACAAGACCAGATATTGCATATGTTGTGAGTGTAGTTAGTCAATTTATGCATTCATCCAGTGTTTCTCATAGGAATGCAGTTTATTGGATCTTAAGATACTTAAAGTCAGCTCCTGGGAAAAGATTAATGTTCTTAAAAAATGGAGATCCTGAAGTTGTTGGATATACATATGCTAATTGGGCTGGTTCCATTACAGATAGACGCTCTACTTCTAGTTACTTTACATTCGTGGAAGGTAACCTAGTCACTTGAATGAGTAAAAAATAAAATGTGGTTTTTTAGGCTAGTGCAGAAGCAGAGTATCGAGGAATGGCTCATGGAGTTTGTGAATTATTGTGGATCAGAAGACTCTTGACAGAATTGGGCTTCAAGCCAGAAAAGCCAATGGAGTTACATTGTGACAACACGTTAGCTATCAATATTGCCCATAATCCAGTTCAACATAATCGAACCAAACATGTTGAGGTGAATAGACATTTCATCAAAGAAAAAATTGAGAATAAGATCATCCACCTACCATTCTTAAAATCAGAAGATCAGCTAGTAGATGTCTTAACAAAAGCTGTTTGTGGAAGAGCATTTCATGACTCACTTATCAAGTTGGGCATTGATGACATATATACACCAACTTGAGGAGGAGTGTTGACGTGAGTCTCCCAATTAATCAAGGAGATTTACTTCATTGATTAATTAAGGAATTTACTTTCTTATTTTATATAGATGACAAATCATTGTATAATTAGGAGAGAGTATCCTAATTGATTACTATATCTATTTCCTTGTAAAGCACTTATGTAAATTCCTATATATACCTCTTTATGGAGAAGAATAAAACTTAACCCAAAGTATTCAAACCATATTCATATTTTAGCAATCAACAAGTCTTTTTTTTTCTTTTCTTTTTTTTTCATTCCTTCACATTTGTTTAGATGAGCTACTTACTCAACATTTGCATTGCCGGATCTGACTAGGCTAAAGAGTCGGCATTTATTATGGGGTCGGAGGAGGCTAGGTCTGGGCAGCGGCCGGTCTTGATGTTTTGAATGCCCGGGCGAAAATCAAAAAGTGACTTTTTTTTCAGATTCTCTTTTCACTTGAAAGTTTATGTTATATGATAGTCTTAAAAGAATTAGAATCTGCTCTCTTAGAAAAATTGGATCTCTCAAACACAAATAAGTTGACCTTTTAAAAAAAATTGGGCTCTTAAATAGTATTTGGAAAATTATGAGTGTTCATAATCAAATTTAAAATCAATGAATTCAACTCTGAATGCATAAACATGACATGGATATTCTTCTGAACACAATAGTTTTTTTTTGAATTTTTGTATTATTGTTTATCAAAATTATCAGGAACTTTCAAAACTAGATACGGGTTCTGGTATATTAAGAAGTGGTCATAGCCTTCCCTTTGAATACATGAATTAGATGAAATTGTGAGAAATAAAAATTGCAGCAGAAAAAGACAGATAACCGATAAGGAACAAAAGAAAAATGAAATTTGGGAGCAATCAAGTTACTTTTACAAACCAGTAAAGACCCAGGAAAAAAAATCATTGAATGAAGAAATATGAAGAGAGGTGGTAAAGAAGGAGAGGGAGATGGTGGGAGGTAGAAAAGATGGTGCGGTGAGGTGTGACCGTGTGAGGGTGAGACGAGAGACAGAAGAATTCTAAAAAGATAAAATAATAATAAAAGGCGTAAAAGGCTTATTCCACGTAGACAAACAAGTAATAAAAAATATTTATTTTTAATCATATTAAAATTAAAAATTAAAAATCAAAAGAACAAGGAAACAGCTCTCCTTGTCTCTCCTCACGGTATATTTGGAAAACTCAGGTGGACTACTTACTAATAGGTTAAAAAAGCTACAAGGGTAATGGAGAGGCCATCCACCTAAAACAGGTCAGTTTCTTGACTCGCTGCTTACCAGTCGTTTTAATACATACGCAGTGTTCTTTGTATCATTGTGGACCCTTGATGGTTCTGCTGTTCTCATCCAAACACAGAAAGACAGTAAAGACGAGTCATCAAACTTGTTATTGGTGGTGGATGATATTTCAGTCAATTATATGGCTCTCTTTGACAAGAAAGAACTGAAACACCAAAAATGTCCTCTTTTTGTATTTGCATAGTCTATGAAATATAAGGGAGAATTAAATAAATCTACCATACTTTTGCTTCGAATTTTCTAACTGCAGACTTGCATGGTTGGTGTTTCAACTTCAAAGTCCACGACTTTCCTATTCCAAGTCTTTGTTTGCCATAATTTCCATTGTCACTCAGCTCCATAACCATAAAATCCAGCAACTCATTATTATTTTTTATTACTCTGTTTGTCTCTGTTTGCTCCATAACCATACTTATCTACCATATTTTTTATTACGCCTGCATTACTCTGTTTGCCAGGATCAATCTCATGGAAAGCCTTCATAACCATAAAATCCATATCCCTCTATTTTCTCTGTTTTTTTTTCTCCTCCACTTTTCATCCCTTCACTTTCTCTCTTTAGCATGTGAGCAACCTCATAAGTATTTCGTTAATTGTGGGTCTAAAGCTGATGCAAACCTCAGTGGCCGGGTGTTCACTGCAGACTCGAGTTCTGGTTTTTTGTGCTCAGAGAAAAGCAGGGCCATTGAAAGAACCAACCAGTCGCCAAGTCCGTACCAAACAGCAAGAATTTTCTACAACCAATCCTACTATGAGTTCACGATCGCTGAAAACGGTACTTATCTTGTACGCCTGCATTTCTTGGCTTTCTCCTCCTCAGTTAATCTCTCCACAGCTCTTTTTGATGTTCTGGCTTTTCCTAATGTTTCAAATTCTGGGTTCAAACTGTTAAGCAATTTCACTGCTAAGAATAGTAGCAACTCTCCTTTGATAGAGGAGTTCTTCCTTGGGATTGATCCTGGCAAATTTAAAATATATTTTGTTCCTCAAGAATCATCTTTTGCATTTGTAAATGCCATTGAAGTCTTCCTTGCCCCTGCAAGTTTCAAGCCTGAGCATTACAGCAGTAGTTTCCCTTTAGTTCTACGTACAACTTACAGGGTGAATGTTGGAGGCGAGAAAATCAAACCAGATAATGACAAAATATGGAGAAACTGGGATAATGATTCAAACGTTTATCTGTCTAATTCAAACGCTGCAGAGGATAGCCAACCCTCCTCAGAGTCGCTTAAGTGGCAGCCATTTGAATCAGATGGTTTCGTTGGTGCTGCTAGTGATTGTATTGCTCCATATTCAGTTTACCAGACTGCCAAATTGATGACCGATAGTCCTAAGGGGCTATCCAATCCCTTCAACATAACCTGGTCTTTTAATGTGAGTGCGGATGCTAGACACCTCGTCCGGGTTCACTTCTGTGACATTATTGGTACGCCTGGTACTTTAGTATTTAACTTGTATTCAAATGGAAACTTCATTAAGAAGGTTGGTGGACCCGATTTCAATTTTAATGGCCTGTACTCGCCCTTCTACTATGATTTTGTATTGAATTCTAGTGGATCTGAATTCATTAACATCAGCATAGCCCCTAACACAGACATAACAACAATTAACAATGCCTTTCTAAATGGACTGGAAATGTTGGAGATAATAGAGGGACCAGCTTTAAGGAACCCTCCAGCTTCTGTTTGTAATATGAAAGGGCGCAAGAAGATAAAGATGGGTCTTGTGGTTGGTTCAGTTATTGGAGGCCTGTCACTTATCTGCATTCTGATTGTCGGAATCTTGTTCGGTTTGAAATACAGAAAGGCAAAGCGTGTTGAAACTCGGAATGGTCACCAATGCCTGCATTTGGAGGAGGGAGTACCCGCAGCAGGTTGACTGATGGAACTATTACTGGTTCCCCTATGAATTATCTAAATCTTGGGTTGAAGATATCTTTTGCTGAACTTCAGCAAGCAACAAACAACTTTGACGCAAAATTGTTGATAGGTGAGGGTGGCTTTGGGAATGTCTACAGAGGAACTCTGTTGAATGGCAGAAATGTCGCTGTCAAGCGAGGTAAACGAGATGAGCAAGGGTCAGGCCAAGGCCTTCCAGAATTTCAAACAGAGATCATGGTTTTGTCCAAGATTCGCCACCGTCATCTTGTTTCCTTAATTGGGTACTGTGATGAAAGGTCTGAGATGATACTGGTCTACGAGTTCATGGAAAAAGGGAGCTTGAGAGATCATTTATATGATTCAAACTTGCCTTGCTTGTCATGGAAGCAAAGGCTTGAAATTTGCATTGGTGCAGCAAGGGGTCTTCATTACCTCCACACAGGTGCAGCTGGGGGAATCATTCACCGTGATGTTAAGTCCACCAACATCTTGTTGGATGAAAACCATGTTGCCAAAGTTGCTGACTTTGGCCTTTCAAGATCTGGTCCTCTTGATGAAACACATGTCAGCACAAATGTTAAAGGCACTTTTGGTTACCTTGATCCTGAATACATAATGTCCCAACAGTTGACAGAAAAATCTGATGTTTTCTCATTTGGCGTGGTTCTCCTTGAGGTGTTATGTGCAAGACCTGCTATTGATACAACGCTCCCAAGAGACCAAATGAATTTAGCTGAATGGGGAATGCTTTGCAAGAAGAAAGGGTTGCTTGAACAAATTGTTGACTCTTCAATCAAGAATCAGATTGATCCTAGCTCATTCAGAAATTTTAGCGAGACAGCAGAGAAATGCTTGCAAGAAGATGCTAATGATAGGCCTACAATGGGTGATGTGCTGTGGGACTTGGAGTATGCATTCCAGCTCCAGCAAACAGCAAAGCATAGAGAACCTCATGAAGACAGCACAGCCAATGCTTCATCAGCATTTGTTTTGCCAAATATTCAGTGTTTTCCTTCAGTTAGCTCCACGATTAACATAGATGATCTGGCTCTTCCCGGAGACGATGAATTAGATACGACAGAAGTTGAAGTTTTCTCCCAATTGAGAGTTGGTGATGCCAGATAGATTTGTTCAGTTTGTAAGGTATATTAGTTAACCTTGTTTAAGTTTCTTTAGGCTGTAAAAGCTAAGTTTGGTATGCCTTGTTAATTTTAGTCCTATCTTTGATTATTGTACTACAACTGCTTTCCCATCTTTAAGATGTGATAATAAACAGAAGCAGCTAACAAATCCTGCATCTTTTCCCTGGAAAAGTTACACTACCAAATGATAGGCTGAAGTACCAACCTGGAGGAATTACTATGTATATCGCCTCAAATCTGGCCTATTACTATTAGGACAGCAAAAGAATTGATAGATAATAGCATCTGTATATGGTCCATCCATGAAAGGTAATTGGCTGGTTTGCAGCTCTGTTTTACTTTGATTTTGGATTTATGACTACAAGCTTGGGTTCAGGGTTCAAAGTTGAAAAGTTGGGGAGGAAATGATTATGAAAGGGTGTATGAATTGTGAAGATACCTTTTGGCGAAGGTGGGTCTCTTCAATGCATTGGTGATGAAGGCTCTGACTCTGAGAGATCATCTATGTGATTCAAATGGCACTTCTAAATTATCATTTATTAAAGCACAAAAAGAAAAAATGATTGTCAGGTGGACCAGTGTCTCATCCAATGCAAAACACATGAAGACGAGCGCCATCAAACTTTTTCTTAGTGGAAGAAACTTTAGTCAATTATATGGTTCACTTTAACTAGAGAAAACTAAGATACCCAAAATGTCCTTTGTTGTATTTGCTTAGTCTATGAAATATAAGGGATATTTACAGAAATTCCACCCTAATTTCGCTTGCAATTTTCTATTTTCCAATGTGCATGGTTGATATTAGTAGAATTAAAGCATCCATCTTAAAATCAATTGGCTTTAATTTCCTGACGTGGGATTCTCTCAACAAACATTTATCAACTTTAAAAGTCCGCAACTTTTCCTGTTCCAAGTCTTTGTCTTGCATAATTTCCACAATCATTCAGCTCCAAATTCCATTCCCTGCTGAGCATTGCTTCGGCTAAGAATTAGCAAAATCCAGTGACTCCATTGTCTGCCATGGAAAATCTTCATAACTGTAGAACCCTTGTCCCCATGTTTTCTCTGCTTGCTCTTCTCCTCCACTTATCATCCTTTCACTCTCTGTCTCTAGCTTATGAGCTCCCAGATGAGAATTTCATCAATTGTGGATCAGATGCTGCTATAACCTTAGATCGCAGGACGTTCATTGCAGATGGTTCCTTCTCCTCACAGAAAAGCAAGGCTGTCAAAGCCAGCAACCAGCTTCCAGATAATATATCAATTCTCTACCAAACCGCAAGAATTTTCAGCCAGCAATCCTACTATAAGTTCGAGGTCAGTGAAAACGGTACTTATCTTGTACGCCTGCATTTCTTGGCTTTCTCCTCCTCAGTTAATCTCTCCACAGCTCTTTTTGATGTTCTGGCTTTTCATAATGTCTCAAATTCTGGGTTCAAACTGTTGAGCAATTTCACTGCTAAGAATAGTAGCAACTCTCCTTTGATAAAGGAGTTCTTCCTTGGGATTGATCCTGGCATATTTAAAATATATTTTATTCCTCAAGCATCATCTTTTGCATTTGTAAATGCCATTGAAGTCTTCCTTGCCCCTACAAGTTTCAGCCCTGAGAATGACAACAGTAGTCTTCCTTTAGTTCTGCATACAATTTACAGGGTGAATGTTGGAGGCCAGGAAGTCACACCAGATATTGACACAATATGGAGAAACTGGGAACAAGATGATAGGTATCTGTCTGATCCAAACTCTGCCAAGGAATTCCACTACTCGGGGGAGCCTGATTATTACAAGGAAGAGCTTAATGACCCAGAAACTCATTTCATTGCTGCTAATGAGTTTATTGCCCCGGATTTTGTTTACCAAACTGCCAAGGGGATGAATCCTAGCAGGCCATTCGATTCCTTCAACATAACCTGGTCTTTTAATGCTGCGAGAAGAAACGCTAGGCACCTTGTCCGGGTTCACTTCTGTGACATTATTGGTCAACCTGGTAATATAGTATTTAATTTGTACTCAAATGGCAACTTCAGTAAGAAGGTTGGTGGAAATCAGTCCCCTTTCTACACAGCCGGCTACTCCTTTCTACTATGATTTTGTGGTGAGTTCTAATGAATCTCAACTCATTAGCATCAGCGTAGGTGCTCGGATAAACTCTACAAACAAAACTGCCTTTCTGAATGGTCTGGAAATGTTGGAGATAATGGAGAGCTCAGTTTCAGTTTCTGATGTGAAAGAGTCTCTGAAGAAAAATGTGGGTCTTGTGGTTGGTTCGGTTGTTGGAAGCCTGTCTTTCATCTGCATTTTGGCTTTTGGAATCTTGTTTGGTTTGAAACACATAAGAAGGTTGACTGCGATTCGTGGGGTGAAGATATCATTTGCTGAAGTTCAGCGTGCAACAAACAACTTTGACGACGAAAAGCTGCTTGGTGAAGGTGGCTTTGGGAATGTTTACAGAGGAACTCTCCTCGATGGAAGAAAAGTAGCAGTCAAGCGAGCTAAGAAAGGTTCAGGCAAGGCCTTGGAGAATTCCATACAGAGATCAAGATTTTGTCCAAGATTCACCATCGCCATCTTGTTTCCTTAATTGGGTACTGTGATGAAAAGTCTGAGATGATAATTGTCTATGAGTTCATGGAAATGGGACCTTGAGTGATCATTTATACGCTTCGGACTTTCCTCGTATGCCCTGGAAGCAGAGACTTGAAATTTGCATTGGTGCAGCAAGGGGTCTGGATTACCTCCACACAGTTGCAGCTGGGGGCATCATCCACCGTGATGTTAAGTCCAACAACATATTGCTTGATGAAAACAATGTTGCTAAAGTTGCTGACTTTGGCCTTTCAAAACATGGTTCTGTTGATGAAACTCATGTTGTCACCAAAGTGAAAGGCACCCTTGGTTACCTTGATCCGGACTATGTGATGTCCGAACAGTTGTCTGAAAAATCTGATGTGTACTCGTTCGGGGTAGTTCTTCTTGAGGTGTTATGTGGAAGACCTCCTATTGATAGAGATCTCCCAAGAGATGAAATAAATTTAGCTGAGTGGGTGCTACATTGCAAGACGAAAGGGTTGCTTGAACAGGTTGTAGACTCTTCACTTGAGGGTCAGATTGATGCTAACTCGCTGCGAGTATTTAGTGACACGGCTGAGAAATGTCTGCAAAAAGACGCTAATGATCGGCCTACAATGGTTAATGTGCTGTCTGACTTGGAGTATGCATTAAAGCTCCATGTAGCACTAAATCTTAGAGAACTTAGTTCTGAGGACAGCACAGCCAATGCTTCATCAGCATTCATATATGTTGAGCGTCTTCCTTCACTTAGTTCCACAGTTAACGCAGACGATACAGCTGTCTCCGCTGACGGATCGGTGGACACAACACCAAGCCAAGTTTTCTCCCAGTTGAAGTTTGGCGATGCCAGATAAGGATAAGCTTGTGTGTTCTGTGAAGTATTAATATTACCCTTGTTTTTAGTTTCTTGCCAGTGAAGCTAACTTTGGTGTGGCTGTGTTGATTTTGGTATTGTCTTTGATTATTGTACTATTAGCTCTGATATCTCATCTTTAAGATTCAACATAGTAGTGTTGTTTCTCATCTTTGATTGAACCCACTTGACTCTTGTTACGTGAGGAGAGATAGAGAGAACGGGCAGTGCCGCCGAGACATGGAAATTTTTCTCCTTGTGCTTGCGTCGACGTTTAATGGCGTTGCCTCAGAACCAAGCCTTGCAAAATTGGCTAGCTTGGGCAGTAGGATCAAACGCAAAAAAGTATTCAAATTGAAGGGGACTCAGAACTCGTGATTGATACTGATACTGAACATGTTAAAATGCTCTGGAACTAAAATATCTCTTAGAATCTCAGATCACATATGGGTTAGGGAACAAAAGCATATTTATCAGGAAAAGAATTCTTCCAACGGTTGAGGTTTCAATCTAAGAAAATAAATCTGCCTTTTGAATTTTTTACTTGTATCATACAATTTGTAAGCTTTTTGACACTCTTGGCTCTGCTACTTTAAAAAGGTGGTTTTTTTTCATAGGCTTAAAAGCATTCAACTCAAAATTAATCGGTAACGATCGAAAGACCCAATATATTATGCACTGCAATGAAAAGCTTCAAATTTCTACTGGAATTTTAACTTTTATAGTTTCTAACACGATCCTCTGTAAGCAGCCAGATTGTGGTAAATATGTGAATCAATTAAATTCTAGCGCGCATGCTCTAATATCACGATACAATTTGAGAATGAGATCATCAGGACCAAAATATAACATAAACATACAGTTAAGTAAGGCTTCAAATTTCCGGCGTGGGATTTTATTTTCATTTTTAACTACAAATTGCAGCAGAGCAGATCATTAAGAGTCACAGTTAGCTAATTGGCTTCTGATTTTGCTAGCAGAAAGCTAGAAAGTTGCTCTAGAGTTTGCAGCAACAAGTCGGTATACAAACTATTTGAAACAATTAAGCCAATAACAATAAGCTATAGCTTCTAAGAAGTGTGTTTCGTTTCTTGAATTTCATAATAATCCGTTGCAAATATACATATGTTTAGGCTACAAACATCCACATCTGATGATATACATAAAGAAGAATTACATGATGATTGAAGGAAGCCATTAAAAAAGTTTTAAAAGTATGGAATTAAGCTAGTGGCCAGAGCCCTTCCTACTTGGTCCAGAAGCCAACGTAGACATTTGATACCTTGCAAAAACCTTGTCCCTCTTCTTCCTTGCAGTTGCAGAGCTTGAAAATGAAGGTTTTGATCCGATCAATCTATGCCCATTACCAGAAACTTTGGAACGAAGAGCTCTACATTCAACTTGAACAACAACAACGTTGGACTGTGAGAAGAACACTAGCGCCATCAAAACTAATAGACATAAGCGAAAGTGTCTCATTCTTGATGCTTCAAGAACTATAACTTGTTTAATGAACCTCTTTCTTCCCCCCAACTATATAGGATGATTCTTTCAACTATATTCTCCTCCTAGGCAAAAAGAATGGAGCAGAAAAAGATTGGCTTTGGGGTTCTTTGGCATCTTCATTTCATAAGCTATTTAACGTCCTTTGTTATAAGGGGTGGGAGGGATTGGGTGGCAAAGGACGGTGTAGAGCTTTTGGTTGTGGGGTCCATTAAAAGAAGTGTTTTTGACTTTGACCCAAACTTTTCATTTTCCTATTGGTCATGACTCATGAGTTCAGCCGCAGACGGTGGGAGTAAGCTTCAATTTCACATTGAGATTGAGCTCTGCTTGGCACAGTCCACGCTTGACTTCTCCTCGAGACGAAGGCGACTCTCAACTGTTAATGCATTGTGTAGGTGATTTTTAGTTGTTAAGATGTGCTTGGATGGACGATTATTGAGTGCCCGATGAAGAATTGTTGACTTGAACAACTGTCCTTCTCTTTCACATTTGGATTAATTTATGATCCAATTTTGTGACTTGCCAACATGGTTACATGGGTTACCGGCCTCCGACCAAACAAAAAAGAACATGGGTTTACTCGTTTGAGTAATGTCGCAGGGTCGGTTGGTGCACATTGCACACTTCTTGGGTTATAAGTAGGTGCATGATATACCAAATCAAATTGGAAATGTGTGCTGCAAAAGCCCCCAAGTTGTTTGGGGTTCTCAAATGTCAATGTCACATAAACAATGGTCTAAATGGTTCAATTACACTAAATTAATGTTCACCTTTTATTTTTCACATTCCTCCTTCTCTCAAAACCAGCCAGAAACAAAGCAAAGCAAAGCAATGATACCATGAAAACTGGATCCACATATGTCAATTTCATGGGAATCTCAATTGGTGGATATTAATTTATATTTTTTTTTAGGAAAAAGGACCAGTTGGGTATTTGTTTTTAGTACTGTTGTCATTAGTAAAAGGAATTAGATGGGAGTGGTGGAGGAATTAAATTAAATCAAATTAAATTTCTTTTAACTTTTTAAATAATTTATAATTATATTAATTTTGTAGGCTTAGCAGTCAAAGTAGTTATTCCTATATCTGGTATCATAGCCATATAAAGCCTACACTTGGTATCAACGCTTTTGGTATTAAAGATAAATTTATTGGATGATTGTTGCTCAAGTCGAAGTAAAAAGAAAAAAAAGATTTTTGAGGGAAGGGGAGTGAAGTAATGAACTGTTGAACAAAGACAGAAGAAAAAATAATAAAAAATTACCTACATCCAATAAATTGTGACCAAGGGATTCATTTATAAATAAATTGCACAGCCTTTTAAACAAAATTCAAAAAAAGCCCAAGTTTGATAATATGAAATTTACATGGTAACCATAGAATTTGACCAACTAGTTATATTCTCCTTGTGGATGAAAAATATAATAAAGCATTGATGATATTATTAGAATCAATCCTTTTTTTCTTCTTTTTGTTTTGATGGGTAGAATCAATTCTTAGGTGGTTTGTTTAGTTTTGACTTTGTCAAAGATAACTAGTTTTATAAACGGACATGTCTCAACTAATTTTACAAATATTATTGTGGACCATAACACATATTTACTTACTATGAATGAAGAAAGTTATAAATTGGGGAACTTAGATAGGGTAATAAATGAATTGGAACCAGTAATTCTTTGAGACTTTTAAAGATTAAAAAAGTAGGTTTTTATGAGTATGATCCTAGGGGACATAGGAATGCTTTATCAGGGACAAGGTTCCTTCTCATGCTTGCCGTTGAGATGGTAGGCTACTTGGCTAGACCGACAATCGAACCCTTATGTGTATAAGCTCACCTAATCCTCCAGGACATAGCTTGGTTTTTTGTACTTGTTCCCTTCCTCTCATCAATAAAATTCTATCCTTTCTTTCAACAACAACAAAATTGAATCGAATCAACTACTCACCCTTAGTTGATATTATTCATGATTTTGAAGGTATTTAATTAAGGATTTTAACGTGAAACCTACATAATTTTTTATTTCTAATGTTGTTAGTAAACACAAGGGAAATGATGAATTGGAATTATTCCAATACCCGTGTGTTAGTAAACACAAGAAAAGTAGTAATTGGAATCATTCCAATACTCATTATTGATTAGTACAATGCCACTCAATTTTATTTTATTTTATTTAAAAACAAGTATTATGTTGTTATGTTCTATAACAATATAGTATGTATTTGTCTATCCCTTGCAGTTTTTCTTGCTTAGCATGTATTTGTCTATCCATTTTTTGCAATTGTGAACGTGTATTGGTCAAAGTTTAATTTTAGTCTATTCCATATATATGATTCTCTATTGGTTTGATTACTTTGAATTGATTGCCCATTTTGTTTCGATTTATAAGTTAAGGAGATGTTCATTGTTTTAATTTAAATTCAGTCCATATATTTTTTTCAGTTATCGAAAGATTTTTAAAAGAAAATCAAAGCTTGAGTTAGTGGATGAACGATTGTTTGGTTGCATATATTGAGAAATAGTATAGATGACTGCTTCAATTATAATTGTAATGAATATGCAATATGATTTTTTATATATGTGATACATATGATGTTTTGGTATGTATTGTGTGTTCAAAAAAATTTATTGTTTATATTTTGTGAGAGGCCCTTCCACACATGAAATCATGGCTCCACCACTCACCTCCTTAAATAAAATTTAAGGAGGAATTCAGAAATTGAAAAGAAAAAGAAAAAAAAACACACACACACAACTTCAATCATACTCCCAATTCACCTCCTAAAATAGGAAGATCTCTATGAGCTTTTAAATCTCATGAGCTCCTCCTACTCAAATTTAACTCGAAGTGTTTTGAATGCCCAACTCAGATTTATAACCCGAGAACCACTACCCCATAACCCATTTCATTAAAAATACAATTGATATTCTTTTTTGGGAGTTGATAAAAGTCATCACGTATTTTTCTCATATTGAAATAATTAGGGAGAAATTACATCTTAGCATGTTAACATTTTGGTAATTCCAATAAAGAATTTTTTTAAAATACCAAAATATATAACCTATATTAATATGTGCATATATGTATATATTATATAAGCTACGGAAAATGTAATGAGTTGCTAGAATGTCCTTCATAAACCTACAAAAGTCTAGCATGTTTGACATGTTATATTTCTAGTTCAGTTTTGTTTCTTTTCCTCCCTCAAGAATTGTTCAACAACCATAGCCCTGAGTCCCTTAACTTTCCCTACTATTCTTCTCTCTCATGATATAGAAACAAAATTTTGCCGAGTAGTTAGCGAATTTCATTTATATTAATGTGCAAGAGTTGAAGAATCTGGGATCCCAAAATATCAAGGTCAGCTATGTCCACAGCCTGCCCCATGAGAAAGACTTCTATGAAATAAAGATATCACTATTTATTATCTCCGATCAATAACATAATGACAGACATGATAACACTTGCACATGACATTATTGGCCAATATAACTTTTCTCTTTTTAAATTTCTTTCTATTTAAACTTTTTCTTTTTCTGTTGCCGACACTCAAGAACATGCAACTTTGTAAAGTCTTTCTTATCTTTTCAAACATTAAAAAAAAAATTTTAAAACCAACTTCGTAAAACTCAAATTATATAATAAAAATTAAATACTCAATAATTGGTGCATGAAGTACAAGTCGACAATAGACAATCATGAACTTTCTGAATTTTATCACCTCAACTCAACCTTATCACTTCATTACCTTATTGGCTTTTAGTACTTCACTACTTCCCCAAGTACTTTAATGTTTGATCCCACTTTGTTTTCGTAGTAGATAATGTCGTGTTTACAATTATTACGTGAAAAAAACAAAACATTTGAAATTGAAACCTCCTAGGCAAACCAAAATTAAAAATTAAAAATTAAAAAAAATTAAAAAAACAGAAAAACAGAGCTAACCTAGATGAATGATGAGTCAAATTATAACAGTTCCTAGAAAATATTCTTAGCAAGATTTCCCAGAAATTTCCCTGATAAATTGATTAATATTCAGGTCAGAAGAACCACCATCTTCCACTGCTTTCTTTGCTGCTTCCTTCAACTCCAAAGCTCTCTTCTTCATTTCTTTAGCCCTTGGCCCATCCACAACCTCCTCAATGCATCTTCCCATTTCTTCTGAGCCAGCAATCCCATCTTCCCCAACCCGAATTCTCACACCAACCCTAAACACATCAGCCAAAAGCTTGGCATTTGTGGGCTGATCAGTCCACTCTGGATAAACTACAACAGGCACACCAGAGGCAACGGTCTCAAGTGTAGAGCTCCACCCACCATGGGTCATGAAGCAAGCCACTGCCTTGTGCATAAGCACCTTCTCCTGAGAGCACCAATTGACCACCATGCCCCTCTCTCTGGTCTCTTCTAAAAACCCAGATGGCAATTCACCTAACTTCATCTTGGAGCCTTCCGTTGGGGCCTTTAGCACCCAAAGAAATGGTCTTTTGCTGGTTTTCAATGCCATGGCAATGTTGTCTATCTGAATTTGTGACAAAACAGTCACTCTGCCAAATGAGGCATAAATAACAGAGGAGATTGGCTGCGTGTTGAGCCATTCTATGCAGGACTCTTCAGCCTCCCACATGTCAATGTGAAGGGTATTGTTATCATCTTCTTCTGCTCTGCCCAGTATAAATGATGAGACCAACGGGCCAATTGGGCGAATTGGAATGAGTGAATCCATTGAGTCTATGATGTCCTTCTCGAGCTCATAAAACGAATTGCCCAAAACCCAACTTGCCTTCTCTGAGCTCTGAACTGAATCTGATATCAGCTTCTTAAAATGGAAAGGAGTTGGAGGGAGGATAGTGCTAGGAAGATCTTTGACTTCTAAATTTGGAATTCCAGGACAACCCAAAATCTCACTTGGGTTCATTTCAAAGTTTGGATCAAATGGGTTGATTTTTTTAGAGTATCTGTAAAGAATTGAAAAGGTTGCACAAGATTGGTTCCAAAGCAAGGCACAAGGGATGCCAAGTTCAGCTGCTACATCAGCAACCCATGGAACAAAGGGGTTGAAAATTATGCAGGAAATTGTTAGTTTCTTGACGAAAGTGAGGTTTTTGATGAGGTTTGAGAGGTTTTTGGAACCTGAGATTTGAAGGGTGGTCAAGGCCTCTCCGCCCTTCTCACGGTTGAATTCGGCGGTGAGCCCATCTGAGAAGAACTCAAGGTTGATTTTGGGGTTTTGGGTTGTGAAAGTGTTGAAGTTTAAAAGGGTGTCTCTTGCAGTTTCAGTCATGGCAAGAGTGACAAAGACACCCTTTGATGCAAGACATCTGGCGAACTTGAGCATAGGATTCATATGAGCTTGTAGTGCCACAACCAAGAGAACACATATTTCTTCTTTATCAGCCGCCATGCCCTTTTTTTTTGTGAGAGAGAGAGAAAAAGAGAGAGAGAGAGAGAGAGAGAGAGAGAGAGAGAGAGAGTAGCAAAACAATGGCTAGCTACTTAGCTACTTCAGCTTGAAGAAAACATGGGGTAGTGAGGGATTTAGGCAATGACAAGATCAACATGTGGTCTGTTTTTATGCGAAGTGTCTAGTTAAATAACTCAAAACCTTCTTCTTGTTTGGTAGGGCAGAGTATCGTTTATATTTGTTCCCTTTTTGCATCCGGATGCCTCCTCCATCGTGTGGTCAGCCTATTTTTTTGCCCTTTATTTCTTAATAAATGTTTTGAAGACAAAAGAAGAATATAGATTTTGATGCCTTGTATCTGTGGGTAAAATACTGAGAGGTTGATTTAATTTACCCTCCGTTTGGATGAAATAATTAAAAATTACATAGAATTCTAAAATGATATAATTTATATTTCCATCAGTTCATATCAGACGGCATAAGGGCAGTGAGACAACCGCATTAAATGCGATTTTGTTCGATTTTTAGTTTTGGAGGTGAATTAAGTTGGATCGAACTGTGCTCACTCTTTACTTTTAACCCCAAGAAACTTGCCCTTAATAATAAAGTAATACCAAGTTACCAACTAATGTATTATCTAATTATAATTTTCTTCTCAATATTGAAAACTGTACGAATTTCAACATCAAAGCTAAGCTCTGTGTGAGAGTGATTTTGTGTACTGATATAGCTAGAGTGAGAGGAAAGAAAAGACAGTAGCAAAACGAATGGCTAGATAGATATAATCATTTAACTAAAACAACATAAGGTCAAAGGCAGTGAAGGGACACTGCTTCTGCCTTGGCAATGACTAGATGCCATATCATATTATATTACCCAGTTGCTTAATTAAATCCTCCTTTATTTTGTAGGGCAGAGTGTCACTCATTTGTTGGCTATCTGCACTCTCATTTTGGATCTGGATGCTTCCTTCCCTCATCGCTGGCCGCATGAACTCTCTCTCTCTCTCTCTCTCTCTCTCTCTCTCTCAATCAATCCCAACAAAAAAAAAAAAAAAAAAAAAAAAAGAAAAAAAAAAGAATTTGCAGATCCTCTACCTCCCTAGCACAATAATCTTGCATGCTATATGCATGGAATGTTTATTTAATTTTTTTAGGACATCTCTAATCATCTTCCTTATTTTGTAACTTTAATTAGTACTTCGTCTATACACATTATGGAAAATAATCGTGACCTTTCTTATATTTTTAATCTCTACAAAACGAAAAATGAAGTGTTTTCCTCAATTATAATAAATTACATAAATAATTACTTTTTCTCTCCTTAAATTTAAAAGCCTTTTGAGGTCGGGTTGTTTTTGTGGTTGGGCCCGATTGTCTTTATTTTTGGGAGTGGTAGGGCTAGGGGTATGCCATTTTGGGCTAACCTTTGAATTGCCCGGCCTTTGGGCCTTATTGTATTTATTTGTATCGCGATTGGCTTTGTTCGCCAAAACTAGTTGAGTCCCACCTATCGTCAAAACTTTTAAGAATCTCTTTCTTTCACAAAGAAAACAAAACACCAATTTGCTTTTCTCATCCTTCGAATAATATTCAATTTGTTGTAGGAAGTCTGTTTTTCAAATGGAAATATATGTAGGAGTTAAATAGAATTTCTTTACCAAATTCTATCCTTATCAAACGGGTTGTGTAGTCCAAGATTTTGAAGAAATTGATTTTGACTCTAAATAAGTAATGTCAAACGGGCATTAAGACAACTCAAATTCAATCAAGCAGTACAAAATAAAATCACACCATAGAGGTTTGCCAAAAAAGTCTTGCATTTGCTTGTCATATTGCATTCAACAACTGTCGTATATAAGATTTGAATTCAAAATTTCCTCCGACAAATCCGTAAATCAAATTATCATGGGATCAGGGGCGCACTTAGTCATGGGGGTTTACGAAATGAGTGGTTCATTCCACATAAGATTTGCGTATACAATGAGATAATGCATGAGACTAAACTAGTGCATCTTGCCATGCAAGAAAGGAGCAGAATGTGTTTCAAGTCTTGGATGGAGTTACAAGGAACCCCAAACAGACCTGCCTTTTTTGGTTTGTCAATAATGGTAGGCTATAAAAATGTGTGAAGTCCTTAATCTCCTCTAAATAAATTCCACCAATACCATTACGAAGAAAAACATTTTTAACGCAGTATACTATATAGTATATACCTCAGTATGCTCATACGATACGTCAATAGATTAAAAAAAAATGTCATGTATTAAAACTAAAAGACAGATTTAGTTTACTTACATGCATGGCAACTGACAAACGAAGTTTTCTTATTTTTCTTAATTATAAAATATGAATAAATGGTGTCTAAATCAATGTACGTGTATAAGTATAGGTATTTAAATATGAATTTGTATCTTATCATGGAGCTGCTATGATGGCTATTTTGTCACAAATAAAAATAAAAATAAAAAAGTAGGTAGTCCGTATATGATTTAATGTTTATTTTCTCTTTTTTTTATATATAAAAGACTATAGAAATTATAAGTACCAAAAAAAAATATTCATTAGATTTTAAACTAAGAACTTTAGCTAGTCAACTCGTTGAAAAATTTATGATTCTATCTTGCAAAATTAGTGCACAACCTTGCCATGCAAGACATGAGCAGGTCTTGAAGGGAGTTACAAGGCAAGACATGAGCAGGTCTTAAAGGGAGTTACAAGGAAACCCCAAACAGACCTTCCTCTTTTGGTTTGTCAATAATGGTGGGCTATAACAATGTGTGCAGTCCTTTATCTCCTCTAAATAAATTCCAATACCATTAGGGAGAAAAACATTTTTAACACACTATACTATATGGTATATACCTCAGTATGCTCATACGATACGCCAATCGATTAAAAAAAATGTAATGTATTAAAACTAAAAGACAGATTTAGTTTACTTACATCCACGGCAACTGAAAAACAAAGAGTTTTTTCTTAATTTTTTTAATTATAAAATATGAATAAATGGTGTCTAAATCAATGTACGTGTATAAGTATAGGTTTTTAAATATGAAGGTGTTTCTTATCTTGGAATTGCTATGGTGGCTATTTTGACAAAAATAAAAATGTAGGTAGCCCGATTGGCCCCTTTGCCCAATTGATATATTACAACTAGGAAAATTGACTGGGCCTGAAAATTCCAATAAATCGTTCAAGTCACGTTACACTGCAGCCATGGAATTCAAATCAAAGAATGCATATTCTAATTTGACCTCTTTTTTTCTTTGATTCTCCAAAACTGCAAGAACTTTCTGATGGCTTTATAGCAGCCGGCTATATAGTAGAGGACTTATATTCAATACTGTTTCCATCATATATATATATATATATATATATATATATTATTTTCTTCCTCATTTTCTAACTTGGACTCGCAACCAATCTTTCCAATTCTTATTTCTACATGTTAGCTAGAGAACCATCGATGTTGCTTCCTAATTGCAGCACATGAACAAATGGCATGCCATGAAAGATTGGAAATTTCATGTTTGTTTGAAATTCATATGATATATGCTGCATGTCAAGTATCTTAGTCAAACAAGCCTCGTCTCACAGTCTAACTTGCTTACCAAATTCCGAGGTTATAAATAGGCCAGACCAAATACTTCATCATGCAGATCACACAAAACACAAACCAACAACACTCTCTCTCTCTCTCTCTCTCTCTCTCTCTCTCTCTCTCTCTCTCTCTCTCTCTCCCCGTTTTTCAATTGTCCAATACCAACATGACAACCAAGTTTTTCAGTTTGCTGCTTCTTTTGCTGAGCTCCACATTCATTGCAGTAAGTGCTCGACCTTTCAATATCATGAAGCACCGAAACTCTGGTCGTAGAGCAATTGGAGGTTTCTTTGATGGGTTATCTCTTGAAGCCATCAAAGAATCGGGCCCTAGCCCAGGTGTGGGGCACCAGTTTACCAACCAACAAACCCTCGGAGGGATTAAAAGTTCAGGCCCAAGTCCTGTCACAGGAAATAAATTCACAAATGTTGAGATTCTTGGAGGCATTAAGGATTCTGGTCCAAGTCCTGGTACTGGACACAAATTCACAAATGTTGAGACTCTCGGAGGGATTAAGGATTCCGGCCCAAGTCCTGGTACAGGAAACAAATTCACAAATGTTGAGACTCTCGGAGGAATTAAGGATTCCGGTCCAACTCCTGGTACAGGAAACAAATTCACAAATGTCGAAACTCTCGGAGGAATTAAAAACTCGGGCCCAAGCCCTGGTACAGGAAACAAAGTAACAAATGTTGAGATCCTCGGAGGGATTAAGGACTCGGGTCCAAGCCCTGGTACAGGAAACAAATTCACAAATATTGAGACTCTTGGAGGGATTAAAGACTCGGGTCCAAGCCCTGGTACAGGAAACAAATTCACAAATATTGAGACTCTTGGAGGAATTAAGGACTCAGGCCCAAGCCCTGGTACAGGAAACAAATTCACAAATGTTGAAACTCTTGGAGGGATTAAAGACTCAGGCCCAAGCCCTGGTACAGGAAACAAATTTACAGATAACACCCATCAATAGATATTTGTGATCATCTCAATAGAAACTAGAAATATTCGTTATGTATTTTCTCATTTACATTTTTTTGTTGATTTGATTTATATTTATACTCCATGTATCTTCGAGATAATATAATTTATGTTCATGTCATTTCATTTTATATTTTTCTCCCAAATTTTTCTTTATCATGTAAGTAAGTTTCCATACATGTTTCCAACTCTTATACAACGGAGCTCATGTACCCATCCCGTTTCTACTTTTTATACTAAATGGAGAGACCCAAGTTATGAACGGCAACCCTAATGAATAGATTGTACTTAATAGAGCCTTTATTCAAATATAATATTTTTTTTTCTAGTATAGTCACCTTCTATTGAGGGATTTTTCAAATAATTTTATTTGAGGGACACCCTTTAGGGTCCTCTACGAAACTTTTTTCAACTATCCAAACTATTTATATTTCACATCTTCATTCAGAGATCATCCTTACAAAAAATCATGCAAATTGAAAATCATTAAGGCATCTAATTGAGACCAACAAAATTAATTAACACGGTGCATTAAGAAAGTACTTCAATTTCAATAATTTAATTGAGTGGTCAAATAATATCGGATTTAAATGATTTTTTTATTTTTTATTTTTTTGTAAAGATGATCTTTGAATGAATATCTACAAAATAGACGATTTGTATATATATGTATATTATAATATTATATATGTTGATATGAAGCTTTCTTCAATGGAATGCCTTTATTGTATATGAAAGTGCACGGTAGTGATAAACAAACTTTCATTTGAATTTTTTGTAATTTTATTTATATTTTTTATACAAAAAATAATCTAAAGTATTCTACTTTATGTAGCAAGAGAATCAAATTCAAACTCATGTGGAAAGAGATATACACACTAATACACTATCTCCAGCTGACCTAACACACACGCACGCACTCCCTATGTTTTATAATTTAATTTTTCTTTTGTTATTTCAATTGTAAAAGCACGAGGTAAGAGGAAAAATAACAACTGGATAAAATATTGACGTCAAAATCGTCACCTAAAACCGGAAAAGTAAAAAAAATAAAGTCGGATCAGCATTTTTATTCTCCCGCGGTTGACTGTTGCGTCTGCAAAAATGGGGAACTCGTCGACGGACGACTCCGCCACCACTGGCGACGCGCCGCCGTTAAATTCCAGCGTCTACTCGGAGGGAGAGATGATCCTTGCGTACGACGCCAAGGCAAGCCACTTTTCCTTTCTCTTCCCCAACCTCCATCTTCTTTAATCTAACTGTCCCACTTTTCCGAATTCTTTTTTATTTATTTATTTATTTAGCTCTGCAATTTTATTAAAGTTTGCTAGAGCTGTAGTATTATCAAGATTGATCGATTAGTTTGTCCAATGCCGATTGCAATCATGAAATTTTGTTCACCTAGAAATGCTTTAAACCTTATGCTGGAAATTTGATACGAATGTTTTTTCTTTGCATCAATTTCTGTTTTTCTGTATGTTGAGATTAAATTATGCTTCGTCTCAAGTAGCTGAATTTACTCTCTCTTTTTTCTGCTATAATTTTCATGTAAAACAACTATAACCTTTCACAACTCTTTTTTTCTTTTTCTTTTTTCTATTTCCAATATCTGGATTTATACACATGATCATGTTATTTTCTACATTCAATTATTCTCTGTCTATGCAAAACTGCATATGTTTCTTCTACTCACAGATGAAAAATGCTTCCTTGGAGAACTGTTTAATATGCCCCTTAGGTCTTATTTATGTTTTCTCTTACTGCCATTTCTTTGATGGGCTATTTCTGGGTTCTATAATTGTTAGGACACTGTCTCCTTGGAAAATCTTGTCATGAGTCAAATTCCCTCAATACTAAGGAAGCAAGTTGTTGATGATCCGGAATTTTTTTATCAGCAGGATAAGGTACATATGAACTGTTAGAAGCAACTTCTCTTGGTTGTCATTTAACAATTATAAAGAATGATGGTTTCACGGTTAACTTAAATATGTCTTTCAAGAATCTATTTGGTTCTTCACATGTATCCCGTGATCGAAGTACCTCCAACCTTTCAGAGATACATTGTAGTGTTTCAATACAATACTGATTGTTGAATCCTCTGATCAATTGACTCCTTTGAGGAGTAGCCCAAATGCTTTTTGAGTTGGATGGCAAATAGGGGTAGTTAAATAAAAATATGTGTATTTGAAAATTTAATTGTGTTTTGGCATTTTACCATATTTATGTATGTTTTCTCAGTTGACTTCGGTGCACGTCAATAATCTTTTTTTTTCTTTATACAGAACCTCTACCTGGGACATATACAAAATAAAATACAAAGGAAACTAATGGGTTAGGATTCTATGTCGTCAAATTGGAAAAAAAATTAAAACGGACCTAATTATTTCACTTTCTCTGCCTATTCCTTTCTCAAATTTTGCTAGCATTCTTTAGCAGTTAGACCAAGAAATAAGAATAATGTTTGAGGCCTTGTGCTTAAACTAAAGAATGCAGCATTCAAATTCTAAATGAATATGAAATGATACGGTTTTGTATTATTATTAGTGATCATTTTGGTTAAAATGGTTGGATATTTTTCACCAGGACCTTTTAGGAATGGATACTGGAAGTAGTAGTCAAGTCAATGAGAGTAATAGAAAAGGGAGTAGACGTGTATGGACCAAAGAGGAGGAGGATGCACTTTTAGACATCCTAGAGGAGCTGGTTGCAAAGGGCCATCGTGCTAATCGTACTTTCAGAGCTGGTACATTGATTGTAATAGAAAATTCCTTGCGAGTTTTGTGTCCAGGATCAGGACTGAAAGCTAACCCACACATCGAGTCAAAAATTAAAAAGTTGAAGAAGCAATTCACTATAGTATATGACATGGTCAACAAAACCGGGTTTGGGTGGAATGATGTGAGGAAATGTGTGAAGGTTGACAGTGAAGAGACATGGAAAGCATATCTTCAGGTATGATAATTTTGACTCCATAGTATGATCCTTTTTGAATTGTTGATAAATGAAGTGTCAGTTTATAACGTATGTTTTACATGTGATATTATATTTGTACCATAAGCACTAATGTTTTTTTATTGAACTTGTAGCATCACAAGGAAGCATATGGGTGGAGGGGCAAACATTTTCCACTCTATGATAGACTTCGTAGAATATTTAAGGTGGACCACGCAAATGTAAAAACATCCCAAACTCCAGCTGAGAAAATTGAAGTGATAAACTGTGATGAGGTTAATGCAACTGAATTTGGGATAGAGGAAGACACTTGTCCAAGATCAGTTGACCAAAACTCAACCACCAAGCAAACGGATCAATTGCATTCCTCACAAGGAAAGAGGAGAAGGCAAGATGATTCTGGAGGTAGTAGTGAAATCCATGAGACAAATAGAAAAGGCAGCAGACGTGTATGGACCAAAGAGGAGGAGGATGCACTTTTAGGGATCCTAGAGGATCTAGTTGCAAAGGGTTATCGTGAAAATGGTACTTTCAAATCTGGTACATTGACTCTAATAGAAAAAGCTTTATGCAATTTATGTCCAGCATCAGAACTGAAAGCTAACCCACACGTTGAGTCAAAAATGAAAAAATTGAAGAAGCAATACCGTCTAATATATGACATGATCAACAGAAGTGGGTTTGGGTGGAATGATTTGAAGAAATGTTTGGAGGTTGACAGTGAAGAATCATGGAAATCTTATGTGCAGGTATGATAGTATTAACTCTATCCTAGGCTAATAAGCCTAATATATGTTACTTTTTATTTTTTGTTGTGTCAACTTATACATATGTGTTACTTGTAATCTCATATTTGTAGCATAAATTATACTAACGTTTGTTTACTGAACCTGCAGGATCACAAAGAGGCAGATGGTTGGAGGGACAAATATTTTCCACTTTATGATAGACTTGTTGATATATTTGGAGTTGGCCATGCAACCGTAAAACCATACCAAACTCCGGTTGAAAGAGTTGAGGTGACGAACTATGATGAGGAGATTAACTGTGATGACGATATTAACTGTGAAGGGGAGATTAACTGTGATGAGGAATCAACTGACGTTGGAACAGAGGAAGACGCTTATTCAAGGCCCATTGACCAAATCTCAACAAACAAACAAACAGATCAGTCTTATTCCTCACCACGAAATCGAAGACAACGTGGAGGTTTAAGTGTTGCGTTAGACGAAGTTCCTGCATCATTCGTGGAAATGATAAAAGCTTCAAATGAGCAAACGCGAGTCCTACGTGAATCACTGCAACCCAAAGGTAACGAAGCAGGTGAGCTGTACCGTGAGGTTAAACCTATGGGGCTTTCTGTTACAGATCGAGTTAAAGCATTAAGACTGCTTGTGGCTAATCCTTTTTATGCTGAACTCTTCCTTACCTTAGATAATGAAGAGAAATTGGAATTTGTTAAGCAACTCATTGATGAATCATCTAAGAAATGAATTGTATATTGTGGAATTGTATTTGAACAAGTAAATTTGCTGAGTGATTTTTAACTCATCTTGCACTGATTATGGATTTATTTTCTGCCGGATGTTGCTGATATATGCACCAGCAATACAATGTTTACGTCATTAGCAAAAGTTTGCTGAATTTCTTTTAAAGTCAACAAATTTCATCGTAAGTTCGAGGTTAGTCAGTATTCTCAGTATTGGGGGATCCTAGGGTCGAGTCATCTGCCATGTTTTTCATTTTCTTATTCTTATGGTCACACCCTCGTATTACTAATACACTCATATTATAACATGTGTATTTATTTAGTAATGTTATACCTTGTATTCATGGCATATCATTCACGTTGTCTATCCATATAACACATGGATTAATAACACCACGTGATAGTATGATAGTAACACCCAATTATCTTTCCACAAAAACAAACTCTTTGTAGTTAAAAATCTGTAAGATCTGTTAATTTTCTTTTATTTTTCTTAATTGGTTTTGTTTTCCTCCTCGTTTTAAAGATTTTATGTCTTAATATGTTGTACTAGATCCTCATAGGCAAATTGTCATTCCATGAGATGTACACTCTCATTTTAAAGATTTTGTCTTAATATGTTGTACTAGATCCTCATAGGCAAATTGTCATTCCATGAGATGCACACTCATGCAACAAATTGTTACTCACTAACCACAAGGTCCTAAGTTGAATTTCCTCTCATCTGTTGATTAAGGGTATAAAAAGAACTTGTAAAGGACCTACTAGTGAGTGGTTTGGAAAAATTGCTCTTCCAGAAAAAGGTCCATGGGTTCGAGTCTTAATATTCGTAGTAGTATATTGATATTATTGATTATTAATTAATTTTTTTAATTTTTTAATTTTTTTTTTATTATGGAAAAGCTGGTTTATATTTTTTGAAAAAAAAAACTTATTATTAACTGGTAATGTAACCATGAAACAATAAGGAAAAAAAAAAAAAAAAAAAAAAAAAAAAAAAAACAAAAATAACAAACAATAATACCCCCACCTACCTTTTTAAATAAACAAAAAAAAATGGAGGAGGGGGGATTTTTATTAGAGTGACAAATCAGATCCCATCCCATCTTGTACTTTAATTTAAACACCCACTCTGCGCGACGGGTCACTCTCAAGCTCAACAGAGTGACCGCGCTTTCTGTGCTCTCCTCTCGAGTTCTCAAACTGAAGGAGCTGCTGGAGCTGTTACTCCGCGAAAATGGCGAACTCGTCCAGAGATGACTCGCCCACCGACGGCGACACCTCTAGCGGCGACGCTCCTCCCTCCAATTCCAGCCTCTACTCCGAGGGTGAGAAGATCCTTGCCTACCATGGCCCTCGCATCTACGAAGCCAAGGCAAGTCCAACGAACCCTCCTTTCGTTTCTCTTTCCCTGACCTCCATTTCTTTAATCTCTATGCCCTAGTTTTCCGAATTCTCTATTTCTTGTTTTGTTTTGCTTCTTGAATTTTGTTAAGCTTCGACGGAATGGTTTTGAATTTGTGTCTAGGGTTTTGGGGTTGTAATCCTTAGTCTTTGTGTGCAATTGGCTCCTTGTAGGTATTTCTTTTCTACCCAAAAAAGGAAAGAAAAAGAAAAGAAAAGAAAAGAAATAAAAGGTCTAGATAGCTATTTATTTTCCAAGGCAGTTGTTGATTTTGATTAGGTTGTTCAATATTGATTTGGAATTCCAACCTGCAATTAAGAAATAGTTCACAAAGAAATGGTTTAAATCTTGTTCTAAAGAAATTGATGCAGGAGTTTTCCTTTATTTGCATCAATTGCAGGTTCTCTTCATGTTGAATTATTCGTTTGGACCAATTTACTACTCTTGCACATATTGCACGCTTCAGTCTACTTCCTCAAAAATTAAAAAATTAAAAAACTATATATAACTCCAATCTATCTCAGGTAGTAATTATGATTTTACCTTTTCACCAGAAGGGCATAATTCACATATCCTTTTAGATAATTTTAACCTTTTATTAGTCCAGCTCTCTCTAGCACTGCGGCATAACCAGCGTAGTTGGTGATTTCGTTCTGAAAGATGCAATGGGCCATCTGTGTAGTATGTATATATACAGGGAACTAGCTTTAACCTTTCGCAAAAGTGAATTACCAATACTAAACCTGCTCCAAATTCAGCTATATTCCTTGAATTCTTTACTCTTTTTGTGTTTCTGTAGTTATAATCTAAACAACTTTAACTTTTCACATTTCAGGTTCAAAAGGCAGAGCTGAGGAAAAATGAATGGAGATACTTTGTGCACTACCTCGTAAGTTGAATAACACCTCTCCCCATACACATTCTTGAATAATAACGCATATTATGGTGACAACATGTAGGTAAGCAAAGTAGTTTCTGGTTATGATATTAACTTTTGTACGGTTTGGTGTTTTGCAGGGTTGGAATAAAAAGTGAGTATGCCTTCTATAACTTCTATTCTATTTCTATCTACATTATTAAATTTTCCATAGAATGTGAAGTGAATGAGGTAAAGAATGCAACTCAGAGCTACCTCCAATGTTTCCCAAGTTCTAGTGGTACTGTGCTGTATTTTGGATCTAGTTTCATTCAAGAAAAATAAAACTTATATTTAAAACATTCCTCCGCAATGCTTCCCTTATCTCCACAAATATGAAGTTCTGACTTCCAAAGCTAAGCGAGCTACAATTATAGATCATGGAAATAACAATAGAAATAGAAGGTTCTAACTGGTTCAGTTAGTAAAGTCTTTTTATTGTTGTACATAAATTCTAGGATTCCTTTACCAGGTTGAGGGTGTTTATGGATAAAAGAAAACTAACTCTTATGGTGTAGCATGGGATTCCAATGAACGGAATAAAGAGAATAATAATAAAAGTAGGAATGGTGTTATCTTTTTTTTTTGTCTTTTTTTTATCATTTGATAATAAGTGGTGAAAATAGATATATGAAACCGATTTTCTTGTGTCTTTTGAAAACTGATGTTTTATTAAAGCTTTCTAAGCCATAAGATCATGCATGCATCACCCTGTTTTAATTTACAAAATAATCCCTCAAAATAGTGCACATCTCATTTGTGTTGGCTGAAAAGACTACCTTAGAGTTGTATAATCTTTACTCGAAATGTTTTCTTTCGTTAATAATTATGCCCTTTTCAAAAAGGGATACAGAAATCATTACTATGGCTTGGACATCTTGCCAACAGTTGGGACGAATGGGTAGGTGGGGATCGCCTGTTGAAAAATACTGAAGATAATATCATGAAGCAGCAAGCTCTTGACAAAAAACAAGGTGTGGACAAGAATACAAAATCAGGACGCTCAGCTCAAACAAAGCCAAAAAGTTCTTCTGGTTAGCGTTGCTCATTTTTTTTCTTTAGTTTTAGTGCCGCAAAGGCTCCAATAGCAGTTTTCTCACTGCCTATCATCCTTTGTACATCCTTATTTGTTATCAATAATTTTTGTTTTTGTTGTGTTTTCTGTTGATACTAATTACTGTGTGTTGAATTTTTGTAGATGCAAAAGCAGAGAAAGAAGACCACAAGAACAATGGTACAATTTACTTTCTGATATTTTATCTTTAATATTTTATTCTTGAAAAACATATGTTGTAAAAGAAATTACCTGCATCTCTTAAAGAGTTAATATTAAATTTATTGCAGTGACAAAGGGGAAGAAGCGGAAGAATGACTTAGGCGCTGAGGTGTGGCATTTATTAGGATTAAATATACTACTTCACTTTTTTTTTCTTCCCCATTTTCTAGATAGCTGTCAGATGTGTTGTTCTCACTTGCCATCTTTACTCCTTCCTTCCACTTTTCTGTGTGAGATAGGCTTGTGCGCATAAAATTGATACTCAGTGTTTCTTTTCTGAAGCTTTAAAATGCTTATAGTGCTGGTCCTTTGAGCCTTTCTAATAAAAAAGAAAATGAAAAGAAGAAACACGGAAATGCAGCTATCCCTGCTAAATTTTGATATTTGTCTGTGCCAAGCTGCATGTGTGTTTACTCACAAATGATAGATGCTTCCTTCCAGAACTCTTTAGATCTTTTTAGGTTTTCTTATTAACCTTTCTTTGATGGTGGAGTAATTGTGGGCTCTATAATTGTTAGAAGGACACTGTGTCCCTGGAAAAGCTTGTCAAGATTCAAATTCCTCCAACACTAAGGAAGCAACTTGTTGATGATTGGGAATTCATTTTTCAGCAGGATAAGGTATACATGAACTGTTAGAAGCAACTTCTTCTGGCAATGATGTAGGATGATGGTTTCGTAGTTAAATGACTTTCAGAAATGTATTTGGTTCTTCCAGCCTTTCAATGATACTTTTAAATGTTTCATTATTATATTGATTGCTGAAGAATTCTGTTTCTGCAGCTTGTTAAACTTCCTCGTTCTCCAACTGTAGATGACATTTTGCAGAAGTACCTTGACTACAGGACAAAGAAGGATGGCAAGTAAGTTTAGCTAAGCCTATTGCACAGAAGTTGATTTTCTATCCTTGTATTAGCTTTTGTTCTTTTTCTTTCCTGTGCTTGTTATTTGAATTGCTGTTTCTATTATTTAGTTCTGGCATATATAAGTATGCTGCCCTATGGATTCATTAATGTATTTTGACATATGATGTCCGATGATTTAATTAACTCTATATAAGTAGGCCCCATTCAATTATTTTCTTTTTTAGGTACTGTAATCTTGCAGCTTGTGTGTATAATGTAAGATGTAGTTTTGGAGTTTTAATGTACATGGTGATGATTGGCATGGACTATGCTCTCTTGAATACAGGGTGACTGATCCAGTAGGTGAAGTCCTGAAAGGAATACGATGTTACTTTGACAAAGCATTGCCAGTGATGCTCTTATACAAAAAGGAACGCAAACAGTATCAAGAAACAGTTTTAGGTGATGTCTCTCCATCAACAATATATGGTGCCGAACATTTACTACGACTCTTTGGTATGATCACCAATAAGTGTCAGTTATTAGAAATGTTATGGACTCATGGTTGTTTGTCTTGTCTGGTTGTCATTGTAATACTTTTGACGTGCTATGTTTGATAAGAACTGAGGCTGGCCAGTTGATTCTTGTAAATGTGTGCTTTGATGTCTCTTGCATTGAATTTAATCATTGCTGGCTCAGAAGCATTACTATCCTGTTAGGTCTCCTGGGCCCCTTTGCTTTGGTGGGACAGGACAAGCTTGGGTTTGCAAAGGTTGAGGTTTGAGGAAGAAGGGGAAGATACCTATAGCTAGGCATTTATAGTCCTTGCAACTTCTATAATTGCTTTCTTTGAAAATCCAACACAATTATCCTCAAGAGAGGACCTTAACTTGAAAGTTGTTTTACATATGAAGTGAATTTTGCTTTTCAAGGGAATCGCTTCTTGCAATGCTTAAGGACGCTGCTCCTAGTATTTATTCGATCTGTGTAGAATGAATAAATTTCTCATCCATAATTTAGTCATTTTCTGTGGTGGTGACAACTTTTGGGAGAAATTTAGTCCAAGCTGTTGATTTTGAAATCCTAATGTGTCCCCTCTGCATTTAGAACTCACTGAATCTCGTGGTTTGTATATGAAGTCTCTTCTGATTTGATTACCATATCATGAGATGTTTTGTGCAAATCATTTCTTTCAAAGTAAAATATGTTTTGTAATGAAAGTTGTCATATTTTAGAATTTGAATGCAATCATGATAACTTTCTGGTGTTTGCAGTAAAGTTACCAGAGCTATTGGCTTATGTCAACATTGAGGAGGAAACACAGACCCGCTTACAGCAGAAATTACTTGATTTTCTCAAGTACGCATTCAAACCTTTTACTTTATTTGGAGATATTTCTGTTTTCTCAATTTTGGTTTCAGTAAGGTTAGATGAAAACTTATGCATCATCGCCGTCGTCACATTTAGCTTCTTCTTGACTATTCCTTTTAACTGAAAAATTAGTTGTGCATTTGCAAATCATTTTTTATATGTGATTGTATATTTATACGGTGAATTCTACTAGAGGATCAAAATTTTTTAAAAGCAGTTACTGTGTGCTTTATGGGAAACATTGAAGGGGATCAATTAAGTATTTAGATGAGATTTGCATGCCTAATTAATAATTTGTTTTCTAAATTTTTAGCCTTGAAAAGGCAATCTGCTACACACACAACACAACCCTGCTCTCTCTCTCTCTCTCTCTCTCTCTCTCTCTCTCTCTATTGGGATGGGAACACTTGTTTTACCTTTTGAGTAGTTATGATGTACTAGAATTTACATTTGCACTTTGTCATTTATTTATTTCTGTGTTCTTCCAATTCAATGCAGCATACTGTAAACAGTGCACTTTTTCACAAGAAGTAATATTTCATGGTCGTGCAGGTTTCTGCAGAAAAATCAGAGTACATTCTTCCTTTCTGCTTATGATGGCTCAAAAAGTGTTGAAGGGAAAGGCAAGGGGAAACATGACTGAATTGCCACAGAAACTGCTCTAACTTCTGCTCTCTCATACTTGCCATCTTTGGATGGATGGCAAAGGCAGTGCAGAGATTCATGACCTAGTTGGCATGTTATGGATTCATCCACCAAGACAATCCACAAACATGGAACATCCAGTTTGTTGTTGTAACATTAGCATTAATTCATTCTTTTTTTGTCCTTTTTTCTTTTTTTTGGACTTGTTGCTCTGTGAAGAGAATTTCTTGCTTGAATACCACAAGTCATTCTTGTAACCTTGGCAAGCAATAGTTGTGTTTATGATGTGCATTTGTAAAAACTCTGGTTAAAGAAACAAAAATTGTGGTTGGAAATTTAATGTAGGCATCCACAAAGTTGACATTTATTATGACCCTTATCATATCTATAGAAAATCCTCAGTTTGGTCAATCATGAAAATTTAATCTTCTTCAACCAGTCTTGATAAAAATCAAGGGTGGGATGGATACAAACACATATAGAGCTGTAGAATGGAGGGCGGCTGCAACGCCTGCAAACTGCAAAATTGCACTAGCCGTGGCCAATCGATCGGCCATGGCGTGCTGATCCACAAAAAGAATCAAAGCACAAGTTTATTCTTGAATTGACAGAGTTATCGTAGACAGAATTGTCTTTGATCATTCTAGGTTACTGTCAGCTACATTCAGGACAAACCTAAACCTCACATCATTCCTTTTCATTCTCCCAAATGCCTCGTTAACATAATCCATCTTTACAGTCTCTATGAAAGACTTCAAACCCTTGTCTGCCCAAAACTCCAATATTTCCTGAGTTTCTTCCATGCTGCCGATGAGTTTTCCGGTAATCGTCCTCTTCCCTGTATAACAAAACAAAATTTATATCACTGTATTCTATTTTCTAACCTCACTCATTTCAATGGAAAAATGTAATAGAAATGGTAGCAGAGGATGTACCTAGAATTATGTCAACTGCATCAAACTGCAGAGGCTTAGGTACAGCAGCAACTATTATGAGTTTCCCATCAACCTTGAGCAGCGAAAGGTACGATCGCAGCGGGTGCAAAACTGGCACGGTGTCAAGAATATAGTCAAGGCTATTAGCAGCTCCCTCCATCTCAGCTGCATTGGAGCTCACCAGAAAAGCATCTGCACCTAAAATTTCCAAGGCCTCTTCCCTCTTCTTATCAGAAGAGCTTATCACAGTCACATGGTGACCCATTGCCTTTGCAATTAACACACCCAGATGACCAACTCCTCCTAAACCCAATATCCCTGCGTTGAGAACCTTATTAGAACCCATGAATTGCTTCAGAGGACTGTAAGCTGTCACCCCAGCACACAACAATGGAGCTGCCTGATCCGGTGATAGCTTTTTGGGTATTCGAACCACAAACCTACATTCACTCTAATTTTTTCAGGGTAACTCAAAACATAGGCAACGTGGATAGATTTATTTACTTGTTTTTTCGGTTACCTTTGATGAACAACCATGGGAGATGAGAAGCCTCCCCTTGTGGGACTTCCATCTTTGTTGGTATCATTGTAAGTGACGATTTTGTTGTGGCAATATTGCTCCATGTTGGATTGGCAAGACAGGCATTCTCCACAGGACCCAACTATACCCCCAACTCCCACCAAGTCCCCAACTCTAAATTTCTTTACCTCTGAACCCAACTCCACCACTTCTCCCACCACTTCATGCCTTCAAATTCAAGCACAACAAAGGGTTAGATAGTAAAAGCAGTAACCATAACAGGTTTAACAGCACTAGTGATCTACTAGGAAACCCTAAACATAAGTTTCTTTTGGTAATATGCAGCATGCATGAAAAAGAAGCAGCCTGATTCGTGTGCTTTATATATAATGCCAAAATATGCTCACCCAGGAACCAAAGGGTAATTGGTACTGTGAATCTCATTTCTCATCTTATGAAGATCTGTGTGGTCCACTCCACAGTACAAAACCTTCAACACTACATCTTCTGAACCTGTTTTCCTGCATGTTCATGGGGACATTTATAAACTAGTTCATTAACTACCTACCACCGCCACCTAGAGAGAGAGAGAGAGAGAGAGAGACCTTAGATTGAATGAATAGGGAGAAAGAATTCCAGAAGTGTCTTTGGCTGCCCAACCAAATGCCTTTCTTCCCTCCATTTGTTACAGATATCAATTGGTAAGCAATGAACAAAATGAGCAAGGCAACAAGAGAGTAATAATTAAGAAATAATAGAATGGTGAAGCTGGTGTATTGCTCTTTGGGGGTTTTATACTCATCTCAAGCTCCATGACCAATTGACCCTCAGCCTTAGTTTTTTAATGAATTCAAAGAGTACTATATCAGAGAGGTGCTCTGCATTCAGTCAGAAAAGGTCAAGGCTGTGGAGGCTGCAGGTAAAAATAAATAAATGAACATATTTAAAAAAATGTGAGGCAGAGACAGACAACCCAACCAAACCTTATTGATCCACAATTCAAAATTCCAATTGGATCATGACAAGGCATTTGGGAGATTTGTGGAGACATGACCAAAATCAATGTTTTTTACTATAATATTTCTTTGTGGGTGTTCAAGTTGATTGCCTAGCCTCATCACACACGTCATTTATCTTCACCTTTACAAGGACTCACTGAGAGAAAGTTGGTCAGCCCCTCATAATTTGGCAGTCTATATACTTTCCATCAGGCCTCTGCTTCCAGAATGCATGCATGCAAAGGGTATTGCAACTTTTTGATCTGAAGGAGAAGCCATGTCTGACAAATAGAACAGTTATTAGTTTTAGGAATTTTTGACCAAAGAATTGGCTGCCCATATCGGATGACCATTTGAATGTGACAACAGAAGTTTTATTTTATAGCCATTTTTGCACTCTTTTTACTATGGCTTGGACATCTTGCCAACAGTTGAGACGAATGGGTAGGTGGGGATTACCTGTTGAAAAATACTGAAGATAATATCATGAAGCAGCAAGCTCTTGACAAGAAACAAGGTGTGGACAAGAATACAAAATCAGGACGCTCAGCTCAAACGAAGCCGAAAAGTTCTTCTGGTTAGCTTTGCTATTTTTTTTTCTTTAGTTTTAGTGCCGCAAAGGCTCCAATAGCAGTTTTCTCACTGCCTATCATCCTTTGTACATCCTTATTTGTTATCAATGATTTTTGTTTTTGTTGTGTTTTCTGTTGATACTAGTTACTGTTTGTTGAATTTTTGTAGATGCAAAAGCAGAGAAAGAAGACCACAAGAACAATGGTACAATTTACTTTCTGATATTTTATCTTCAATATTTTTTTTCTTGAAAAACATATGTTGTAAAAGAAATTACCTGCATCTCTTAAAGAGTTAATATTAAATTTATTGCAGTGACAAAGGGGAAGAAGCGGAAGAATGACTTAGGCGCTGAGGTGTGGCATTTATTAGGATTAAATATTCTACTTGCATTTTTTTTTCCCACTTCCTAGATAGCTGTCAGATATGTTGTTCTCACTTGCCATCTTTACTCCTTACTTCCATTTTTCTGTGTGTGATTGGCTTGTGCGAATAAAATTGATACTCAGTGCTTCTTTTCTGAAGCTTTAAATACTTATGGTGCTGGTCCTTTGAGCCCTTGCAATAAAAAAGAAAATGAAAATAAGAAACATGGAAATGCAGCTATCCCTGCTAAATTTTGATATTTGTCTGTGCCAATCTGCATGTGTGTTTACTCACAAATGATAGATGCTTCCTTCCGGAACTCTTTAGATCTTTTTAAGTTTTCTTATTAACCTTTCTTTGATGGTGGGTTCTATAATTGTTAGAAGGACACTGTGTCCCTGGAAAAGCTTGTCAAGATTCAAATTCCTCCAACACTAAGGAAGCAACTTGTTGATGATTGGGAATTCATTTCTCAGCAGGATAAGGTAGACATGAACTGTTAGAAGCAACTTCTTCTGACAATTATGTCGGATGATGGTTTCGTAGTTAAATGACTTTCAGAAATGTATTTGGTTCTTCCAGCCTTTCAATGATACTTTTAAATGTTTCATTATTATATTGATTGTTGAAGAATTCTGTTTCTGCAGCTTGTAAAACTTCCTCGTTCTCCAACTGTAGATGACATTTTGCAGAAGTACCTCGACTACAGGACAAAGAAGGATGGCAAGTAAGTTTAGCTAAGCCTATTGCACAGAAGTTGATTTTCTATCCTTGTATTAGCTTTTGTTCTTTTTCTTTCCTGTGCTTGTTATTTGAATTGCTGTTTCTATTATTTAGTTCTGACATATATAAGAATGCTGCCCTATGGATTCATTAATGTATTTTGACATATGATGTCCGATGATTTAATTAACTCTATATAAGTAGGCCCCATTCAATTTTTTTTCTTTTTTAGGTACTGTAATCTTGCAGCTAGGCATTTATAGTCCTTGCAACTTCTATAATTGCTTTCTTTGAAAATCTAACACAATTATCCTCAAGAAAGGACCTTAACTTGAAAGTTGTTTTACATATGAAGTGAATTTTGTTTTTCAAGGGAATTGCTTCTTGCAATGCTTAAGGACGCTGCTCCTAGTATTATTCGATCTGTGTAGAATGAATAAATTTCTCATCCATTCATTTTCTGTGGTGGTGACAACTTTTGGGAGAAATTTAGTCCAAGCTGTTGATTTTGAAATCCTAATGTGTCCCCTCTGCATTTAGAACTCACTGAATCTCGTGGTTTGTATAAGAAGTCTATTCTGATTTGATTACCATATCATGAGATGATTTGTGCAAATCATTTCTTTCAAAGTAAAATATGTTTTGTAATGAAAGTTGTCATATTTTAGAATTTGAATGCAGTCGTGATAACTTTCTGGTGTTTGCAGTAAAGTTACCAGAGCTATTGGCTTATGTCAACATTGAGGAGGAAACACAGACCCTCTTACAGCAGAAATTACTTGATTTTCTCAAGTACGCATTCAAACCTTTGTCATTTATTTATTTCCGTGTTCTTCCTAAACATATGCTGGTCCACTTTTTCACAAGAAGTAATATTTCATGGTCATGCAGGTTTCTGCAGAAAAATAAGAGTACATTCTTCCTTTCTGCTTATGATGGCTCAAAAAGTGTTGAAGGGAAAGGCAAGGGGAAACATGACTGAATTGCCACAGAAACTGCTCTAACTTCTGCTCTCTCATACTTGCCATCTTTGGATGGATGGCAAAGGCAGGGCAGAGATTCATGACCTAGTCGGGATGTTATGGATTCATCCACCAAGACAATCCACAAACATGGAACATCCAGTTTGTTGTTGTAACCTTAGCATTAATTCGTTCTTTCTTTTTTTCTTTTCTTTTTTGGACTTATTGCTCTGTGAAGAGAATTTCTTGCTTGAATACCACAAGTCATTCTTGTAACCTTGGCAAGTAACGCTTGTGTTTATGATGTGCATTTGTAAAAAACTCTGGTTAAAGAAACAAAAATTGTAGTTGGAATTTTAATGTAGGCATCCACAAAGTTGACATTCATAATGACCCTTATCATATCTATAGAAAAACCTCTGTTTGGTCAATCATGAAAATTTAATCTTCTTCAACCAGTCTTGATAAAAATCAAGGGTAGGATAGATACAAACACTTATAGAACTGTAGAATAGCAGACGGCTGCAACGCCGACTGCAAACTGCAAAATTGCACTACCCGTGGCCAATCGATCAGCCATGGCAATAAGAATCAAAGCACAAGTTTATTCTTGAATTGACAGAGTTATCGTAGACAGAATTGTCTTTGATCATTCCAGGTTACTGCCAGCTACATCCAGGACAAACCTAAACCTCACATCATTCCTTTCCATTCTCTCAAATGCCTCGTTAACATAATCCATCGTTACAGTCTCTATGAAAGACTTCAAACCCTTGTCTGCCCAAAACTCCAATATTTCCCGATTTTCTTCCATGCTGCCGATGAAGCTCCCGGTAATCGTCCTCTTCCCTGTATAACAACACAAAATTTAAATTACTATATCAACCTCAATTCTCATTACTATTTTCTAACCTCACTCAGTTCAATGGAAAAATGTAATAGAAACGGTAGCAGAGATGTACCTAGAATTATGTCAACTGCATCAAACTGCAGAGGCTTAGGTACAGCAGCAACTATTATGAGTTTCCCATCAACCTTGAGCAGCGAAAGGTATGATCGCAGCGGGTGCAAAGCTGGCACGGTGTCAAGAATGTAGTCAAGGCTATTAGCAGCTCCCTCCATCTCAGCTGCATTGGAGCTCACCAGAAAAGCATCTGCACCTAAAATTTCCAAGGCCTCTTCCCTCTTCTTATCAGAAGAGCTTATCACAGTCACATGGTGACCCATTGCCTTCGCAATTAACACACCCAGATGACCAACTCCTCCTAAACCCAATATCCCTGCGTTGAGAACCTTATTAGAACCCATGAATTGCTTCAGGGGACTGTAAGCTGTCACCCCAGCACACAACAATGGAGCTGCCTGATCCGGTGCTAGCTTTTTGGGTATTCGAACCACAAACCTACACTCACTCTAATTTTTTCAGGGTAACTCAAAACGAAGGCAACATGGATAGATTTATTTAATTGTTTTTTCGGTTACCTTTGATGAACAACCATGGCAGAGGAGAAGCCTCCCCTTGTGGGGCTTCCATCTTTGTTGGTATCATTGAAAGTGAAGATTTTGTTGTGGCAATATTGCTCCATGTTGGATTGGCAAGACAGGCATTCTCCACAGGACCCAACTATACACCCAACTCCCACCAAGTCCCCAACTCTAAATTTCTTTACCTCTGAACCCAACTCCACCACTTCTCCCACCACTTCATGCCTTCAAATTCAAGCACAACAAAGGGTTAGATAGTAAAAGCAGTAACCATAACAGGTTTAACAGCACTAGTGATCTACTAGGAAACCCTAAACATAAGTTTCTTTTGGTAATATGCAGCATGCATGAAAAAGAAGCAGCCTGATTCGTGTGCTTTATATATAATGCCAAAATATGCTCACCCAGGAACCAAAGGGTAATTGGTACTGTGAATCTCATTTCTCATCTTATGAAGATCTGTGTGGTCCACTCCACAGTACAAAACCTTCAACACTACATCTTCTGAACCTGTTTTCCTGCATGTTCATGGGGACATTTATAAACTAGTTCATTAACTACCTACCACCGCCACCTAGAGAGAGAGAGAGAGAGAGAGAGACCTTAGATTGAATGAATAGGGAGAAAGAATTCCAGAAGTGTCTTTGGCTGCCCAACCAAATGCCTTTCTTCCCTCCATTTGTTACAGATATCAATTAGTAAGCAATGAACAAAATGAGCAAGGCAACAAGAGAGTAATAATTAAGAAATAATAGAATGGTGAAGCTGGTGTATTGCTCTTTGGGGGTTTTATACTCATCTCAAGCTCCATGACCAATTGACCCTCAGCCTTAGTTTTTTAATAATTAATGACCAAAATCAGTGCTTTTGACTATATTATCTCTCTGTGGGTGCTCATGTTGATTGCCCAGCCTCATCACACACGTCATGTGTCTTCATAGCCTCATCACACACGTCATGTATCTTCTTCACCTTTACAAGGACTCACTGAGAGAAAGTTGGTCAGTCCCTCATAATTTGGCAGTCTATGTACTTTCCATCCGGCCTTTGCTTCCGGAATGCATGCATGCAAAGGGTATTGCAACTTTTTTAGCAGAAGGAGAACCCACGTCTGACAAATAGAACAGTTATTAGTTTTAGGAATTTTTGACCAAAGAATTGGCTGCCCATATCGGATGACCATTTGAATGTGACAACACGAGTTTTATGTTATGGCCATTTTATTCTTGGGTTAAATCACAAAAAAAAACACACACACGCACACAAACAGTTATATAAGATAAGAATAATACAAAATTCTTCTCATCAGCTGCTCAACCCTATCCATCCATATATTCAAGCTCACTTTGCATCAAACTTTCCTTGTGCAGAATTGAATGATAAATAAGACCCTGTAAAAGTCTTGGTTTTAAATTGCTATGGACTTAACAGTTACTTACTGCAACCATTTTCTTTTATTTTAAAACAAATCAATCACACTAATTTCCATAATTTTATTTTTTCCTGTCACTAATTTCCATAAATTTTAAAAACATGAATAAGCACAAATGAACTTAAGAATAAGATTATCAAACGCCCATTAATCAATCAACGAGAAAACGTAAAATCAAATTGAACAAATCATAATAAATAATTTAGTATTCAAATCCAAATCGAATCAAATTAGCAAATTTACATCCAAGAAGAGGGAAAATAAAAAAGAAAGAGAAAAGGACTGGACCGTAGGCCATTGAAGATTATGACTTTTTTGCAAACAAATTCAACGGCCCAAATCCCATTTGTTCCTTCCACCTCCGAAAATGAGCACACGGTGTGGAGACCATGTCATCACCTCCTCCAATTAACCCCCAGTCTGAGTCTCAGAGCCACTGACCCACCGCTGCAAACGAGAGAGACGATGCTTCCAGCTTCCAACTTCTCACCTTCAACTCAAGCCAAGCTCTGAGAGAGAGAGACCCTCTCTCCTCTCTCCTCTCTCAAAACCCAAATGGAAAGCCTCCTACATTTTCCAATTCCAATCAGAGCCAGCAACCGCCACTACTCTCTTCTTCTGAGTCATCACCCCACCACAACTCGACTCAACTCGCCCTCCTTCCCAAAACCCATCATCCGCGCTCCCCTTTTTCGCTTCAAACCCCTTCCTCCTCTCCGCAATTCCACCACTCTCCGATGCACCGCCGACGCATGCGATCACGATCACCGCCACCACGACCATCACCACCATCACCACCACCACCATCATCATCATGATGGCTCTGATGAGCTCACCGGACCTCAGAAACAGTTCGTCCGATTCGCCAAGGCAGTACGTTGGACCGACCTCGCCGATTTCCTCAGGGAGCACTTGCAGTTGTGCATCTGCTCCACCGCTCTCTTTCTCGCAGCCGCTGCCTGCCCTTATTTGATGCCCAAGCTCGCCGTGAAGCCTATGCAGAACGCTTTCATACTCATCGCTTTTCCTCTAGTAGGGGTGAGAACCAAGACCTGACATTTTTTGTGTGCAGTTGACTAATAAACCCTAGAATTTGGTCTGCACTGTGCGGTTATTTATTGAGTTTGAATTCAATTTAATCGTAGGTCTCTGCTGCACTTGACGCGCTGACAGATATTAGTGGCGGGAAGGTGAACATTCATGTATTAATGGCTTTAGCGGCCTTTGCTTCCGTGTTCATGGGGAATGCACTGGAAGGAGGGTTACTGTTGGCAATGTTCAATCTTGCTCATATCGGTAAGCATTTCAATTTCAAGTTCGATACTTTTTTTTTTGGCAATTTTGTGGCAATGTGTATTGATCAATGGTTGTGCGTTGATTTCAGCTGAGGAGTATTTCACCAGTCGTTCCATGATCGATGTGAAAGAGTTGAAAGAAAATTATCCAGATTTCGCCCTTGTGCTTGACATCAATGATGAAGAACTTCCCAATACATCTAATTTGGCGTACAAGCAGGTTCCTGTGCACGACCTACAAGTGGGGTCGTTTATCTTGGTCGGAGCTGGCGAGGTATGGGAACAAATTTACCATCTTTTTTTATTTTTTTCGATATGGTTAGTAGTTTATAGTCAAGCTATGACCCTAAATGCCTGCCTGTGAGATATGTGTCGTGTCGTTACTGATCAACACCCACTTTGTGGATGATGTTTACAAGTATCAGTAGTGCAGTGATTTTCCAGCATCTTGAAACTGTTTTCGGCAACAAATCTGCTCGTTGAATTTCCTTAATCATGTAGTTTAGTGCTTTCTCATTGTTCTTTTATGAATCGAGTAGGTTTTGTCCTCACTCTAATGACATATCGTTTATAACTCATTAAATGACACGTTAGAATGTGGAAGCATAGTAATGGGGGCTCGTATTGTGATTAGTCTGTGCCTGTAGATTGTGAAGTTTTCCAAGGTAATGCCACCATTACCATTGAGCACTTGACAGGAGAAGTTAAACCATTGGAGACAGCAGTTGGAGACAGGGTACCTGGTGGTGCAAGGAACTTGGATGGCAGGATAATAGTGAAGGTGACAGTTGCCTTAGCTAGGTTTTTAGAGTTCTCGTGCTAGTAAATCTTGTTGATGATGATGGTGATTGGGTGCTAAATCCAATTGTTGATGCAGGCAACAAAAACTTGGAAAGAGTCAACCCTGAGCAGGATTGTGCAATTGACTGAAGAAGCACAACTGAAGAAACCAAAGCTTCAGAGGTGGCTGGATCAGTTTGGCGAGCAATACAGCAAGGTGGTTGTAGTTTTGTCAGCTGCTATTGCTCTTCTTGGTCCATTCCTATTCAAGTGGCCATTTATTGGTACATCAGGTAATCTGCACTAAGCACTTCCACTCTGAAGCACTCTTGCCACTAACGATTTTTCTTTTTTTTTACTACCAGTTTGGAATATCAAAATCTAAAAGAACTACTTTTTGTCTGCCACTAAAAGAACTAGCTGAAGAGCTGCTTTGCACTACATGCATTCATAATAGGTTGAAAGAACTGTTCGAAACTATTGTGTTAAAAAATTTACCTAACTCCGGGTGTTGGGTGGTCTACAGCTTTTTTCCCCTATTATTTATCCTTTGTCATCCATTTGGTTGATGTCTGCTTAATACTTTAGCTTGTAGAGGGTCAGTTTATAGAGCATTGGGCCTCATGGTGGCAGCATCACCATGTGCTTTGGCTGTAGCTCCATTGGCATATGCTACTGCAATTAGCTCCTGCGCAAAGAAGGTAGACATCATGATATTTGCTTCTTTTACATGCATTTATGTTTTGCAGTTGTAAACTCTGTGCTGTAAAATTCCATTGGGTATTAGCAGAAAGTTCTGTTAATGCGATTGGGGATTGACACATTACCTTCCATTTTCCATACAGGGGATATTGCTGAAAGGTGGCCATGTGCTAGATGCTCTAGCTTCTTGTCACACAATTGCATTTGATAAAACTGGGACCTTGACAACTGGGGGGCTAGCGTTCAAAGCGATTGAACCAATTTACGGGCACCGGATGAGAACCAATATATCAGATTTTTCTTCCTGTTGTGTCCCCAGCTGTGAAAATGAGGCCCTTGCTGTTGCTGCTGCAATGGAGAAGGGCACCACTCACCCTATTGGAAGGTAGTGTTCTCTGACAGAACCCCATTATTTTGTCTGTTGAATCTTCAACTTACTTTACCCTGTGATTGTAAACTGTAAATATCCTTTCTGATTGAACATGTATTCATCTACTTTGTTTCCTGCTCAAAAAGAGTATTGTACAATTCTACCCCTTGCAGAAAAATATTTGTTTTAATTTCCTCTAGTCTATTAATGGGGTTTATTTGAATCATATACACTGTTTAACGTATGAAACATGTTCAACTTGATGTTATCAGTACTTATATATCTTTCTTTTCTTGTGTCAGAGCTGTGGTAGACCATAGTGAAGGGAAAGACCTTCCTTCTGTTTCTGTTGAGAGTTTCGAGTACTTTCCAGGCAGAGGTCTAATTGCTACTCTCAATGGCATAGAGGTAAATTGTGTTCTAACTAGCATATATCTTTTGTTTTATACATTTGAGCTTTAATAATGCAATGCTTTACTCATTTTTCTGCTCCAATATGACCCCTTCTGTTCTGTAGGCTATATTTGCTGCGATTTTGTCATGTCTTAGCCATTTTTTAATCTATAAAAATTTCTATCTGGCACGTACCATGTCCCAGCAGTACTCTGTTAGACATACTACACAGTGCATGGTTATTTATTCCTCTGATTGCATATCACCACTAATTTATGCTTACATTAGCTAAATTCTTTTGAAAGTTCATCTATTGTAATGAATAAGATCTTACAGGCATTAGTTGTCTTCCAACCTACCTTTTTTGAGTGCTTTTGGTCAGTTACAGGTAATTTGATGCACATTGATTTGTATCTTGTTATAGTTAGGAACTGGAGGGGATAAACTGTTGAAAGCATCTCTTGGTTCAGTAGATTTCATCACCTCACTTTGTAGATCGGAGGATGCATCAAAAAAGATCAAGGAAGCTGTGAATGCGTCTTCTTATGGAACTGAATTTGTTCGTGCTGCTCTTTCAGTCAACGAAAAGGTGAGGTTTCATCAAAAAGGTTTTACTTGTGCACTGGTGTTCAAAATTGATAACTATACATAATAGGAGCATATGTTGACAAGCTAAACAGGATAGACACTTTATGAAATTTTGTTTGTTTATCAATTGAGCACCCATATTCCTATGTTAGGGTTTTTTTTAGCCTTTTCTAGGGATGCAAGCTGATGGATCACTAAAGTATGACGAGTCTATGCAGGTAACGCTGATTCACCTTGAGGACAGGCCTCGACCTGGGGTCTTGGATGTCATAAAAGAGTTGCGAGATGAAGCCAAGCTCCGTGTAATGATGTTGACTGGTGACCATGAGTCAAGTGCACGGAGAGTTGCAAATGCTGTAGGTATCAATGAAGTTTATTCTACCCTGAAGCCTGAGGATAAGCTGAGTCATGTTAAGGATGTCTCAAGGGATATGGGTGAGTTTTGCAATTGTCAATCCTTATACATGCCAATTGAAATGATTTACACAATCCTTGCCATTCTTTTAAGTCTCTCTGAGGTTTAGCAATAGCGTAGTTTATGACTAGATGTTTACAATCTTTATCATTTGAGTTAGCAGAACGAAAATGCAGAGGAATTTGTTTATCCCTTCCACTTTGTTTCAATTCATTCCTAGTACATAGTTTAGTTGAAAAATTCTCTTCCATGATTTCTATTGCTTTGTTTCTAATAAATTCCTAACAGATCGTCATTTGTTAAAACAAGGATTTGACATTTTTCATGCATACACTAGCCATTATACAAGTTCTGACATTTGTATGCAGTCATCAATATATGCATGTCCTGCATGCTTTTTAACTATTATTACTCTGAGAATCAATAAGAAAAATCACATTTGCATGATGTATTTTCACCGAGAATGTCTTTTCTTCTTGTTTCTCCAGCCATGAACCTTTTCCCATTTTCATTTCAACTATGCAAAAATAAAGTCATAAGAATGTTTTGTAAGGAAAAAAAAGGTGAAGATGGAAACTAAGTTCTTTTCTTCACATCTTTATCGGAAGTTTTGTAGCTCAAAAGATTCAGGGGTTTTACTACAGGTGGAGGTCTGATAATGGTGGGTGAAGGTATTAATGATGCTCCAGCACTTGCAGCAGCTACTGTGGGGATAGTCCTTGCCCAACGTGCTAGTGCAACTGCCACAGCTGTTGCAGATGTATTGTTGGTGCGGGACAATATATCGGTTGTACCATTCTGTATCGCTAAGTCTCGCCAAACAACTTCCCTGGTACATGCTATAACATTTATCCCATCATGTGTTGATTATTTTCTGTTCCTGACGTTATTTCCTTTATGTACATGCAGGTGAAGCAGAGTGTAGGGCTTGCTTTATCTTGTATAGTTTTGGCCTCTCTTCCATCTGTTTTAGGATTTCTTCCCCTCTGGTTAACGGTATAAATCGATTTAATAGTTCATTCTCTGATACCTTATTGCTACTTCTTTTTCCATGTACAGCATTGCGAGCAGTGGCATATTATGAGACATGTCTGTGCATTAGCATGTGATTGAAAGTTGTAGACTTTTTCCTATCTGAACTCTTGGCTGCTCTCTAACTTTAGCTTCCAGTTTAATGATTGCTCTTCTTTGGTGACATGTAGGTTCTGTTACATGAAGGCGGTACCCTTGTTGTTTGCCTCAATTCTATCCGTGCTCTAAACCACCCAACATGGTCCTGGAGACAGGATTTGTGGCATTTGGTTTGCGAACTGAAATCTAGACTCGTATTACCGAAGAAACTCAATACCAGCTCAAACACTGTCCAAGCTGCAGTGGAGCAACTTCACCACTCTCACCCCTTATAATTCTTTTAGCAAGTTGGTATATAGCAAAGGACAAGGGCAAGGTCAAGCTAATCCAAATACATTTATGTATTAACAGGAGAACCATCATAATCTCTTGTAAGTAAATATTATCTTGTCAAGAGTCCGATATTTAACCTGTAATTAGTCTTGGTTTCCAGTCGAATTGCCTAATTTGTCGACAGATCATTACAATTTCGTCTGTAAAGCTTCGGACATTCAATTTTATGTTTAATTTAAACCCCAGAAAGCAATAAAACAGTCATTCAGAGAAAAGAAAAAAAGAAGAGACTTGGGGAGAAATTCATTGACCAAAATATAAAGATAGATCATCTTAAAGTTTGTAGAGAATTTTACAGGTTATAGTAAGTTGCGTAGAAGACTTGGCGACGGCTGAGATAGATAGTCATGTTTGACATGTTCCCATGTATTGCTCTCCAAACAACCTTTTTTATAGTTACCTAATCCAAACTTACAACTCAGTGCATGGAGCTGTCGCCTTTTGCTGACATGGTTCAACAACATGACAGGATAACGAAACTTGCATGTTAATTTTTCGTTTTTAACTGCAAGTGCTTCTTTACCTACCAACTTTCCAACAAAACATAAACGTTTCAAAACCACAAATTTTGTTAGTTACTTATATCTCAAGTGGTTAAAAGAGCATTTAATCCTACACCCGAGACCCTAGTTTCAATTCTCCCTTTCTCCAATATTACTCGTCTCAAACAATAAAAACATAAAAATACAAACCACAAATTTTTTAACCACCCGAGACCTTAATTTGAAAAGAGAGATTTTTCCTTACCCAAGAAGTAAACGTAGTGAATCGTTCTCCCCACCAAAACTGAAAAACGATAAAAAAAGAGACTGCTTTTTTTGTTCTTGTTTTGCTTAGACTGGTCGCGCACCTCTTCTGTTGTATTATAGGGTAGGTACTAGGCCATTAGCTGTCACATAAAAAACCCCCTCCATTTTCTCAGTCTGAAGAATCGTGGTTCAGGATTACTGAAATGGCCTCTACATTTTGTACGGACTTACCGGATAGAACTTCTTTTGTGTGGCAGACTGTTTCGGTTTGGTGGTTTTTGGGTCTTATTGCTTTTTAGTTTGGATCTTTAAACAGGTGGCTCAGAAGTCAGTCAGAACCCTTTTTCCCTTTTACTTATTTCAGATTATATAACATAAGCAGGAAAAAATAAACCCAAAATATTAAAGAGGACGAGAAAAAAGATTGAAATTTCGAGGATTCATTTTTCTTTTTCTCATTTTTTTTTTTAATGAAGTTGCATGTTGTTTTTCGATGAACAAGGCCCAAAAGTTCCCTTCCCTCTTGGATTGGATGCCCACTTTCAGACCTCTCTCTCTTCTCCAACACCATCTCTTCTTCCTCATCTCAGTCTCTCTCATTACTCTCCCTCTCTGTCTCTCTCTCTCTCTCTCTCTGTACATTGACCATAATTATTATTTCCCCTAATAATTAAACCCAAAGAAAGCAAAAGGAAAAAAAAAACAACACAAGCCCAGTTATTTTTCACTTCCCAGCTTCAACTTCCACCATATCTTTTCATCATCATTTTTTCACTAACTAGTCCAACTCCTCCGTCCAAAAAGCCCTTAGCTTTTGCATTGAGCTTCTTCATTCATTCCTTCACTGAATTTGAATTTCCCAAAAACTCCCCAACTTGTCGTCAATTTTCTCACTCGATCCTGCTAACCCCAATTCGCTTTACAGCAACATTCCTAAACCCATCGTTACTAGCAGCCTGCTGCATACAAATCCCACTCTGCTCCAACCCCGCCATGTAGCTCCTCACCTCCTTCCTTATCATCCCCTGCATCACCGCCAACAATTCCACCGGTATATTCTGAAACGGAGCCCGAGCCGGAGCCGGATCTGAAACCGGATTCTGAATCGGAATCGGAACCGGAACCGGAACCGGCGCCTGAGTCAACTCGGTTGCCGCCACCCGGTTCGACACCTCGCCCGAGTCAACCCCGGGCAGCGACAGAGACAGCGAAGTCGTAGGATCGTTCTCCTTCTGTTTTACGTTGTTACTATTGTTGTCGTTGGAAGACGACGTCGTTTCCGCGAGCGGCAGAACCCCTCCAGATCGCGCCACGGGTCTGTACACGTGGCACTCGGACAGAGACATAACCGGTACTACGCTGGAGTCGCTCATATCTGAACCGGACGGGCTACCCGGGCTCATGTAAAGCCCGGTGGAAACGGGCATACCCGACCCGGCACTCACCGATCGCTTCAGCGGCGGCTGCTCGTGGTCATGAAGGAAATGACCATCGTAGCCTCCGCTTCCGCCTACACCTCCTCCGGGAAAAACGACGCCGATATCGGAGCACTTACGCTTGAGCGTGGAGTTCCAGTGGTTCTTGATGGCGTTTGTCGGTTCGGCCGTTGAGGAGGCGGGCGATGGTGGCCCACTTGTTGCCGAAGCGGGCGTGGGCCCGGATTATGGTGTCGTCTTCCTCTGGCGTGAAGGCACGGTGCTCCACCTGAGGGGAGAGCTGGTTGCACCACCGGAGCCGGCACGACTTGCCGGACCGACCGGGTATCGACTTGCTGATCAGAGACCAGTTACGAGGACCGTGCTTCTGTACCAGCCTTTGCAGAGCGTCGTCCTCTTCGGGGCTCCATGGACCCTTTATCCGATCCATATCTTTTCTGCTCACTGCCATCACAAGTGCAAGTCAATCTCTTATCTCTCTCTCTCTCCCTCTCCCTCTCTCAATTTATTTCTCTCCAATTTTGAATTTGAAGTTACGAAAATAGAGAGATCTTTTGGTTTTGGGGTTGAAGGAGGAGGAAAAAACAGGAAGGAGAGAGGGGTGAGGGGGCTTTTATAACAGAGAGTGGGAGATGGGGGTGACCGGTTGAGCAGGTGAAGGGGTTGTTAGTGGTTTGGAGGTTTGGAGGTTTGTAGGAGTAAGCGGCACCGCTTGTTGGAGGCAATCGGTTAAATGGAGGAGGTTGGGGGGGTTTGGGATACAGCTGGCGAAGGGACACGCGTCAAATCCAAACTGCACTGATTTGCATAACATCACTCTCTTCTTCCTAGGCTTTGCTTTTCTTTTTTCTTTCTTTCTCGCTTTATTTACTTCTTTAATGACAATGCAGAATGGAGCGTCTGCTTTACTCACAATTGAGTTGAGTGTCTCTCTCTTTTAAAATTTTAAAAATAAAAATAAAAATCAGGTTAATAGTTAATTTACATTAGGATTTTATTTTTTTTTTTTTTTTTTTTTTTTTTTTTTTTATTCATATTAACATCTCTGCACGCACTTTTACGTTTGCGAGAGGTTATTTTTAAAAAAAAATTAATTTATTTTAGAATTAAAAAATATAATGGGTAGTTGTGTTCCATAAAAATATGATTTATAATCTATTTTCTTCTTTTATTTTTATTTTTTTAATATGAAAAAGTGTGAATTTACCATATTATTATCATTTAATTAATAATTTTAATTCTTAATATTTTAATTAACCAATTGCATTTTCTGATATTTTGAATGTTTCACAATTCTTTGTCTTTTGTTTTATATATAGAAGATTTAGAGAGGAATCATTTGACAACTGCACTCGAGTCGGGGGCAAAATAATTACTTTTAACGACTTGGGCTACAAACTCTTTTGTTGGGATTTAAATTGAGGCATCAAGTTGGGTACGACTCTTTGCGATGGGATTGGGAGCGTTCTGATTTTGCACGCATGCTTTTACTATTGTGGAAGTTTTTTGTGGCAAAAGCCAAACACTTTCGAGCCATAAATTACGTCAGGTTTTGAACTTTACTATATACATAAAAAAATAAAGATAAATAAAATAATAATTGTTGAGGGATAACGATGAATGATAAGTTGATAACGGTTGGGTTGGGTTGGGTGTGAGTTTGACTGGGGAAAGCCAGGCTGTAGAGCATTTCGTGTGTGGGATATTTTTATTTTCCTTTTCAAACATAAAATTTTAAAACAAAATTAAAAGAAAGGGGGGTTGAGGTGGCAGAAGACGACAAGAAAAGGCCGAATGGGAGCGCCAATGATTACGCGCCATCCCATCAGGCCAGGCTGTAAACCTGCCACCACCATCATCGTCTGATTCATCTCATCTCTCTCTCTCTCTCTCTCTCCTCCTTAACGGCCTCCCCCTCACCCACCGACATAACCCCCAACCCAAGCCCCCCCTCTCTCTTTCTCTCTCTATAAGTATATATTACTCATAGAAATGTACGGAACACTCGCTAGTCACGATGATGAGGAGGCTTCGAGCGAACTCCTAAGAAGCAGCACGCACTTTCTTTTCACCTTCCTCTTCCTCCTCTCTCCTCCGCTTTAATTAATTAAGTAGAGCTGATTAAACATAATTAACTACTCTAACCTCAATTAGACTGTCATTAATTTTAAAGTTGAAGCTGCTGCTGAATCAAATCATCGATCACACGGGGATGCACACACAGATTGAACATTGATTGTGGACTGATAAGAGGATTAAATTAATTAATGAGTGATTAAGGAAATGAAAGAAATGGAAGGGATGAAGAGAGATCTCCCCCCGTATCTGTTTCTGTTACTCGTACGTAGTACCTACTACCTAATTCTCTGTTTCCATCTGTATGTATGGTTGTTGTGGAGGACAGGATGGGTTTTTTCATAAATAATTATCAGTTCAATTATGTTTTTTATATAAAAATTATAGTTGAATATTAAAGCTTTGAATGACCTTACATATATAGTGCCATGCAGCTGGTATTGCTTTCAAAAAAATTTCCACCACTCAGTTCCATCCAAGTTTAACGAAAGGAGAGTGCTTGCCTCTTTCAATAGTATTCTTTTTGTAATCACGATTTGACAAATGTGTAAAAAAAAAATTTATATTTTAAAAAAATTACACATATGTCAAATTATTATTGGATGAAATGTATTTTTCTTAAACGGAAGGCAATTTTTAACGTGTTTAGAGAAGAAAAAAAAAATCATTATTCTCTTTACAAGCAAAATACTAATATCTTACATACAATGCTTAAATTTATTTGTGAGTGAAATACACATAACGTATACGAAGTAGTTGACATTCCTCTTTTTGTAGAATTTTAAACTTACGTTCAGAATAAAAATAGTTGGCATTCAGCTTTCTGTAATGTGAAGCTAATATAGTTTTTCATTCTATACGTATGTGAAGTCAAAAATCCGAATAATTTCACATGTATTAGTAGTAGTATTCACAAATTAGTTGGCATTCCACTTTTTATAATGTGAAGCTAAGATAGTGTTTCATTTCATACGTATGCGAAGTCAAAAATCTAAATAATTTATCATTTGTTAATCACAAAAATAAGTCTTGTTTTTTGTCCAAGTAGGTACAAAAAACGTCATAACAAATAGATATGTAGTAATGAAATTCAATAACGTATACCGTAATTTTTATCGATCAAACCTTTGCCGGATAGAACCTGTGTCTCAGAAATCGTGAATTAGTTTTCAAGTTAGATCATGGAAGAGTCAAGCTCATTGATATCCAATAAAATATTTCCCTCTCTCTTAGATTTGGTCACCAATCATAATGGCACCCGCTTCATTTTTAGTATACTTTTTGTTTTTTTGTTTTTTTGTTTTTTTTATTTAGTGTAGAAAAAGTGAAAAACAAGAAGGAAAAAAGGAAAAAAGAAAAATCCTAGTTTTATCTTAAACCGTCATGGGGGGCATGTGCAACTGTGACTTTATCACGTGTTGCCTCATCGGGTATAGGGAACACACGTGCGGCTTGCATCCTCAGAAGTAACAAGGAAATCTTGCGTTACCGGATTAAGAAATAGAACCCCGCCACCCTACTTATAATTATTAGACACATGTTTCTAGGGTGCCTAAAAATAATCCTCAGATTTAAACAAATACCAAGTTTAAATGTGTCGTTAAATAAATGGTACAAATCGTACACTCATCCTCACGTTACCTAGGCACAGCTTTATATATATATAAATACTCTTACTAATTTTTATTTTTATTTGTTTTTGCAAGTTATAAACTTATACTGTAATTAAAAATTGACATGGTCGGTCCATTATCTTGCAATAGTAGTGTGTTTTCCCATCTCAAATCTAAGTACATCTGGATTGAGAATCGGGAAGTTGGTTGTTTATCCTTAATGGTGTATGTCTCTATAAACGAGATGGGGATCTTAAAGGGTCAAAATAATAGTATTTGTGGAAGAAAAAGGAAATAACAACATAACTTTCTTTTTTCTTTTTTTCCGTAAATATCACGAAGTATCCCCTTACCTGAAGGGTGGAATTAATCTCTGCTTGGAGTTCGGCTTGTTACTGGTCACAAAGTGCTTCCAACTGGTTTCGAATCCCTACCATTGAAGCAATATGTAACTCGCCAACTAAATATGGCAGTTTGCCAACCGCACCACACCTTGTGATAATAAACATAATATTTGCTTATTGTTCAAATGAAACCAAATGCCGATAATCAAATGGTTAAATAATTTTTGACATAAACGATCTTTTGTATTGATAATCCTTGGATGATATCCTAAAAAAATGAACAATTTCAATTACAGAATTACATTTCAAAAATAAAATGTTCTTATTTGTAAGGGCACCTCCTTCATAGAGAAACTGAACAACAATGTCCTTATTTGTAAGGACATCTCCTTCAAAGAGAAATTAAACAATAATGTCCTTATTTGTAAGCAATATAGGGGCATATTCCAACCTCCCCAAGGAATTTTCGGCCTCTATTTGTAAGGAAATATCTCTCGTAGACCTTGCCTAATCTGATATATCTACTGAACTTATCTCATAAATGTAATGCCCTTATTTGTAAAGGACATCTCCTTCACTAAGCTCAAATTTGTGTTGTAGTTTAAACTTGATAACTGGACTTTGATATCATAAAAGAAGTTAGAGTTACAACTTCAAACTTATTGTGTCCACATTAACCTTGTTAAAAGTATGGAACGTTTAAGTCTAGATTTAGTATAGTAGTCCTAGAAATTTTTATGGAGGAAAAAGTTTTGAAAAAGAAAATATATATAACTTCATGTACCTTGTAATTTACTTTTCCCTTAGTACAAACGATAGTCTAAACTAGAGGGAAATGGATTTCTCTCATACACACAATTGATGTCATGAGAATTCGAACCTAAGATGAAATCTCTGATCTTTATTCGTTTAAATGAAGAAATTGCAAATTACATAAAATTCTAAAATGACATAATTTAGATTTCCGTCGTTTCAATTTCTGGCAATTGAATATTTCAGTATTTGGATTTATGAATGTCGCATTTTGTAAATGACAGAAATTGAAAATTTCAATCTTTTGATAGTCATGTAAATTGTAAATGACAAAAATTAAATATTTCAAAACAAAAAAAAAAACTGATAATCGACATAAAAGGTATTCCTCGAAGTATAAAATAACATATCGTTTGATGAACCAAATAACTAAACTTAAACAAACAGACATATTAGCAAACCAAATCACTCCCCACGTGCAATAAACATCAGCTACATACTATCTTTTTACTTAACTGGGAGTGTCTTCAGCATATGAAATTGTTTGTCATTTTCTATCTACCAAGCACATCCTTTGAGATGTTCATTTTCATTAAAACCTTGTACTGCTTGTACTTCAGCATATACCTCTGATGAATCAAGGT